AGAGATCGAGAAAACAGGGGTTTGGCTTGGGTTTCTGTAACTTAGAGATTAGGAACTGGTCCGTCGCTAGTCGTGTGTGACTGAGCTTAAATCGGATTAAACAGATCTAGGAAGATTGTTTAAAAGGTTTCTAATATACAAGAAGTGTTCTTGAATAACTTGTGTACGGTTCTTATTTGCGTGTCTCTGAACTTTAATTAACAGAAAGAGAATAATTTATATAGGTAAACTAAAAAATAACAAAAGAATAAACATGTGTGTGGTGTTAGTGTATATATATAAAGTGATTTGAATTAACATATCCAACTTGCTTTTATATTTGAATCATAGGGCTTACATAGTAACGACGAAATATGGCAAAACATAATTGAAAATTCTGGTAGAATAAAACGTTTTTAGTTATTTGTTACCAAATACATGTGTATATCCACGAAAAAAATTATTAAAGAAATTAAGAAGAAGAATAAGAGAAGGTGGAAAGAGTCGTATAACGCTGACTTGTATTTTGTGAAATTCAAATATGTATAAAATTCCAAGTGGGTTGCGACTTAGGAGACGTGGGAGACCCACACATTTTTACAAACCAGCCATATCCCACACGCCTTTTTCTTACTCACATTGCAGGGTTATGTGTCACTTCCACCAACCACATTCAATATGTATATGTATATTCGCCTTAGATTTACTTAACTTTTGTCTTACTGTTAAACTATAAAAAGGGAAACATCTTTACTCTTGTAGTAAAACTGCAAAACTAAAACAAACAAACAAAAACAAATCTAACCAAGTGATGGTAGTCTAGTGACAATTTTTAAAGCTTGGTGAGTATTCACATCAGTTATGGATTTGATTTTCTTTAAGAACTAAATTATCAGTTACTTGGTCAATATGGTTTAAGTTTCGGTCTAATTAGTTTATATGGTGTATCTTAACAGGTGATCGGTTCATTTTTTGATATTAGTTAAAAAAAAATTCAAAATTTGGATCAGACGATTTGATAACCAATCCACTCTATAGCACTAAATGCATTTTTCCTGGAACCGACTTGATCAGCCGATAGAATTATAAAAAAAAAACTAAAACAATCCAAAGCTGCACGCAAACAAAAACTACAGATGCAAACGCAGAAAGTATTGCTAATCCTGAAAGTTATAAACTTATAGAACCTGAAGTTTAGAGAAAACTAAAGACGAGATATATTAATAAGATGATATTTATAATTTCACAAGAAACACTACCAAGGTGGAGAAAATGCATCATCATTCATCAAAAAAAGTTATATAGATCTCTTGTACCCAATCCTTTTCCTTTCGTTTTCTTTCTCCTCTCCCAACCACCACACCATAATTAAACAACATAAAACAAGAAGGAACATAGTTGGGTAAGCAAACTCAAATAAAACCAAAGATAATATTTTAATAATTTTTTTCATCATTTTTTCCTTTATTTGGGTTTAGTGCCAGAATCTCTTTACGGCTCTTGCCTGATCCCATAAGCCCTATCACAAAGCATTTAAAGAAGAGAATGAGGTCAGCTCCCAAAGACATATTGCCTAGACTCTACGCAAAACTAGAGATGTGACTCTTCCCATATTCATTTCTTGGTGACAACACAAACCTAAACGCCATTATTAATTACTTAAGGTTTATATAATTTTCATCCGCATCATGATGTCTTTTTATCACCCTATCGGATACAACAGTTCAAGAAATAAACAAATTCCCTTCAACAAGCTGAATCTTCATGAGAGCTCGACCAAGCCCTGACTTTCAAATCTGATTAACGAAGAGTGATAACTAAACTGCATGCTCTATACTCCAGAAGATCTGGAAGTTTTTAGCTATATATTAAGACATAAGTAAAAAAATATCCAAAAGATAGTGTTTGATATTTTGTGTAGAGGTAGCGTGTGAAGAAGCAAAACCCCTTGTGAGGGAGTGACTTGAGGATCAGCTTCAGCTTTCTGAGACATAATGACAACTAACAAATGGGTATGATATAGAAGCAGTTTTACTTACATCACATATTTAGCTTTCTTCCCTGTGGTCCTATTTTTTTTCTCCAATCTCTAAGCAAATCCTACACATCTTGAAAAGAATTGTAAACCATGGACCCCATTAAAGATTCAGCTGTATCTTCCTTAATAGACCATTTGTTGTGGCATGATTAGACATATATAGCGAAGTACTTATCCCAAAACCCCGTCAAAGCAGTAAAATTCCTGCTATAGATAGACATCTAAAAAATGGTCCCAAAGAACCTAACAAGTTAAGCCACTTCACATGCTGAAGAGGCAACTCTTTACTGTTCTCAGATTCCAACAAAACAGAAGAGTTTACATAAGCTTTAAACACTAAAACCAGCAGACAAGGCATATGCTCGGTGATGACAACTACAGTTGCACATCTGTACTGCACTAAAAATCTATATGCCTTTTCACCTTTGCACGCAACTCCCTATTTATCAGTCTATCAAACTCTATTTACAAAAAGAATTCAAACTTTATTCAAGTTGCTAAAGGATTCTTTGCATGACTTGATGTTGCCCTTATCAAAGACACATATAATTAAGAAGGGTAATACTTTTGTATAACCCAAAATGAATACATAAGAGTAAACTTACACCAACAGGGAGGGAAGTATACAAAAAAACAGTAAAATATCTAGTAGCTGATAAGTAGTTTTCATGCTTCAATAGTTTGTACTATGTTTCATCCTAATATAAGAAGATAAGTTGCTATTATCTACATGACCTCGATTGACAGGGAAGTATACCAGAATATTTACTGTCTTTGGGGTTTAAAGAGACTTAACCAATAATACAGATTTGACATAAGGGAAGTTGCTATCATCTACACTTCGATTGGTCTCGATTTTGTTAAGTTGGGTCTATCTTTTGACAAAAATCTCATACAAATACATAAATCGTTATGTTCTTATCTTCTTTTAACAAAGTAAAATCCACAAACTTCTAACAGATTTTAAAAAGACATAGAGAACCCGTCTCACAAAGAGTTCAAAATCTTGGTCCCATGTCAAAGCAGGGGGGTCAAGGTTCTATATAACCCAAAACCGGAGTAGGTTTCAACAGAGCAATACAAGCCTGGTTCAAAGTGGAAGGTTTGAATTAAAACATGCCAGATCGGCCCAGCCCATCACAGCATCCTTACCTGTGGGTTCCCAAAGGGGAAAAGAATTTCAAAGTGAAGAGTCTTGTTTCATAGCCAAAGAAGGGACAAGAGTCAAGACACTAAACGGTTCAACAATTCAAGAATCACTGGACGATACATACAAATTGTATACATTCCTTTTCTCACACATTTTACAGGGTTGAATATGAATCTTTCAATTTTTGTAGGTATATGCAACACAAAGGACTCAACTTCACATGTAATATTATCACGCAGGGAGTGCAAAGCTCGGTTGCTTCCACTGTGGAGGATCCATCACAAGGCAGGGATCTGATTTCTCAAAGTCAGCAACCTGCAAAACAGAACATTCTTTAATACACAAGGAAGAAAAAGGAGGGATCAGACGAGTTGTAGGCAAGAAGAAGAACGCATTAAAATAACCACCTTGTTCCCACACTGAGGGCAGTGATGCTGTTTGTTCCAGAGGCAATCCATTGAAGGACAGAGAAAACAGAATCCAAGCATAAACGGCGTCATGCAAGCCACAACAGCAGCTACACCCGGTTTTGATCTGTTTTATTATTAAAAAAAAAAAAGTATGATCACAAACAAAGACAAGATAATTGCACACAAAAAAAAGCAGTCTAACCTACAAATATATAATCAAATGTTAGCCCCTACACATGGATGCTTATAAAGACTACACTAAGCAAATTAACTACATCTTATTATAGCTTAAATCTGTAAACCATTCACATAGATGATCTAAACGGTGCCGTTTAAGCGATTACAAACCCTAAACTTCTCGAAGCCTATAAGAGATCGATTACCTGATACCCGTGAGACCTGTATTGCCGCAATAGAGACAATTGAAAGGAGCGGGAGTGTCCCGATAAATCGTTTGCTGGATCGGAGCACCCATCGGATCTCCATAGATAGCGTTCGGCGGCACGATCCCCGCCTGATACGGGTTATGCCCCGCGTAATACGGTACTCCGATCACCGTTTCTCCCTCTTTCGACATCGTCAACGATTATGATGAAGCAACCACACAGCAGCGAGAGAATAAGTAATAACGAAAAGATTGACGCTGATTCGAGGAAAATTGATTTTCCAGGGAAATTACGCGGAAAAGTCCAAATCTCAATTTTATTTGAAGGATTCTCCTTTGACTTTTTTCGGAAACACGATTGAAATTTGGACCGCCCCTTCTAGAGACGGCTCTCACTTAATGGGCCTTAACTCGTTATTGGGCTGAAAATTGTTTTTTTAGGGTTTAGGACTTTTTATTAAAGTCGGTTTATGCGCCTCCACCTCCACGGAAAATAAGAACCAAGAACGTGATCCCCAAGTCAACTAAATCTTATAAATAAGATAAACAAGAAACACGACTTTCTTCATCATCATCACCTTCTCTTCCTTTTTTTTTTGCTTGAACACAACAACACCTTCTCTTCCAAATTATCTTTTCACAAACATGGCTTCACCATTGCTTGGTCCACCAGAGCTTCAAAACTCCAACACCACATCCTCTGCACCAAGCGATCCATTCATGGACCTAATGGTTGCAAACTTCAACAAGTCAACCAAAGTCAACGTCTCCTCTTCTCCACCGATGGGCCTAACCGAGAACGGATCCGCTACATACCTATCCGCAGGTAACCCTTGTCTTGACTTCTTCTACCACGTTGTCCCCAGCACTCCCAAGGAATCTTTAGAGCAGAGACTCTCCACGGCATGGAGCCACGACGCGTTGACAACTCTCAAGCTTATCTGTAACCTTCGTGGAGTCCGTGGAACCGGAAAATCAGACAAGGAAGGGTTTTACACTGCGGCGCTTTGGCTACACGGTTGCCACCCCAAAACCCTAGCGTGTAATCTTGATTCTTTATCCAAGTTTGGATACTTTAAAGACTTTCCGGAGATTCTTTATAGGATTCTACAAGGGTTTGAGATCCGTAGGGTTCAGAAATCTGAATGGGAACAGAGGAAAGGTCGTTCCGGTGTTGTTCGAGCTGCACCTAGACGATTTGGTAGAGGTAGAGGTAGAGGAAGAGCTCCTTTCTCTGTTAGTTCGTCGAGATCCTCTCGTGGACGTAAGAAGCCTGCGGAGACTAGGGAGATGAGGATAGCGAATGCAGAGAAGAGGAACCAAGAAGAGAAGGCGAAAGCTAGCTTGGATCGCAAGCTTGAGAAGATCTCCATGGGGAAGAAAGTTTCCACAAGATACTCTCAAGATCCAGATTACCGTTTCCTCCACGAACGCGTCTCTGACCTCTTCGCGGATTACTTAAAGAAAGATCTCGAGTTCTTGACTTCCGGAGAAACTAACAAGATCTCTTTAGCGGCTAAGTGGTGTCCTTCTCTCGACTCTTCCTTCGACAAAGCAACGCTTCTCTGCGAGAGCATCGCTAGAAGAATATTCCCTCGTGAGTCTTTCCCTGAGTACGAAGGCGTTGAGGAAGCTCACTACGCTTATAGAGTACGTGATCGTCTAAGGAAGCAAGTTTTAGTTCCTTTAAGAAAGACTCTGCAGCTCCCAGAGGTTTACATGGGAGCTAAAGAATGGGGATCTCTTCCTTACAACAGAGTAGCTTCCGTGGCGATGAAGTCTTACAAGGGGACATTCTTGAACCACGATGCAGAGAGGTTTAAGCAATACCTCCAAGACGCGAGGGAAGGTAAAACGAAAATCGCAGCCGGCGCTGTGTTACCTCACGAGATCATCGGTGAGTTAGACGGATATGACGGTGGAGAAGTCGCTGAGCTGCAGTGGAAACGAATGGTTGATGATTTAAAGAAGAAAGGCTCCTTGACTAGCTGCATCGCAATCTCTGACGTGTCAGGATCCATGGCGGGAGATCCAATGGAGGTTTCCGTTGCCTTAGGTCTTCTCATATCCGAGTTGACTGATGAGCCGTGGAGAGGAAAGTTGATAACGTTCAGCGCAGACCCTGAGCTCCAGGTTGTGCAAGGAGAAGATCTTTGGACAAAGACTAACTTTGTTAGGAGGATGGAGTGGGGAATGAACACTGATTTTCAGAAAGTTTTTGATCTGATTTTAAAAGTTGCGGTTGATGGGGGGTTGAAACCGGAGCAGATGATCAAGAGAGTGTTTGTGTTCAGCGACATGGAGTTTGACCAAGCTAGGTCGTCGGTGACTTATTATAGTAATCGAACGTATAGTTATAATAAGAGGGAAGAGAATGCATGGGAAACGGACTACGAGGCGATTGCTAGAAAGTATAGGGAGGCAGGGTACGGTGACGTTGTGCCGGAGATAGTGTTTTGGAACTTGAGGGACTCGAGGTCTACGCCTGTGCCTGGGAGTAAGAAGGGAGTGGCGTTGGTGAGTGGGTTTTCGAAGAATTTGATTAAAATGTTTTTGGATAATGATGGAGTGATTGATCCCATGGCGATTATGGAGAAGGCTATATCGGGAGTAGAGTATAGTAAGCTTGTTGTTATTGACTGAAAAGATTTATGCTATTGTTGTTTTTTGATGTTTTTGCTGAATTATTGTGGCACAGTCCCGGCGTGATATTTATCTACTGCAGTTGAATGAATGTATTTATCTACTTTTGCCTTTCTCAAAGACAGGCTTGAAATTTGAATCCCACACCTTACGAGCCTTCTTGAGCAAAAGCCCATCATTGGGCTTGAAAGGCCTGATATTTGAGCACTCTACTTTGACAGAACATGGCCCTTTAAACCTTTTAAGCAAACTGAAGATTAAGCACTTGGGCCGTTGCCAGAGAAGCTAAACTGCCTAGAGAAAAGAAAATCATTTAGTTCCTTCAAGAAACTTGAACTCAGGCAAATATTAGACATTCAGTTTCTTACATTTTTGTAATTATATGAAGACAGAAAATATAAAGTTGGTAATTTTTGTAATTACATCAAACTTGTTTAATTTTTAAAAGAGCCATTGGTAGATTTTGTGAGCTGAGATAAACAAAGTAAAAAGGTCTTTTTATACAGTAAATAAATAATTTGTGAAAATGAGATTACAGCCAAAAAGAATGGCAAGTTGGTATATAGAAGTTGGTATAAGAAGGGTGAGTTGGTCCGCATGAAAAGTATATCGTCATCAAACCTCCAGCACAGAGAAAACGTGAGATGAATGAAAAAACTAATCCAAATCATAGCATCTCCAAAAAAAAAAAGACACTCTATTTTAGAGTTTACAAAATTTTATTTTTGAAATTTTAATGTGTTTTTCTCAAAAAACAAAACTTCAAATCTAACTTTAAAACTATTTATATTTTATTCTACAGTCCTTATGTTTATCATATTTAATATAAATACATAATTTTCTATCAAAAAACATAACAATAATATTAATTAAAAATATTTACTCTAAAATATAAAACTGTAAATAGAAATACATAACTAAATAATAAACTTAAAAAAAAATCACATTATTTCATAAAATTATTTCCATTATGTTCTATTTTCAGTTACACAATACTTATTTGGATAATATTTTGGAGATTTTGAAAGTTTCAAAAAATATTTACCATACTATTAATATTGTTGTAATATTTAAATTTATGTAATAAGCATGCTTTTCATGTACCTTTTAAAAAAGTTTTTTTTTAAGTTTATTTTGTAATATTCGTGAAGTCTAGTTTTAGTTTTAAAATAATATAAATTTTATTTTAAAGTTTTATATATATAACTTAAATTTATAAAAATAAATCTGAAATTTGAAAAAAATATAATTTCCGGCAAAATATTGAAAAATCATAAATATAATATATAATTAATTATAAGGACCAAAATATAAATAAGAAGATGAAATTTCAAATTTAAAGTTTTTTTCTATAGCCAAAACCCTATATTTAGTGTTATAGAGTGTCTTTTGAAAATATTGAAAAATCATAAATATAATATATAATTAATTATAAAGACCAAAATATAAATAAGAAGATGAAATTTCAAATTTAAAGTTTTTTTTTATAGCAAAAGACCCTATATTTAGTGTTATGAAGATGCTCTACGAATCAAGAGAGGGAGAGAGGTTGAGTCAAATGAGAGAGAGAGAAGAGGCTGAGTCAAATCAGAATGTGAGGAAAAGAGAGAAAGCGACGAAAGCACTAAAGACTTATGGAGAAGAGTGCACCTTGCCTACTGATGTCTTGACATTTAACAACATCTCTCTAACACGTGAAAGACATGCATCTGACTCTTTCTCTTTCGTTTTTCTTACTGTATTCATTTATACTTGTTCTCACGACTCTCCAGAACAAACTCGACTTGTCACGAGATTGTTTATTTTTTCTTCAAACAAACGATGAGAGATTATTAGCTGACTTAACGAAGTTTTTATAAGTAGATGTTCCAAGTAATCGAAGCCGAAATCAAAGGGAAGCACTGAGCCAGCATCAGTGCAGGCCGGCCCTAGATTATGTTTAATGAAACATTCGATTCAAGCTTCCAAAATTTTGCAAAAAAATACATGAATATTAGTTTCTAAACAAAAATTCTTGATTTCCAAAAAAATATTTTACATAGAAATCACCAGATTTCAAAATCACAAGACCGGCACTGCATCAGTGTTTATAAAGGAGAATGGTAACATCGAGTTATGTTTAGCTCCCATATACCAATATTTGAATAACAAAATTATTTATTAAATAAACAAATGGATAACTTTTTTTTGTTGAAATGTACTTCGATTATTTTATTTAGTTTTTCTTAAAAATGTACTTTGATAAGCTAACTCAACTAATCAATAACTTGAATAGTAACGATGAAACCTATTTTGAAATTTCAGTAAGACTGACTTTTAACTAGTGTCGTGAAACAGTATTTACCCATGGGCACTTTCAGTTGAAGTACATGCAAGACATTATAATTACCGCATGGACACTTCATAGAAAAAGCTAAAATTAGTTGTGAAACTGGTTAATAAGTATAAAGCACATATAGCGTTCCAAAAAAAAAAAAAAGTATAAAGCACATAAAAAGAAGAAAATGTATAGTTTTCACAGCAGCGAACGTATAATGACAGCCAAAACACAAAGTAAACACTACTATGAGATGGTAATGAAGCTGTATTATTCTTTTTTTTTTAAGCTGTATTATTCTATTTGCTGGTTTTTTCTAATGAAAATTCCAAATAGTACATGCAAATACAATACATTTTATATACGGAAAGAACTCTACAACCAATTTTTTTAAAGAGTAGTTGTGATCATGTTTAATAAATAGAAAACTCATAAGAAATAAAAAAAGATAATAATTAAATCCAAAATACTTGTTTGAAAACGATATAGATCTCGAAAATTTGAAACGTAAATTTCGAAAAACAATAAAAAAAATTCGAAACGTACAATGTCAGAAGAACCCAAGGTTACAATGTTTATATACACCCAAAATTATTTGGATCCAATATGAAGACATGGAAGATATTTTATAAAAGTTAACTAAAATGAGCTACTGGACATCCGTTATTTCCGGGCAATTGACACAAAATAGTTATGAATAGTAGTATTATTTAGGTTATCACTAACATGTGTGCTAATCATTATAAAATATAAGTTAGGAAGAGACTAGGAACCTAACCAAGAAAATTTGAATTAAAAACAAAACAACAAAAACAAAAAGAAACTAAAAAGAAAGTGGATGAGTTTGAGTTGCTCTCGTTTGTGCCATGAAGAAAGACAAGGCATGAACCTCGTGCGTTATATCAGACGGGTACACTTTATTAAATTCTTTTTAAAAACTCACATGAAATATCCTTTTTATCATTACTTCTTCCTCTCGCGCCTCTTCATATTAAAAAAATACCACCCCCTCCTACTTATCTCTCCTCTCTCTCTTTCTTGATCCCTCTGCTTCAGCGAGAAACCAGACCCAAAAAATGTCTAACGTTACCACAGAGCTCGACTTCTTCGGCCTTGAGAAGAAGCAGACCAACAACGCTCCAAACCCCAAGTTCAAGAAATTTCTTGACCGCCGTCGTAGTTTCCGAGGTTCGGTCGTTGTACTTTAATTTTTCTTTCTCTTCTTTAACTTTTTATTCTTTTGTGGTCCTAAACGATCTTTATCTTGGAATATTTTTCATGCAGAAATTCAAGGTGCGATTTCGAAAATGGATCCAGAGGTTATCAAATCGCTATTAGCTTCTGGTGCTAACCATTCTGATACATCCACCAGATCTCTTTCAGTTCCATCTACTACTCCAAAGGAAGCTCATCCTCATATCCCCATTTCTACGGTCCACGCGCCGCTCACTAGGTTTTATTTTCTTTATTAGGAAATAATTTTTTTGCCATTTTAGCACTTCTAAAAAGCAAACAAAATAATATTTAAATTTATTTATAAAATATCGCCTCAGGCCCGGTATGGAACCTGCCTCTGGAACTGTTCCTATGACCATATTCTACAATGGGACCGTCTCCGTTTTCCAAGTGTCTCCTAACAAGGCTGAGGATATTATGAAGGTGGCCATGGAAGCAACACCAAAGAAAGACAAATCTATGGAGAAAGATCTCTCGGTAATTCCTCAGACCACCTTAAGAACAAAGCTCTTTGGCCAGAATCTAGATGGAGGTTAGTAGAAACATTAACAACGAATCACCCTGTGCTTTTATTCTTCTAGAGTATACTATAATATTAGTTGCATGTAGAGGTTTGAAATTAGTTTGTTGTTAGCAACATCTAACCACGTTACAGAAAACCGATATAAATCATTAACCGTGTCGATCCACTAACCAAAATGAACATGGCTTAGCCGATTCACTATTTGTGAATTGTTTTTATTTTTGAAATCGAACTAAACATGTGTTTTTGTTTTTTTTTGTGTGTGTGTGTTCAGATCTTCCCATCGCAAGGAAGAAGTCACTGCAAAGGTTTCTTGAGAAGCGCAAGGAGAGGTAATTGTTCTCTTACCATCCAAGAATTTTAGCCAAAAACAAAAATGAAAATTTTTTTAAACGTTCTCTACGTCGACCTTTTTCATTTAATTTTAAGTATTCCATTTAAGACCCATGAAAAATAGTTAGGTGTCGTGCTTCTGTTCTATCATATACAACTTTTAGACATGCTTCTGGTAGTTCAACAAAACACATGCTTCTGGTAGCTCAACAAAACACATGCTTCTGGTAGTTCATAAAGCACATGCTTCTGGTTCTACGTAGATATTGTCGAGTTATACGTACGTAGATTAAAAAACTCGCTACAAAAACGTGTTGACTTTAAGTCTCCCTTTTTTGTTTACTTCCGACAAGGTGATCTCAGACGAAATGATTCCATTTATTATCAATGATGAGAAAAAAAAACGAAAGAATATTAAACATTTGTTTTTTTGTTTGTTTGACTTAGTAGCATATGGCCAAACGAAATATTTGACGTGTTCTCTATAACTTACTGTTACAATCAACGCGTTTTCTCATTTAATTTTCGTTTGTGTGTGTTTGCAGAGTAGTATCAACATCTCCTTACTTTCCGACATCGGCCTAAACAAACCCTTATCTCTTTTTTGATTGGGATACGAAACCAAATGGTCATGTGACACCCATCCATGACATCGATGTTCGTTTTGCGTTTGGCTTCTCCTCAATCTTTTGTAATCCCCTATCTTTTGCAGATTAGTATGTTATCTAATAGCATATGTTTTCTTAAATGTTTTTTATATCTTATGTTCATCACGCTATGCGCTATGTTACAACTTACAAGTATATTTCTTATATATTTCCACTATTTTTGTTGAATTTTTAGAGTTTAGAAAAGTAAATGAACACGTCTCTTGGCTTCTCGTGAAGCTTCCGTATAAAAAAGAAATGTGCCTGTCACGCATCTTTTAACTTAACGTATTTGAGTATATATATTTGTTTGTTTGGTTTAGTCTTGTCATATGTATTATAATGGAAATTAGTTCAAGAAACACGTGAGTGTTACATCATTTTAGTAATGTGTGGTAAAGTCTTGCCGACTAACGTGACTTATTTTATGTTAAAAGCACTAGTGTAAGCACGAGTTTGGTGGAACTGTAAATTGGGAAGAAAAATAGATAGAAGGATAAAGTGAGCGTACTTTGCGTGTCTTCTTTTTAACTAATACCACTATCGTTGAATAGTATAGTATCCATCACTAGCATTAAGCGAGCATGGCGTGTCCGGATTAAAGAAACAATAGCAATTCCTCTACATCACACCATCATTTTGTGTTGCCATGTTACAATTGAAACAAGAGTATCTGACGTTATTATTGATATCTAAATTATTTATGATTTGAAAGCCTCCTCCCTATTAACGTATCTGAAACTGATAATCAGGATCATCTACAGCATTCATTTCATGAAATCACATATTGTGGGTTCGATCCCTCGAAACTAATCATTGTTGGCATCTTCAAAGAACCAATTTTATAAATATTCCCTTTCGTTATAGTCAACTGGTCTGATATGCAGCTATCGATTATTGTTTTGATTTTTTTTTGCCATTTGAATACAGAAACACAATCGTAATTTTTTACACTGATCTATAATCTCGAATCAGTTGTTTGATCTTTACATTTTTTTTTCTTTTGAAAGAATGTTTGATTAAAACTTTTTTACAATGAATATAGCATTTAGCTGAGTTTTTCTTAAAGAAAAGAAACAGAGACTATTTATCTTGTACCAAACCATATAGCCAGACCTCCAACATGGGATGGTTCGGTGATGGAAGAAAGATGATTTTTAGTTTTTTACAAATGCCAAAAGGTATACAAAAGTAGATTGGAAGAAGACATATCGCTAGAGAAACATTTCGATCATGTCACAGTTGTAAACAAGTAGCCGTCAACTGGTTTGTGTACTGTGTAGTCTAACAGTCCCTGTGTCAACCTTCCAAATTTCCTCAGAGTAAGAACAAGTGATTCCTTGTTTCCATTGAAGAAATTTACAATTTCAATATTCATGGATTCACTTAGCTGAGCATTAAAATCAATCTAGAGCTGTTAAATCGATATGGCTATTAAAAATTTACGACGATATAATTTCAATATAAGATGATTAGTTGTCTCTGGGTAAAACAAGCTATTAAAGCTTATGTAAAGTTCCACAAATGATTATTCAGATCAAATATTCTTTTTGATGATAGGAATTAGAAGATTTAATTATCAATATGTATTTTCTCATACAACAAAACCAGACCACAACTTCCGTAAAGACAGATTCAATCTAAATCAAATATAAAAAACACCTTTACAAAGATCATTGAGTAACAAATCAGAATCTGCAGTAAATTATATATCGACAGTTGGAAGACATATGTCATGTACTAAGCAAAGCCGTACCATTGAATTCACATGAGTTTCAGACAAAAGCATTAAAAACAGAGCAAGATTCTTAGTACAAAAAAACAGAACAAGTTGACAAACAACGTTCATTCCATACTGACATCACTAGAAAGCAATTCAACCAAATAAACCGAGAGATCAAATCTAAAAAAAGATTGACAAATAGGAGCATCAGTTTTAAAAAGCTCGATTTATATAATCCGCATGGTTAATCGGAAGCACCGTTGTAGTGCAAATAAAATCATCATCTGCTCCCATTCCTTTCAGCAGATTTTAAATCAAAATAAAAGGCATCACCTTCTAAAGATTAAAAAAGCAAAACAAACAGCCCACAACAAAGCACAAGCAACACTCGATTCGAGTAGAGGTTGAGTCTGTAAGCAAAAACAGCTAAAACTTCTTTTTATATGCAAAGCAACAGAAACCCTAAACGAATTTACATAAGTGGGCTTACATGGGCCACATGGTGATATCGTTTGGGCCGGCCCGTATTTCATGTGCTAAATGCCTTCCCTTTTTACAGAAACGTGCTTGAGATTCAGCGTCTGATTCCTAACAAGTATACTTTCTCACCTGCGGTTCAACCGGTTCGAGTCACTAAACCGGTGATCGGGAAAGATCATTTCCTTTCTGATTTGCTCGTCAAACGCGCGGTTGCAAGTTCGAAACTCCAAAATCCACATGATCGCGTCCATTAGAACAATTTATTTGTCGGAGATTCGCAGGTTTATTCAATGTAAACGTTCTGTTCGAACCGCTGCGTCTGCACTGCAATGGTCGGAACCGATAGCCCCAAGCTTAGACTCTCACACTTACGGCAATTTACTCCGTCACTGCATTCACCAAAACGATTCAATCTCAACGAAGGCTATTCACTGCGATGTCATCAAGCGAGGCATCTGCTTGGACCTTTTCGCTTCAAACATTCTTCTCAACGCCTACGTCAAAACAAGTCTCTCAAAAGATGCATTGAAACTGTTCGACGAAATGCCTGAGAGAAACAATGTCTCGTATGTTACTCTAAGTCGAGGGAACGCGTGTGAAGATCCCGTTGGTCTTTACACAAGGTTACATCGAGAAGGTCATGAGCTTAATCCACACGTGTTCACTTCCTTCTTGAAGTGGTTCGTCACTGTAGACAAAGCTGAGATTGGTTGGTGGTTACATTCTCCTATAGTTAAGCTCGGTTTAAACTCCAATGCTTTTGTTGGAGCTGCGCTTATCAATGCTTACGCCGTCTGTGGGTTAGTTGATAGTGCGAGAAGTGTTTTTGAAGGGATTTTGAGTAAGGACGTTGTTGCTTGGGCTGGGATTGTATCTTGCTATGTGGAGAATGGGTTTTTGGAGGATTCTCTTGAGCTGTTATCTCGTATGGGGATGGAGGGTTTCATGCCTAATAATTACACCTTTGCTTCTGCGCTTAAGGCTAGCATTGGGCTAGGGGAGTTTGATTATGCCAAGAGTGTTCATGGGAGAGTCTTGAAAACATGTTATGAGTTGGATCCTCGTGTAGGTATTGGTTTGCTTCAGTTGTATACACAGCTTGGAGACATGTCTGATGCTCTTAGAGTATTTAGTGAGGTGCCAAAGAATGATGTGGTACCTTGGAGTCTTATGATTGCTCGTTTTGGTCAGAACGGGTTTTGTGACGACGCGGTTGATATGTTTATCCGAATGAGAAAAGCTTTCGTTGTCCCCAACGAGTTTACTTTTACCAGTATTTTGAATGCGTGTGCGTTAAGAAAGTGTTTTGGCTTAGGAAGGCAACTTCATGGTCTTGTGGTGAAAGGTGGGTTTGATTTGGATGTTTATGTCTCAAATGCTCTTATCGATGTATACGCCAAATGTGAGAAAATGGATACCGCTGTGAAGTTATTTGCTGAGTTATCAAATAGGAATGAGGTGAGCTGGAACACAGTCATTGTCGGGTATGCGAATCTAGATGAGGCAGAAGAAGCTTTAAGCTTGTTTCGTGAAGCTCTTAGAAATCATGTGTCGGTAACTGAAGTAACTTGCTCAAGTGCTATTGGAGTTTGTGCTTCTTTGGCAAGCATGGAGCTAGGTGCCCAAGTTCATGGGCTAGCGATAAAAACCAATAATGCCGGGAAAGTTGCGGTGAGTAACTCATTGATAGATATGTATGCAAAATGTGGTGATATCAAAGACGCACAATCTGTGTTCGACGAGATAGAAACCAAAGACGTACCTTCTTGGAACGCGTTGATCTCAGGGTATTCCACACATGGACTGAGTAGAGAGTCATTGAGAATCTTTGACATTATGAAGGATAGTGATTGCAAGCCAAATGTGTTAACATTTCTTGCTGTTCTTTCCGGATGCAGCAATGCAGGATTAATAGATGAAGGTGTAGAATGTTTTGAGTCGATGATTCGAGATCATGGTATTGAACCATGTTTGGAACATTACACGTGCATGGTCAGGCTTTTGGGAAGATCAGGGCAGCTCGAGAGGGCAATGAAGCTGATTGAAGGGATTCCATATGAGCCTAGCGTTATGATCTGGCGGGCAATGCTTAGTGCTTCCATTGGTCAGAACAATGTGGAGTTTGCAACGAGATCGGCAGAGGAAATACTAAAGATCAATCCAAAGGATGAGGCAACGTATGTTCTATTATCAAACATGTACGCAGGTGCAAAGGAATGGGCAAACGTTGCGTCCGTTAGGAGAAGCATGAAGGAAAAGGGTGTAAAGAAGGAACCTGGTTTAAGTTGGATAGAACATCAAGGAGATGTGCATTACTTTAGTGTGGGAAGGCTATCACATCATCCGGATATGAAGCTTATAAATGGGATGCTGGAATGGCTTAACATGAAAGCAAGACGAGCTGGTTATGTTCCTAATCGGAAGGCGGTCTTGCACGATATGGGTGATGAAGAAAAGGATAAGAGATTGTGGTTTCACAGCGAGAGGTTGGCTCTAGCCTTTGGGCTTGTTCGAATGCCATTATCAAGAAACCGAATATTGATCATCAAGAATCTACGGATATGCTCGGATTGCCACAGTGCTATGAAAGTGATATCAAGTATAGTTCAGCGAGATCTTGTCATCCGAGATATGAATCGGTTCCATCATTTTCATGCAGGAGTTTGCTCTTGCGGTGACTACTGGTGAATGGAAGGAGACAGAGAGCATAAAAACAAATCTCAACATTTTTGTCACATTATTTAGGAACACTAGATTACAACAAAGTCTGATAAGCTTATTGCACATGACAGGGGTACAGAGTATACATAAGTTAACTACACAGATAAAGGAAAGCGAAGAGCTTAACCTTGGACTTGGATTCACAAGCCTAGAAACTAGAGAGCATAACATCTAAACATCGATGATATACAGATTTTCTACAGACTGTGCAGCTCAACTTGAAGATAGAGAGATCACATATCCATGTCGTCAAAGATCTCTTCATCCTCTCCATATGGTGGCGTGTCGGCTAGAAACGCATCATTTGCCAGGTTACTGCAACAAACATTTTCAGAGTAGGTAAGCCTTTGGATAAGAAGACAGTAAAAGAGACAAAAAACTATGTAATAATCTCACCTTATGCAGCAGAAACGAAAACCTGCAACACGTTTCAGTTTCCGGTTGTAGAATAAGAAACAGAAAGACCATCTGGATTTAACCCACCAGGAGAAAAAGGATAAGGAAACAGCCGTTTAGTTAACAATCAGGAAAGTTGTTGTAACTTACATTGCTCCTTCTTCGAGGAAAGGATCAGCATTGGGATTAGGGTTGTACACATATATCTCACATTCAGCTAGTTTCACAACCTGTATAACATTTGTATGATTTATAGAGCTTTCCCATGACTCTTGCCTACTAGCTTCTACTGTGTTCTTATTAAAGTGAACTTACCTCATCAAGAGCCTCGTAGATTGCCTCAAGTAGGGAACCATCCTCATCCCTCTCAGTCCATTCCTATAAAAAAACAGATTAGAGAATACATATGATACACTTGTTAAAAAACAATCTCCATCTAACAGACTTATAATACCTTAGAAGCTTCAAACATATAGTTGTTAAAGATCTGCGTAAACGTGTCCCAGCTCTCCTCTGAGAAAAACTGATGTGCTTTCACAGCGCTGAAAACAAAAACAAAATAGAAGAAAACAATGCGATAGTGATAGAGTTATATACACACAGATGGACTCTTTCATGTTGAACCAGACACCACACAACCGGTTTAGTTTTAAACATTTTTGGGAAATGGAGAGAATTGAACTCTCAACTAGCAACAGTTCAATGAACCTGTTGGTCAAACCTTCTGACAACACTCCCACACTGATTTTTAAAAAGGGGGATTATATAGCGGGTTGCCATGTCGCCCAAGAAGCTGACAATGAACATTACCCATATAATCCCCCTCCCTTAAAAAGATTTACAAACACACAAGTACCTGAAATCGTAGTCTGGATACATCTGATAGAGTGTAAGAACCAAGTAGATCAAAGCCTTTCGACTGTGGATTAAGCAATACAATATAATATGTAAAGAAAGATATACTTTAATATATAAAATAGAAAGGTGAGAAAAAAAACTATGTAACATTGATTCCTTACCTAGATCTGCTTAACAAGAGATCAACAGGTGAAGATGAGTCAGTGTCAGAAGATTTCCCAAGATAATCCAGCATCTGAATTCAAGAAACAATTAAAAAATAAGGTCAACAAGCAGCAGCTGTACACATTCAATAATTAAGACCAAAGCACATGCTAAATTGTAATAATTAGATGCAAGTCGTAATACCTCATTCTCCAAACTAAGAGACAGTCTTTTATCAGTTCCAGCATGTTTACCTATCAAAATAAATAAATAAATAAACTTATATTATTTTCTTTCTAGCCCAGAAGATTTATCTTCTGACACATAAGAACAAGAACATGTCCTTACAAGAATAAGCTTCAAGGCAACCTTTGATAGTTCTTTCTCCGAGATTTAGATGACCCATAAACACATTCAATCTGTAATCAAAACCCTTTCAGATATACAAAAAAAAAAAAAAAACTAAAATTCTCATTATTCACCCAAAAAAAAACTCAATTTCACCTGTCAAGGTTGGTGTACTCCAGGAACTTCATGATGAAGATACGATAAAACAAAAGATAACCTAACAATTTTCAAGAGAGCAGATCAGCTTTTAAGCAAATATCATCACGCAATTCTCAGATCTAAGGGTTTGAAAATTAAACATTTATAATATCAATTCAGATTAAATTAAACCGTAAAATCTGGAAGAAAAGAAATGAGCGGCAAGGAGAATTGAAATTTTGCAATACAAATTTGAGAGGGGAAACGAACCTGAACCGAACCTCTTTTCAACGGTTTTGCGGAAATGAAGACGAACTTGTGTTGTGTATTGTTGTAATTCTACTGGAATCTATATAAACGCGCTAAGGAATCCTCGCACGTGCAGATGCGGATATGCTTTGGTCTGTGATTGGACAACGTAGCGTCTGAATTTTAAGGGTCTGGACTGGGTGCCGTTTTTATGATGTTTCATGGGCCGTTCGAGTTTGGGTTTTTATTATATGTTTAATAGCCTTTTTGGTTGTAATATTAAAATTTAAATAGGTGCCACGATATCATGTTTACTTTGCGTCTAAATGATTTTTAATTTTTAAGTACACCTTTCTTGACAATGATGGCCTCAATCGAGGTGGACCATTTTATTAAATAAAACCTAAATTATATTTTACATGTGCGTGAACACCTCCTAAGGAAAGGAGCAAACTTGTACCAAACTGCAAGCTAAATCACGAGTATTCCATATATAAAGGTCGAGGAACTTGAATGATGATACAATATGAGGCTGTAATAGACTAATAGTTATTGGGAGCAAGAAATCAACTTAACCCAAGGCTAGCATTTAAATACGAAATTCGTGTTCCGGGTTTTAATGGGCTTAGAATTTTGAGTTGAACCCATGTTGCAGCCCAAAACCATTAACTAAGACCAAGGCTTACATATACATACCTTTTTTTACATTTTTGGGGGGACTTAACCCAATGTTAGCATTTATATATACAAAACTGATGTTCCGGGTTTTAATGGCTTATAATTTCAGCTGAACCTATGTTTCAGCCCAAAACCATTTACCAACACCAAGGCTTACTTATACATACCTTTTAACAATTTTTTGGGGAGGAGAGAGTGAACCCTAAAAGCAAGAGAATGTAAAACATTAAAAAAATAGGAGGAATGTGGCAGATGATCATGATTGCAACCCTGAAAGGACAGTCTCGGTGATAGGCTCAATGCGATACAGCAACCCACAATTGTAATTTTAGGTTTATGGTTTTGTGTTTTACTTCGTTTCTTGTCTTTTTATGTCTTCCAAATATTCTCTCAGATTATACACACGCAACTATTGTATGTAAAAGTGATGTATGTACGCAAGGCAATACAATTAGAAAGAAACAAAGCTATATCTCATGCCCCAAAACACTTGGAAGACATGGAAGTGTATATATATATATCAACGTTATCATTATTAAGTCTCATCTCGTTAATACCAAAATATATGTATGCTTTTATATTTTATTTTATTTTCATATTTTATTAGTATTTTTGTAGTTGTTCTGCTTTTATTTGACTCTTACCTTAGTTAGGTTAATAGTCACTCTTCACGTATATATATATTATTAGGTGTTTTTTCGCGTGTGCGAACATCAGAATGTTGTAAATATGAAATATTAGATAGAGGAGGATAAGAGACTTGAAGTGGTCATTGATAGTCAGAGAATGACCTTAGATAAATAAATATATTATCAATTTAAAACCATTAGAATAACTTATTGTTCACATTTTAAAAATAATTAATAATTAATTAAACGATATAACACTTTTTCATCACACCATAAATATTTTTTATTCCATAAAATAAATTGAAAACACTCATGGATAACATTTAGTGGTAAATAAAATATCAAATTATTTATCAAGGTAAAATAAACTTGAAAACACTCATAGATAAATTTATATACAAAAAAATATAGGGGTCTATCTTTTAATTTGAGTTTTAAAAGTTTACGATGTCATATATATTTGTATAGTTTTAGATAGTGGTAATTATCAAATCAGTGAATGTTTTTTATAGTTAATTATCTATTAATAAATCTAATATTTATTAAATATAGTAAAATTTTAGTCGCTCTGTAATTTTAAAATGAGAGTTCAAAGGGAGAAAAAAAATTTCGCAAATAATAGGTATATATGCATGTTAGGCTCAGCATATATATTAACAAAATAAAAACTAGCTAGAAATAGAAAATAGTGCAATTAGCTTTAGTTTATGTCAGAAATTGAATACTTGGTTTAGTGGAGTTTATGTATACATGAAAAGAAAAACGAGAATCCCGCGTGGGCCGCAACTCGATAACATGGAAATACTTGGAAATTTGGAATCAAGAGAAAGAGAAGTTGATGCAGGATTGTTGATTTGACCATTGAACGAGAGAGATGATGATAATATTCTATACAGATGCACATGAATCAGTGTATCTATGTATTAAATTTGTAAAGGAGAATATTCGTTAAGACGTGAAGAGGAAGAGGTGGTTGTAGAAAAAGGGGACATGCAATGCAGAAAGAGAGAGAAAGTTATGTTTCTTTTTACAACATCGGAATGATAACTCTTCCCACTCACTTCACTATATGCCTCGAAATTTACTTGTCCCGATAGGCCTGCTTAAAGGCACCTTTCCTCCAATATGCATGTCCATATTTATTCATTAAACAACAAAATATTCGTATTTAAAAGAAAAAAGAGAGCAAGTGATCTTGTTACGTTCAAGAATTTGAAAAATAAACTGAACAAACAATACAAGAGTTAGATTGAATCAAAGGTTATTGTTTATGTACTCACCCAAGCTCAAACATATTTAGTTACTTCTTTTTGGTATAGTAAATAAATTTGGTATTGTGATTTTTTTTCTAAGACAAAAGGGATATAACTTTTGGGGGTTGATTCAAAGCCTAAGTCATTTCATGCCCTATGCAATGTCACTAGCTAGAGACCACGCCTCTGAACCTTTTCACTTCCTCTTTTCCACCCAAAGCTGACTCTTTCCCTCTGTACATGTATGTATGTGCTCTTTTTGTAGTACACTTTTGTTTATTGACCATGCACAGATTACTGTTAAATGTATCTTTTAAGAAAAAAAATCTTCGTAATTAAGACTTATTGTTGAACGTAACTGTGTGACATGACTTTGGCTAAATAGCATGATTGAACGTGCATACTTGCAAGAACGGAAATATTCAAAGTCACACGGCCTTGAGTTTCAAAAATCACTATTCTTACTTCTTACTTCTTACTCGTCAAATATTTTGAGATCTTTAAATGGATAACACTTATACAGCCAAAAAAGTGCGCTTCAACCTAACATAAAGTATTTTTAAAGCTGGAGGGTGTTGCGAGAAGAGAAGAAGATATTAAAACATCGCTTAGACACCAGTTAGTGTGACATAACGATGCATTTTCAATCAATTTTTTATTTTCATTTTCCTATCTCCATGCTTTATTTTCTTGTAAACACTAATGTTGTTCACTTGTTTTTAGTACGAGTCATGAGTAATTACCGTACTCATATGGGTTAGCTAGCTAGGGACCTTAATTAGGGTTGAAATATAGTTATATCTATGTTGTTGTTTTTTCTTTTTTGATAATCCAAGAGTTTCCCACTTACATGAATCATTCCCATGAGCTGGTCAGGCAGCGGTCCACTTCATCCGGAAAGACTATAACTGGGCTGGGGACAAGGCCTAACACCTAATACCGCATTTGGTGACAAGAATCGGCAATTCCCCTCCGCCTGACATCAAATCCGTGAGCATGACAATTGGCTCACAGGATCCTTACCAAACGAACTATCTCATCCCGTCCTATATCCATGTTGGTTGTAGATGAATTTATGAATAGTAAGAAGACATAATCCATCTTGAGAATAACCTGAAGTATTCTCTCCACTTTTACATTAACTTCGATATATTAGTGACTTTTTTCCTGAGACAATGTCCCGAACACTTAGCATTTTCTAGCACAGAACTTTCTAGCCACTTAAGTTCAACAATGCTGCAGTATATATCAGCAAGAAGTAACTTTGAGTAGATTGGGATCAGCTAATTTTTCTTATTCTAGTTGCAAATGTACTAACATTGAAATTGTTGGGGAGCACATGGTTCGTAGTAGAAGTACAATTCGATGAGAAACAAACAAGCATCACAAGGTCTGTATGTTTTGCTGTATGATCTGGGGAAATGAGCTTTTAACCGAAAACATCATCATTTTCGGTGCATGCCAAATTCCCCTCAAGCGTTTTTTTTTTTTGTATTTTCTAATCACTGACTTAAATATTGCTAGTTTCATTTAGGAATAATTAACTACTACTATCCTTGGGATTATTAAAACACTTCATATCTGAATAATTGAACTTTGACAGGTCTAATGTCATCATGCCTCGCACTCCACTCTTCTCGTTTTCTGGCTTTACTGAAAATCCCAGCTTTTATTTAACCCCAGAAATACCAAAACCATTTTAAAAAGGGCAACTTCTTTGTCTATTTAAAGAGTAAAGACAACACACATAAACAAAAACAATTTTACGTATAATATGCTAATTATAACTTTACTCGGTCTACTCGTTGAATATTTTTCTAGTTAGAATATTTGCCACACTACCTTTTCTAGATCGTAAGGTACATAGAGATAGACAATAGTGATTGGCATTCTTTGTTATACGTTGAAGTTACAAACAATTTTGATTGTGAATTTCAAGCTGTCGCTGTATAACTTGTGTAGTAGCTGTACTTCTTACTTTAATTTTTAAAAAATTATTTAAAATAATAATCATTCCGTTTTATTTTAATTTTCATTTTAAATTTATACACACAGATTAAAAAAATATTTAATTGTCTATATATCCTATATAAAACATCATTACTAATACACATAACCATATTCTAACTAATTGAAAATTAATCTTAAAAATAAAATTAGTAAATTATGCATTGAAATGACAAAACGAAATTTATTTTGTAATAATTTTTTATACAATAATATTTAATATGAAAAGGATGTAGTATTATATAGTAATTTTAAAAACAAAATTATATAGTATTTTTTGTAAAATATGTAATAAGAGGTATTTGATATGGTCGTTTAATCTGAATAAGCGATTATAGAACTACTGAATTAGTGTGAGTGCAATTTGAGATCGAGAAAGGTTTTGCATCTGCTGAATCATATGTACGACGAATAAGAAAAACTTTGGCCTAATAATAAATTTTCTTTTCTTGGGACAGCTAGCCCATAATATGTAAATATTCGAAGTCATAAAATGGCGTCGACTAAGTATATATCATATATGCATGAGTAAACAGGTGTAATCTGTCGTATATACGTGATATAATCTCTATCTTGTGTCTCGCATGATATATTCTCGATAAAAGGATATTAGTTGTAATGATAATGTACATTAATTGAGGAATATACCACTATAGCTTCTCTTAGAGTATTGATATCTTTTTTGTACGTTGAATAGGTGTGAGAAATATCTCGAAATGTTGGTTGGCCTGATGACGCAGGTAATATGCTGGTTTTATTTGATTATATTGTTATTGTGGATTGAGTCCTCCATGCAGCTAGCTAGGTTTAATATACTAATTTTCTATGTGTATGTTTGTAAGTCATTGTGAAGAAGTAGAGGATGATTGGTAGATGCACTAGGTTCTGTAGATAGCTAATAATATCTTATACCCACAAATTATGCCCATCAAACTTTACTTAATTAATTTTGTTTTAAACCTGCAGCTGAACGAATCTACCATGTTCTTGGAATACTTATAAGCAATTTGGAGCGACTGTAAATAAAAATATAATTAAGAAAATATTCATATTATGAATTAACAAAGGCACGGAAAAAGAGTTAGGAAATATCTTCACAAAGTTTTTGTCTATATAATTATTTTAATATTACATTTAAAAATAAGTCAAATAGTTTACATAACTAGATAAATTTTATGATTTCCTATAAATTTATACATTTTTAAAAATAAATTTGTAATTTTGTTTTATCTCATTAGAAGCTTGATAAATATTAACCAAAGAGTCATTGAAAATTCGATGGCATTATTCAAATCCTTGAATTACAATTTTATTCCTAACTAGATTTTGAACATGTACATCCGTGCGGATAATCTTTCAGTTAAAATCTAAAATTTAAAATTACAGTTAAAATAGATTTTTGATTAATATTTTTATAATTATTTAGAAATATTATACATTAAATAAACTAATGTAAATAATCAAAACAATATAACTGAATATATATAGATCTAGTATGACTATTTTATAGTAGATAAAAATGGTAGATTAGTCCGTATTTTACACTTCTTAAAAGAAGAAGAAAAAGTTGTAAAAAAGAAAGAAGAAAATATGAATTCTGATAATTATCGTCCAATTTTTTGTTTAATGCTATGTATATGTGGTGAAGGGAAAAAAAAGAGGAAGAAAGAATACGTGTGTATAATAATAATATTAATGACATCAAAATAATGTATATGTACTGAGATTGACCGCATAAGAAGTTTTCCATATAACTAGTTCCCATTACTCTGTATAATTACAAGACTTAACATTCTCTCTATCTCTTTCTTGGTTTTACTCTTCTTCTCTCTCTCTCTCTCTAATCTTTTTCTCTGCATCAATTTCATTCCCACAAGATTCCAAACAAAGAGAATTGATAGAAATTAAAATTTGCAGAACTTATCCTCTTCCTCCTCTAGTCCCCTCTTATATATCATTAACATACATATAGTCTCTCTCTCCCTCTCTCCAGCGACCTCCATGGCTTCACCGGTCTCTGACCATTCCTCGAGTTCTTGATCTCTGGTCTCCATCTAAGAACCCTAATTTATTATCTTCTCCTCCATCTCTCCTCATGTTGAGATCATCAGAAACGTTTCGTCTCACTCCTCTCCGGCTTTCTTTCTCTATTACGGTCACAAGATTCTGCCATGGTTCTTGATGCTGAATCCTCCTTCTCAACAACGCTTCTTCTTTCATGTGTGTTTCCTAATAGTTTCGCTTTTATGAGGTTATTACAAAACGCTCATCACTTCTCTTCTGTCTCTAACGACGACAACAACAGCAAGAAAGACATTCGCTTAGGATCTGATCATCAAGTAAAAGATAATCATCACCGAGTTTGTAGGAGAGATTGTAGTTTCATGGACAATCAAGAAGAGCCAAGAAGTACTACTTCTAGGTTAAGCTCCAAGGACGACAACAACAACAACAATAATAATAATACCAACAACGAAGACAACGATCATGAGATGAGACAAGAAGGGTGGCTCCAGTTAAGCACAGGCCACGAGGATGATCATAGACCGGATCTTGACAATAAACATCAAACCAATCAAACGGCTGGGAGAGACTCTTTTCTAGAGCTTAACCTTTACTCTGGAGGTTCAAATAGAGAAGAAAGAGTTGGTCTTCCGTTAATGTCATCTATCTTTCATCATCAGCATGAACCAGGAGGGATGATGATTAATCCATTGATGTTCCCTACCAGGCCTGATCATGAGACTATTGGTTCTTGGTCGGCTGCATTTAGGACGCCTTTTGTTCCACAAAACCTAGTGCAACCATCATCTTCATCTGCTTCTTTGATGATGCCATTCATAGGACCTTACTTTGGTCGTTCCAATTTTCAGCAGCAGTTAATAGGGAACAATAATAATAATAATAATAATAATAATAATAATCCGGATGTGGTGGCTGGTCCAAGCTCGAGTTTTCGAGTCATTGATCCTCCCAGACGACCCCATTCCGGCATTTGGTTCCTCCTTCAAGCTTCTCAAAACCAGTAAGTGCTATATATGATGTATATAGAGACTATATATATGTTCTATAAGGTCCATTATTTCTTGATTACAATTGTTTGTCAAATTAATAATTAGTGGCTTTGTTTTGATTGAATGTCTTAGGACAAGAGAACCATTCTTGCCTCAGATACCCAAGAGCTACTTGAGAATCAAGTAAGTGTACTAAGATTCTACCATTCTCTGAGTATATACTATAAGAATGACAGATAAAACGACGTCAATATTGTCGAAAGTTTATGGCTAATTAATTTTGATGTTCTTGGATTTTGTAGGGACGGGAAGATGACTGTTCGACTATTGATGAAATATTTGGTGACCAAGTTGAGATTGGAGCACGAATCCCAGGTTTTTTTTTTTTAATTAATCTCATTAACTCTTTAATTTCACTTTCTTTAGCTTTATTGTTATAGATTCCATGTACACGTTGCTTGCCGTAACTACAATCTCCTTTAGTTGTTTTCAGAAAAAAACATAAAAATCCATAACTTTCCATAAATACTTTTAAAGCATTTAAGATGATGAGAATAGTACGATAGAAACAGAAACATATTAGTAAAAGAAAAGAAGAAAACGTCGAGAGGGTACATTCATGGGGGTTGGTGTGAGGAACATGACAACAACGTCGGAACTAAATTGCCTCAAAAGTGTCTCCATGTTAATTAGGTCACAGGTAGATGTCGTTGCTAGGTGTAAACCGTTTTGTTATTTCTTTGTTTTTATATGCTTATTATCATCCATAAATTAATTTTCAACCTTTTTCGAGTTTGTCTTACTTGCCCCTTTTTATAGTTTAGGGGTAATTGATTAACAGTCGAGTCATTCGTTAATTAGTGCCTTCTGTGTTCAACGTACGTAATTCTCATTAGAGATGAGTGCACCCTTTAATTTATTTCTTTTGTACATTACATACATGCCATTATACATCGATTTCTTTGTAAAAGTATTTCGTGCTTACGTTTTAAAGTGTTTTGAGTACGTTTCAAAACAACATTTTATTGACCTATGGTATTATCTAGTTTGAGAGATAGTAACCAAAATAATACTAATTTCTAGCCATTAGAAATTTACTTTTAGTTTTATCTAGTTTGGATAGGTACCGCTATGACATCACATCGTTTAGAAAACTCGGTTTATAAAACTAATCGTATTAGGCATGTGTTACATATCACATATTTACATATATATATATTTGGCAAAAAAAAATACACGTACAATTGTGCACTATAGCTATATCCCACGCTTCTTCCATAGCTAGTTATTATCTCGAATGATGAATACAGTAAATAAAGTTTCTATCATATGCATGCTGACTTTGAAACCTTACGAGTCGAATTCATGAAACAAAAAGTGTCCTTTCCTTTTATTTTTTGGTGAAAGAACAGAATTCAATCCCTAGTAGTATTACGTACGATGCTTCTCGTGCAAATTTAATCATTGATATGTGTGCATTTATGCACTCGCTTACCCATGATACGCTATAACTTTTATGATTCCTGATTAATAATTACATTTTGCTTGTCAACGAATAATTACAAAGATAGATACTTCTTTCCCGTGTGAAAGGATAATTCAATTTTTTCTTTTGAGAAAGTTCAGTGTTTTTTTTTGTTGAGAAAGTTCAATGTTTTTTTTTTGCTAAATGATAATTCAATGCTTCAAAAATTAGTGTACATGGAACGTCATTGATGGTCTTTTGATAATTAGGAAAACATGAATTATTGCTTTTGATACGTGAGCCCTTCTTTTATGTGCTTTTCTCTTATTTATTTATTTTCCTTTCATTTTAAAACAAATTTGAAAGTCACACACATAGATGAATTAATCTTTTACACGTCGTAACGTACGAGATTGCATGAGACGCTTATAAAGAGACATAAATCCAACCGTATACGTGGTTTATCTTGTAAGAAGAAGAATTTGATAGCCTGCTTTGATCCCTGCATTTTTATATCGAACATTGCATAGAAAATTACTTCCAAATGCACACGGTTATTTTAATATATATATTAGTTCTCATTTACATAAATAAAAACAAAATCTTTAAAAGAGGATAAGAGACTTTAATTGAAATGACGATCTTTGATTGTTTGGAATATAAAATACATCAGGTTGTTGTAAGCATGTTTTCCTGAAACATTCTTTAGATGCTATAATTAATCTGGACGCTGAAAAATAAACTATAATATTTAGGTCAACTAAATGTTTATAAATTATAATTTACTCAAATCACTAAGTTTTTCTGTCTTGTTGCATTAAGCCATGCCATGAAGTATGACAAATGGGACGAGACAATCGATATAAAAATTATATGTAGGTATGCATGTCTTTGTATAATACACATTATATATTTGCTGTGTCCATATCTTGATCAAATAATTAAGTTTACATTGATAATCTGTTTATTTCGTGTCCATATCCCCTAAATTAGAGAATATGAAAACAACATAAACGTCAGTACAAGGTACATATGTGTTCAAATATTTTTTTTTTTGTTGTAAAAGAGCATTTCAAATGATTTATGTTAATTAACAATTCATATTAGATAGCTAATACGGTAGATGCAAATTTTGTTTTGTGCGCATATACAAATAGCAAAGGAGAACATTAATCGTCCTATCAATTTGGTAATATAGATCTAAAGACTAATACTCATTCCGTTCTAAAAAAAAAGATGTTCTGAAGAAAAAGTCCAAAAACTATTTTGATGTATGTATTTATAAATTGTAATTATTTAATAATAATATATTAGAATTTTTATTAAATTAATCAAATTAATACTAATTTAATTCTACTGAAGATAGATAAAATTATTTATGACATAAATCTAATATATATTTGTGTAAGTATGAAAATCTATTTAAATATTATATATATATATTTATAATTTTTGTTAAAGTTTATTTAGTATTTTCACCTAAAATAGGATTGCGTCCACTTGTCATCATAAGCTAAAGTTTTTTTTGGATAAAATCATTCATTGAAGTTGCAATTATGTGCATTCATATATGTGTGAAATATTTACATTGTATACTATACAATGATGTGAATGTGTGTTGGGTAGGGCATAGGTATCAAGAGTGTATAATATGACTGTAATGATTAAGAAGCCATAATCTGAATTCGTGGTGGCATTGTTTTTTTTTCTTCCATTCGCCTCTCCCCTCCCCCTCTTTTAAGTCTCCTTTGACTTTTAGACGTAAGAAAACAAAAAGTTTTGAAGCGAAAGTATTCCATAAATTTCAAATTCCCGTTGCTCCACATGTTTTTTCTTCTCAACTCGCTCTCATTCCATAAAATAAATATTCTCAAATAACAATTACTTATATTTTATTTATGCTAACGTTACTAAACGTTTTAAAAGTTATTTCAGCCTTTTTTGGTAAAGAGCATAAAACACTTGTTTGTTATTATTGTTTTATTAATTGTTAGATAACCATAATACACAACGACACTTGTTATTTTATACGAGAACAACAGATACAAATTATCACAGAAACTAGATCATATTTGTTTTCTTGATGAGCCTTTATAAAAACTTTTTGGTTAGGGTTACATTTCAGTTTATATATCATGAAATGTGTATGTAGACTATATAGTTTTTTTTGCTGAAAAAAAAGAATGTAGACTATATAGTTCCCCTCTTGTATCTTTCATACAGGGAAAAACATCGCAAAAATAAGAAAAAAAAAACTAATGATTATCTTTCAAAATTTTACAGCAGATGCCTATAAATACGACTTTCAAAAATACCTGTTTCCATATACAATTAAAAAAACGTAGAATAAAATGAGGCTTAGACAAACCGTCATGCTTATGTTAGAAGTGGCTCATCAACACCAGCGATATATTTCTTTCCCCTTGGTTTAGCTATCCTTGTTTAGTGTCTCGTGTAGGACCCTTTCGTCACAAAACCCCTAATAAATTTGGTGCTTAAAAGGCCTTTTCCCCATCAATCATACTCATATCCTCTATAAGTGCTGCATTTTCTTGTTATATACTATTAGATGATCGTATATACAATCCTAATTTATCTAACATTTTGTTATAAATAGCATATCTAGCCAAATCTAGTCTCCATGGAGATGTTGAGATTTTCCTTTTAACTATAAGTAGACTTCAAATAATGTAAATATTAATTCATGATAAATTGATACTACAAATAAAACTTGACCATGTAAAATCTATAAGGTACGGCTCACAAATAATCGCTCAGGATTTCTAAAATCTAGGTACCATATATTGTAGAATATATAGCTGCGAATGAGTTTTTGTAGGCTAGTAAATGTTTTAAACTTGGCAATGTGGTATGCAACTTAATTATATATAAGCATATATATATTGATAAATAATAATGTATTTTACGTGGGGGAAAAGCAATGCATGAAGTCGCCCTCGACAACAGAACCATTGCAATTTGCTGAAAGAAAATTGCATTTTCTTTTTTTTTAAAAACGAAGTAGCACTAAAGGGTAAATAAGGAGCCATGAACATGATGTCCTTTAAGTTAGTGATGCGATGCATGCAAAACATTTTAATATATATGCATATCCGACTACGACTTCTATGGTCCCTAATTTATAACCAATTTACATTACTTTATTATTTATGTATGTAGGTCCTTTAATGGAAAATAGAAATATTAAGATGTTGATATGCGAGATAGAACACTACTTTCATATGCTAACCAAATACTATATATATAATTTATCGCAACCGTAGACGATATTCCAAATGGTATCTTGTTAGTTATCTAATTGAAGTATTGATCAATGTATAACAGTATCATTGTATCAACACACTACAGTGAAAATATATAGTAGGAGAACTGGGTTAGGATGGTTTGACACGTTTGAAACATAGTTTCTATAACGTTTAATCTGCTTTGTGTACGTACACCTGATTAATCAATTGAAACAGTAAATTCTAGAATTTCTAATCTAAAATGGACTCCAGAAATATTCTTAACCATGACTTGAATATTCATCACTTCGGCATCACTTTACAGTCTATTTTGAAAAGTCACTGAAAAAATGCATTACGATTTAGGGTAGAAAAAAGGGTAGGGACACGAAATGATTGAGATTTTGGACATCGTGGGTACCATTCAAATTTCAAATATATAATCAAGTTAAGTCATTATATCGTGAATATGTGTTGCAATAGTTTTCTTTAACTTATTATATGTGAAATAAGTGGTGGAGTCATTGTTGGCGTTGCTCTTCTTTAAAAGCAATCGTGTTAGAAAATCAGAAATCTCTTAGAAGTAAAGTAGAGATGACATAATTACGGCATTGCGTAGCTACTTTGACACGTCGCATTTTCCAACTCTTTCCCTCCGTCACCTCTACGATGCAATGATCTCATTACATCAAATAGTAACATACTCATATATACCCAGAAAATGTAGATTTGTTCATTACTTTTTAAAGCTTTGATCTACTATGTTTTTGCATGAATAACTCTAGTTAATTTTACTGTGTTTAATAGGACTAAATAGTATTGTGATTTTATATTTGTAAAATGAAAAGCAGGTAGAGATAAGATGCAGAGGGCAAGAACTGGAGCCAGTGTTGACACTACAACACGTGAGAGATACAATCTGGAGAGGAAGCAGAGACAACTCTTCTATTTCACAAAACCTTATTACTTTGCTTCCAAACTCATCTACCTCTGATCATCTCATGGTCCTTCATTATGGTAGGACTCTTTCTTAAAAACCATTATATATTCCTATTTATTTTTTAACACCATATTATTCTCAATAAAAACAACCGCCCACCCTTTCTTTTTTCTTAACTCAACAGCCCACCTTCTTCAATTGTCTTCTTCCCTCTCTTTTTTTTGGCTGGGTGGTTTTGATTATTTTATTTATCCTTAAGGCCTTTTTTGTGAGATTTGTCGAATGATCAATCAAGAACAAATGAGTATCTAATTCAGTAGGAGTAGCATGCCTCCGATTGATGTTTTTATTGTTGTATCTTCTGGGGCTGCGAGTTACATTAACGCATGAAAGATGTATTCATATTTTTTTTTTTTGATCAAGATGTATTCATATTTATATGCATTGTTTTTTCATGCTATTGCTTTTGACGTAGTTCGTGATATGTTGCTTCTTTGTTGTTGTTTGATGTTTGTCTAAGAAAATGGGCCTGTTTAGGCCTAACACCGTACCAACTCAATAACAATTTGGCAATATATAAATTTTAGGCCTTATGAGAAAGGTTCGATACTCTTGGCATCCACTAACCCAAAACCATAAATGGATGAACCAATATCTAATTTTCAAGCAGCAAGATAGAATATGGCCATGGCCCATGAAACTCATATTTTAGTCCAAGCAATGTTCTACTTCTAATACTATACCTTGACATGTTTTGTGTATCAAGATTACGAACAATTTGCAACACACCAACTAAATCCCCAAAAACTTTTTTTTGTAACATTTGTGAAGAAAAACAATCACAAAGTAAAAAAAGTCCGAAAACATTAAAATTGCTGTGGGAAAATACTCAAAATAGTATGTTTGTTTTTGCAATATTCTCTATTGAAGTTATTTATTTTTACGGACATGCCTTAGAACAACTCTAATTTTCCTCTATATTTGTTTCTATAATATCATTTTGAGGTAAAATCACCCTCAACCATTTCTATTTTTCATTTTTAAAATATAATTTTTTATTTATAAAAAAACAGAATTTCTCTTTATTTTATATTTTATCCAAGCAATGTTCTACTTCTAATACTATACCTTGACATGTTTTGTGTATCAAGATTACGAACAATTTGCAACACACCAACTAAATCCCCAAAACTTTTTTTTGTAACATTTGTGAAGAAAAACAATCACAAAGTAAAAAAAGTCCGAAAACATTAAAATTGCAGTGGGAAAATAATCAAAATAGTATCTTTTTTTTTTTGCAATATTCTCTATTGAAGTTATTTATTTTTACGGACATGCCTTAGAACAACTCTAATTTTCCTCTATATTTGTTTCTATAATATCATTTAGAGGTAAAATCACCCTCAACCATTTCTATTTTTCATTTTTAAAATATAATTTTTTTTTAATAAAAAACAGAATTTCTCTTTATTTTATACTATATTTGCAAATTTTTATTTTAGAAAAGTACATTAGAGTAAAAACCATCTTATTATAGAGTTCATAGAGATAAAAATAGGAAAAATACTTTAGAGATGGTCTTAAAAGTCAAATTAGATTAACAACTGTTAACTTTGGTTTGACTACTTCGGTAAGTAGTTAACTAATTAGACTTAACTAAACTCTCTTTGTTCTGTTCAAACTTGCTTAACCAAAAAAAAAAAAAAAAAACCAAAGTTGTCTTTTGTCTGACTCCATAAACACACCACTACCAACAAGATCTAAAGGTCTGCATCTCTCTCTCTCTCTCTCACATCTCGTCCTTCTCCATATGGAACGAGCACGCACCGAAAGCCCCAGCTACTTCCGTCAATGGAACGGCGACTCCGCCACCCCCAATGCCGCCGCCGTCGCTCCTTCTTCTCCGGCGCGTCATCACCACGCTCGATCGTCTTCCGTCACAGGCATGTCGAACGTCAAGCGAGCTCAGAACGTCGCAGCCAAAGCCGCAGCTCAGAGACTCGCCAAAGTCATGGCTTCACAGACCACCGACGATGACGATGACGGTGACGGTGGAGATGACCTAGATTTCCGTTACGGCGCTCCTCCTCTCTCTTTCACGAGAAACAATGCTACTAAACCGAGACCTGCTGCTGCTAATGCTAATGCTAATGTTCTTCTTCCTCCTCCCAAGATCGGTAGATCTTCATCCCCTGCGGTAAATCTGTTTTACTCAGTTTTACCTTTCTATTTTTGGAATGTGAGAGATCGATTGAGACCTGATTATTACCATTAGTAGTAAAAGGAAATTAGTAAAGATTATTAATTTGATTTGCTAATCGGAGATTTATTTGATTGTGAATGTGCAAAAAAAAAAAAAACAGTTTAATCGGAACTCACCAGCAGTGTCTGTTAGAGCAGCATCACAACAACAACCACCTGTGCCGCCTAGCAAACTGTCTCAAAGGAACCAAGTTACCATTCCATCACCAGTAGTTACTCCTAAGAATCAACAGACTGAAAAGCGGTGAAGTTTTAATCCTGGATTCTTCTTCTTCATTGCTAGTAACTTGGACCTAGTTGAGTTTGTATGACATGATTGGAAACTGTTTGTTATCGCAGGGTTTTACCTGATTTTAATGCAAAAGATACGAAAGATCAGCATGAAGCATCCGCACTTCAAGATGAAGTATGTTTTTCTTCTTCTTTCTTCATTTTGAGTAGTATCCTAGATAGAAACTGAGAGTTTATTTGCATTACAGGTTGATATGCTGCAAGAGGAGAATGAGAGTATTCTTGAAAAGGTAAAAAGTTATCCCCTGCTTGGTTTCTATCTATCTCCAGATTAGCGTGTTATTATACGTTTGAGTTTATTTAACAGCTTAGGCTTGAGGATGAGAAATGCAAGGAAGCAGAAGCCAGGGTGAGAGAGCTTGAGAAACAGGTAACTGGAAGCAACGATAAACTTGCCTCTATGCATAATTTCTTTTTGGTTATTTTTTTCCAAAAGTGTTCTCATCCTTGAGACAAACTGTAGGTGACTTCTTTGGGGGAAGGTGTATCTTTGGAAGCTAAACTTCTGAGCCGGTAGTCAATGTCAATACAGTTTTATTTTGCCATTTTTTTTTTGGTTGAATTTTAAGTGCTTACATGATTGTACTTTGTCCCAATGCTGCAGAAAAGAAGCTGCTTTGCGTCAAAGAGAGGTACTCCAAAGTCTGAGCTCCCTCAAGATTCTGTTACGTGATGGTTTTGTTTTCGAGTATAAATATGTTGTGGTGGCTTTTAGATTTACTAGCACTCATTCTGTGACAGATGGCCCTTAAAAATGCAAAGCAGAATAGAGAAGGGGCTAATAAGGAGACTACTGCTCTCCGGGCTCAAGTAGAGGTAAGCCAGTTTTTCCATCAGTGTGTCACATTTTTTTGTGAGGTGCTAGTTAATGAAAATGTAGAAATCTTATATGTTCTATGTTTCATTTTGATTCAGAATGCAAAACAAGAGGCTGCTGCTGTAGTAGCACAGGCTCAAGTAGCAGAATCTGAAGTTAACGCTCTACGAACAATGACACACAGAATGATATTGACCCCAAAAGAGATGGTCCGTTTACATGTTTTTCCACAGCCTACACATAAGCTTTGTCCGGTTTGAGTAACAGACCCTTGTATGCTTTTCAGGAGGAAGTTGTTCTTAAGCGGTGCTGGCTAGCTCGGTATTGGGGCTTAGCTGCCAGATATGGTAAGTTCTAGATGGGTAGAATCTTAGAATTTTGTCCATCATTTATCTTTGCTTGCTGTCACTGTCATCTTTGCATATTTACATTTCAGGCATATGTTCGGACATCGCTACATCCAAGTACGAATACTGGTCATCACTGGCACCTCTTCCTTTTGAAATTGTGCTATCAGCTGGGCAGAAGGCTAAGGAAGGAAGTTGGGAAAAAGGCAAGCAATCACTCAGTCATGTTAACTTCTCTTTTTTTTTCTTTCTTTTTTGGTCAAAAACTTTCTCTTCCAAGATTATGTTGTGATAACATTCTATGATTTTGATTGTCATTTCTCATCACTGTAAAATATCTCTTGGCTATGAAATCATCTTGACCAGATTCTGAAGATAATGAGAAGAGGAGCCAGCTCGTTCAAGATATAAATGATCTAACAGGAGAGGGAAATATTGAAAGTATGCTCTCTGTGGAAATGGGTCTGAAGGAGCTAGCTTCTTTAAAGGTTTATTCTCTTGCTCTCTCTCGGTTTGATTCATGCACACCCTCTTTCATTTTTTTCATCGACTTTACTCCTTCTTTTAAAGGTTGAAGTTTCCATAACTCTTACACTAGCCCAGCTAAGGTTGGCGAATACTTTTCGACTATCTGATCCCGGTAAGCTTCTGTAGAAGCTCTTCTTGAATTAAGTTTTTTTGCCAATAATTTGGTGTTACTCATTTCATTAGCCAGAGAAAGCGTTTTTTGGCCAGAATTAATTTCACCACTAAAATTATTAAAATGATAATGAACATGTTTCTTTTATCTGGCATCTTACAAGTCTAAGCTTCGTTGATATGCAACTGATTTTTTTTATCTGGTCGTTTTCTAGCAGAGTTAAAATCACCAGGTGGTCCTAAGCTAGCGGAGGCACTTGGTAAGTTTATTTAGCTTATATCATTGGATTTTTTGGTTAACATCTTGGTGTTATGAAATTTATATTGGTAAAATTCACAATTAACAACGTTACAATGATAAGCTCCTGATAAAATTAGGACTATGAAATACATAAAGAATGTCATTTTATATGTATTACTTCAAAAAGAGTGCAGACAGTTCTTGTTATTCTTGAGCATAATTCTGACGTCCGTCTGTCTGTTCTTTGCAGAACTGAGTCCAGAAGAGTCTGAAGATGTTCTCTTCAAGGAGGTACAGAACCACAAACCCTTTCTCGCTTTCTATTTTTTCTGTTCTGCTCCACGCTATAATTTTCTGTTCTTCTGTGCAACTTTTGGATCTACTGGAGTAATTTTCGTTAGCTCAACTTGGTATTTTTCTCTAATCTCAACGCTATGAATCCTTTGAAACGTTTGGCAGGCTTGGCTCACGTACTTTTGGAGAAGAGCCCTGTCACTTGGCATAGATGTGGACATTGCAAGAGAACGTCTTCAATTCTGGATTAGTAGAAGTGCACACTCTCCATCTTCACATGACGCCATGGAAGGTACAAACTAACTTAACTTTTTACCAAGAGAGGATACAAGGTCTAAACTGGTTAGTTCTAATTTTCAGTTGAGCAAGGGCTAACAGAGTTAAGAAAGCGGCGTATAGAACGTCGATTGTGGGAAGCCTCCAGGTCCAACCAGTAGAGTCATGACCTTCGACCCCAGGGTTCCAGAACAGTCATGTTACCACAGTTTTAACAGTATTGTATATCTTTCTTCTTGTGTGGTTGAGTACTTTTGCAGTCAAGAAAATGTTAATCCAGTTTTGTAAACTTAAGAATTGCATTTGCACTACTTTTAACATATAATTCATGTTTGCACGCTCTTACTTTTAATTTGCAGACTCACTCGTTTTTGTCGGATTAGTACCCAACTGAAAGTATCTACAGATACTAATACAGACACTAAAGATCACCAGTCACCAGTAATCGTTGCAAGAGCACTTCCCCTCCTTGAAATGGTGAAACCTTCTAGAATCTCGGATGATGATTTCATGTCCTGTAACCAAAGACACATGCTTTGCAAACTCATGGCAATCTGGACATGCTCTGAGATTCTTGAATACCTTGATAGGTGCACGGGCATTGCCATTCACCGATATCAACCCATATGCAATAGCAAGTCTCTCGCTGTGATCAAGAAGCTGTTCTCTTCTCTCTGTCATACTACACTGAAACACATCACCTTCCATAAAATCATCAAACTCCTTGAGCTTCTCATAGATCTCCTGAGTTTGTGGATGGTGTTTATCACCCACTATAAACCGATGAATCTTACCCTTTTCTCTGATCCAGCTGCAGCTCAGTTCCTTCTTTAGCATCTTGTTATTCATTAGTTTCATCATTTCAGCAGCTTCTTCCCATCTTCCAGCCTGCGTATACAGATTAAACGGTAGAACATATCCAGCTGTATCTTCTGGATCGAGTTGGCGAAGCTCCTCACCAGCTATCTCCCCTAGTTCGAGATTCTTGTGAGTCCAACACCCACTTAGAAAGCATTTCCAACTCATTGCATCAGGCTCAAAAGGCATGCTCTTCATAAAGTTGAGAGCTTCCTCTAATAGTCCCGCACGGGAATAAATGTCGATCATACAATCATAATGGTCAATAGTTGGAGCCACGTTGTACTTTGGAAGCATTGTGTCCAAATAACGCTTGCCCTGTTCAATCATACCAGCGTGGCTGCATGCGGTTAAAACCGCAATAAAAGTCACAGAGTTTGGCTTCATGCCACAACTAACCATTTCCTCAAACAATCTCAGAGCTTCAGAGGCGTTTCCATAGTAGGCATGACCTGATATAAAAGCTGTCCAAGCAACAATGTCCGGGTTCTCCATCGACTCGAAGACTGCACGGGCGTCATCTAGGCATCCACATTTTGAATACATTGTAATGAGAGCACTTTCTCCATACTGAGAACCAACCAGGCTTCTTTTTATAGCATCTCCATGGACTTGGCCACCAATGTTGCAATCTGCAAGTACAGAACAAGCTTGAAATATGCTAGTATATGTGAATGAATTTAGAATCGCCGCATTTTTGCTTCTCAAAGACTTGAAAGTTTTAATAGCCTCTTCAAACTGACTCATCTGGCAGTATCCAGAGATGATTGCGCTCCAGGAAACATCGTTTGGTTCACTGATTTTTTCAAATGCAAGAAGAGCAGACTCAAAGCTGAAACATTTGATGTAACAATCAACAAGAGGAGTACCAACCGAGACATCAGAGTCCAGACCAAGCTTAGCTACACATGCATGAATCTGCTTGCCAAGATTAACCTCTTCAAGAGAAGCACATGCTTTAAGAACAACTGAAAACACAAAACTATCCCATTCAACACCTTCCGTCACCAAATCCACAAACAGTCTCAAAGCATCTCTTGCTCTCCCAGCTTTAGTATAACCAATCATCAACCCCGTCCAAGCCACCGGTTTCTTCACTACCATCTGATCAAACACTAGCTTAGCACCTAATAACCAACCACATTTCACATACATGTTCAAGATCCCAGCCTCTATAGATGCATTCCCCCATAAACCAGAACGTATAACATGACTATGAATCTGTCTACCAATCCCTAAACCACTTGGATTCACCAAAGACTTCAACAGTGTAGTATACACGGAAGAAGTCGGCTTCTCTCCTGACTCCAACATCCCCGAGAACAAACCAACAGCTTTATCCAAAAGACCTTTTCCTGCATAAGCATTCATCATCGTCACTCTAGTAACTATGTTTAACTCAGGCATTTCATCGAACACCTTATCCGCATCCTCAAAACTCCCGCACTCACAGTACATTTGCAACACACAGTTCTGAAGAGTCACGGAAGGATTCTCACAGTCCATTCTCATGCGGTTATGAAGGACCCTCCCGTGAGATAAAGACCTTAACTCTCTGCAAGCCTCAAAGAGACACTGATAAGAGTACGGAGCCACGGAGACGCCTGCCTTATCCATTTCTTGGAAAAACTCAAACGCTTCGTTGAGCTTCCCATGTTTAGATAATGAGACCAGATGAAGATTCTCCACTTGTCCTTGCTTGTGCTCGATTTTCAGAGAGGAAGAAGAAGTGCTCGATTTCAGAGAAACCCATGAAGGAATCTGATTGAAATTCGCGTGCTTTGTAACCGGAGCTCGTGTAGGGATACACGAGGATTGTAAAGTTAGGATCTTCGTCATGTTTGGTTGTTGAAAAAATTGAATTTTTTTACAAAAAGTTTAAAGCTTTTTTTCCGACCAAATGAAAGAGCAAAGTTCTGTTTTATTACAGCAACAGACAACAACTAACTTATCAAACTAATCTTCGTTTTGTAATAAACGACAGCGTTTTTTGGGTATTAAACTGAAAAGGAGGGTTTTAAAGTTTTCATCTTTGGCGTCTCATTTAATGAGCCGTACCATTTCTCTCTACTTTTATCAATACACATTCTCGATCTTCATCTTCTTCTTCTTCTCCGATGGCGGCTGCTAGGGTTCGATGTCATCACAGCAATGCCCTTTTCACCAGCCACCGTAACTCGTCGACGCTACCGATATCTCCTAATCGTGTCGATTTCACAGCTTTGAAATGTCCGAGGAAGTTCTTGTTGTCCGTTGGAGATGGATCTTCCTGCACAAGGAATGTTTCAGGTTCTTGTCTCAAAGGCACAGTGCGAGCTGTTATGAGAGAGGAGAAGACGGATGTTGTAAAGGAGAGGGAGGTGGAAGAGAAGAGTTTCACGTGCGTGATGAAGTTTGGTGGATCCTCGGTGGCGACGGCGGAGAGAATGAGGGAAGTGGCGGATTTGATTTTGGCGTTTCCGGAAGAGACTCCGGTCATTGTTCTTTCCGCTATGGGGAAGACAACCAACAATCTCTTGCTTGTAATGATGAAAAGTTCTCTCATTTCTTCTTTTTTTTTTTTGTTGTTGTTTAGAGTTTTGGTTTTGAGCTTTTGATTTGTTGGTTAGTTTAGGCGGGAGAGAAGGCTGTGAGTTGTGGTGTTTCTAATGCATCTGAGATTGAGGAATTGAGCATTATAAAGGAGTTGCATCTCAGGTTTTGATTCACTGTTACATTAAAGTATCCCTTTCTTCTCTGCTTGCTGTTGGTTTTGATAACGAATGTATTTTATTGTTGTTGTTTCAGGACAGTGAAAGAGCTCAATATCGACTCCTATGTTGTTACATGTAAGAATGATTTTTGTTTGTTCATGTAACTTGTACATTTGAAGCTTTGTTCTCGCTATTTTAATTAGACTCATATATGTTTCATTAGTGATGAGTTTGGTATAGTCAAGAGCCAATTACATGTATTGCTTTCTTTTTTTTTTTGTTAATTTTGGAAACATTTTGCAGCGTTTTTGGAAGAACTAGAGCAACTACTGAAAGGTATAGCCATGATGAAGGAGCTGACACTACGAACCAGAGACTACTTAGTCTCTTTCGGAGAGTGCTTGTCTACAAGGATCTTTGCAGCTTATCTTAATAAAATCGGTGTCAAAGCACGCCAAGTATGTCCACCATCATTATTTTAATATTAGTTTAAGTTTCTATAAATATATATTTTGTTTTGTTGACTAATTAGTAAAACTGATATCTTGGGAGATTAGGCTAGAAATGGTCAATCTAGATTTTGGTTCTAGTTCAGTTATGGTCTGTTGGATGAAAAATATGAAAACCAGGTTGAAAGTGTATATACTTTCCATTGGTCAGTAAACTTTTGTTTGAGCTTTCTTAAGCACAATCATATTTTTTTTGCGATTAGTAGCTAACTAGTTTATCAACTTTGTAGTACGATGCATTTGAAATTGGTTTCATTACAACGGATGATTTTACAAACGGCGATATCTTGGAAGCAACTTATCCAGCTGTTGCCAAGAGATTATATGATGATTGGATGCAAGATCCCGCTGTTCCTATTGTAACAGGTTTCCTTGGGAAGGTATTGTTATAAAACTTGCAATCTTTAGATAACCAAGATTTTGCATTTCAAGTTACTTTGTGGTTTTGCCTAATTTGTTAATTTAATATCAGGGTTGGAAAACTGGTGCGATTACTACGTTGGGTAGGGGTGGTAGTGATCTGACAGCAACCACAATTGGTAAAGCTTTGGGTTTGCAAGAGATCCAGGTTCTTCTACAGCCTTTAAATCCAATGTTTTTTTCTCTTTCAAACACGTTGTATGCATCTCTGTTAAGTTTGGTTGTTTGTTTGAGTAGGTGTGGAAAGATGTTGATGGTGTTCTAACATGTGACCCTACTATTTATAAAAGAGCTACACCAGTACCCTTTCTAACATTCGATGAAGCAGCCGAGCTAGCTTATTTTGGTGCACAGGTACCCACTCTACTTGTATGCAATTGACACAATTAGCAGTTTTAGTGGTAACACATGGAAATTTTACAGTGTCTAAAGTAAAAAATTAAAATTGTTGCTGCAGGTCTTGCACCCGCAGTCAATGAGGCCAGCAAGAGAGGGTGAGATTCCTGTTAGGGTTAAAAATTCTTATAACCCTAAAGCTCCTGGAACTATCATCACTAAAACAAGAGACATGACCAAGGTAAAGAGTCTTCAAATTCTTGTTACTTTTTATGCAGCTTATGTTCTTCGTGCAAAACCAAAATTTAAACTTCTTCATATGACAGACAGTTTTAACGAGCATTGTTCTGAAACGCAATGTGACCATGCTGGATATAGCAAGTACCCGAATGCTTGGTCAAGTTGGGTTTCTTGCAAAGGTAAACATGTACATTTTCAGCGCATTATCTTGCTGAACTGAGGTCTATAATCATACTGTTAATAGTTAACATTGACTCTAAACCTCACTCTATTGGCCAGGTATTTTCGATATTTGAGGACCTTGAAATATCCGTAGATGTTGTTGCCACTAGTGAAGTCAGCTTATCTCTGACATTGGACCCGTCAAAACTTTGGAGCAGGGAACTGATTCAACAGGCAAGTTCTTGTTGAATCTCAAACACTTTATTTTCCAATCTATATAAGCATGTTTTTTCAATTCTTTCTGTTTTCCTTGTTACAGGAACTCGATCATGTGGTTGAGGAACTTGAGAAAATTGCAGTTGTGAATCTCTCAAAAGGAAGAGCTATAATCTCTTTAATTGGAAACGTTCAACATTCCTCCCTGATTTTAGAGAGGGTCAGTAGATCTTCCCTCCTTGAAAGTTCTTAGCAAGATACACATTTTTTACCTAATTGTTTTTTTGAATCCATGCAGGCGTTTCATGTTCTTCGGAAAAAAGGTATCAATGTCCAGATGATATCACAAGGAGCATCCAAGGTAATAATACACTGCTTACCACAAAACTCTCTTTAAGTACACGCCTAACAAAATTTATTCTTGCAGGTAAACATTTCCCTTATAGTAAATGATGATGAAGCTGAAGGATGCGTTGAGGCTCTTCACAAATCTTTCTTTGAGAGTGGTGACCTCTCAGAGTTATTGATACAACCTAGACTTGGCAACGGATCACCTGTTAGGACAATGCAAGTAGAAAACTGACTTTCACGATCTCATTACTTGATCTGCATTTTTCATTGTATTGCTTCTGAGTTCTACGTACGTTCATTAAGAACTTCTTTGTTGTCCACTACTTGTTTTACGTTTAGGCAAGGTAACTACTTGCCAGTTTTTCGTTGTGTGAGAACTATGGGACCATTTGCGTCATTAAATTTTAACCAATAAGAGAAGAAATATATTCAGATGTAACTACATATGTTTGGATACTACAGATTGGTTTGGTACAAGAACATTGGACTAAAAGCTGTGCAGTTGTGTAAGCATGTGGACAAGCTCATCACTTGAAGGCCGATCTGCTGGAAAGTCAGAAAGACAGATAATAGTGATCCTTAAAGCCATTAACATCTCATCTTCCTCCACTTCCTCGCCAAGAATACTCTTATCTAATGCTTCCCTTGCTTCTCCGGATTGCTGCAAATGCTTCAGCCACTGTCCTAAGCTCCCTCCGCTTGCACCTTCTATAGAGAAAGGATGTGTAGGGTCTCTTCCAGTTAAAAGAACACCCAATATCATCCCAAAGCTGAAGACGTCGCTTTTGTCTGTATATCTGTCACAATGATTTGCATAACTACGTTAGTAAAAGAGAGTTAACTCAAAAGGCAACAGCACTGATTCTAAGCACCTGTTACTTTGAGAAGACTCAGGAGCAGAGTAGCAAGACACTGATGTGTGTGAAGCTGGAATAATCTTGGCCAATCCACAATCAGCAAGCCTTGGCTCAAACTCAGAATCCAACATCACATTTGTAGGTTTCAAGTTGTGATGAAGAATCTGTTGCTCACAGGTGAAATGGAGATACTGAAGCCCTTTGACAATTCCAACAGCAACTCTTAGTCTAATCTCCCATCCAAGCTCCACTTCTTGAGCTCTAACCTTGTTCATCACATCTTCAAGACTACCATTCGGCATGTAATCATACACCAGAGAAAACTCATCTGATTCACGAACATAAGCTCTTAAACTCATAAGGTTCCTATCTCTTAACCCAGCAAGAACCTCAAGTTCCTTCTGCAGCCTCCTCTTAACCGACTTGCTACTACTAGGCGAGCCATTTCCTTCAAGTGAGCCTAGTCTCTTAACTGCAACCACTAGACCATTATCAAGCACCATCTTGTAGTACTTCCCGTTAGGGTCTGAGCCAAGCAACTGGATACCATTAGCAAGAGCTGCGTGGAGAGACTTAGGTGTGATCTTTGGGGAAAACACCACAGGGCCTTTGAGAATTGGCGTCTGTTTCAAGTACTTGACAATGCAACGGACTAAGAGAGCTAACGCTAAGGCTGACACCAACCCGGTTAGAATCCCTGAAACGATGCTAACAACAATAACCTTGGTAGTGATTCTGGACTCGAGTGGTGTAGATGAAGGTGGAGTTGTGGATAAGTGTTTCACAGCTCTTCGCCTACAACTTGCGCTTGTACTTGTCACTGAAGAGAAGACTAAGAAGATAAACAAGAGGAGATAGACAGTGTTGCAGTATCCCTTTCTTCTTCTTTGCTCCATTGAAGAGAGAAGAAAAGCGAATAAGTTTTCAAGAAAGCTGAAGCTGTTCAAAGCATAAAGAAGCAGGAAAAAGTTTTAAGACTTTTTTTAATGATACAGTGAAGCTCTCTCTTCCTATCCTCTTCTCCCAAACGCACACAATATATTCTCGAGAAAACCAATGAGAAACACTCACAAGAAAAAGAGAAAGAAAAGAAAAGGAATCTTCAACTCAAAATCTTTACAAAGAAGATGAATGGAATCATTTCCTCATAGATTCTTTTCTGGAAATTTAAAAACCTAAACTTTCCAAGAAGCTACAAACAAAAACTCAAACTTTGGTTATGTCTCAAAATAATCAAAAAGAACAAACTTCAATGATGTTTTTTTTTTCTCCCTTGGTTTCTACATATCTGTGGTTGAAAAATACAAACAAAACTATCTAAACTGTTTCAGCTCATTTAGTCCATCAACCAAACAAACACACTTCCTCTAGAGTCTAGACTCCCTTTTCAAGACACAGTATCTGCGAGACCGTGAACTCTCTCTCTCTTCTCCTCACAAAAAGCATGACCATACGTTTTACACTTACACCCAAAATAATTACAAGAAAAGAGAAAAAACATGGGTTCGCGCCATAGAGTGGGACCTCATATGTCAGACGGTCATGGTAAGAATGGGTCCCGTCGCCACGTACGAGTACGAAAGGCAGCTCTCGTTGCTTTGCTTGTCATGAGTGGCCGAAAGCAAAGACATCGAGTTCCGTGAAGAGGGGAATGCGAGAAGGAGATCTTCACCGTTGAATTAGACAAGTTAAGTTAGATGTAGACCGTTGGATGGGAAAGGAGTCACGGGAATGTGTGCACTTTTGTCTTAGCGTGTGAGATTATTACACAAAAGATGTTCCCTTTGTTTGTCTGAGAATAATTTGCTTTTCTCCTTTTTTTGGCTAAAGGAAAAAACTTTTGCTTTTTTATTCAAAGTGATTAGTGAGTTCTTGTTTTCAGATTTGAACACGTTTTTAAAGACTGTATTGTTCTTGTATAGTTTATCATCTCTCAAGTAAGATGTTGTTTTGGTATGATCTTATTAGCTTTGAATAGTTCATGTGGGGGCAGAGATTCAAAACCCATACCATAGATTATATTAGCTAATGAATCATTTATGGTCAACACTTACTGCAGAAATGAACAAGCCAAGTTGCTTATACGTTACAACGCATGACAAACTGAGGATGCTAATAGTCGTAACATCAAATACACACCACACGACACAACACAATACACTATAACTTCCCATTAAGCAACCTATATCCATCACAAAACATCAATTAATACATACTATGGGGGCTACGCTTGCTCGAGATAGGTGTAAATTGAGGACACTGAGGCTTTTCTGTAGTGTTGATTGGGTCTTTAAACCCTGAAAGTAATGATTGAACCATATCTCCCAAGACTTCCATGCCCTTAAAGCTTCTTTCGTATCTTTTAATCAACATTGTCTGTGATTGTAACCATTTCCATTTGTAGCTTCTGAAAGAAGAGATAGGACTTCTGTATCAGTAAATTTCGACTCTGCAGCAATGTCAAGAGCGGTTTTTCCTTCTCCATTCACGGATTCTGGGTCAGCTCCCCTGCAAATATTCACCCAATTTGTGTTACTACCATTAGGATCTAGCAAGAGAAGATGTTAGCAGATTTTTGATTACAGCAGTTCAAAGAAGTCACCTCGTGAGAAGCAGTCTTGCTACTACAGCTTTGCCTCTGAGAATACAATAGTGCAGTGGCGTCTGACCACTTAAATCTGTAGCGTTTACATTTGCACCATATTGCAGCAAAAGCTCCACCATCCCAATATCTGCCTTCTCGCAAGCACAGTGAAGCAGAGAGCAACCTCCAGTCTCCTCAAGAGGACTACTTGAAGAACAACCTAAGGAGGAGGTTCTATCAAGTAACTCATTTCTTAATCTGAGTAGCACGTCCTCACGCGTTGGTGGCCTCTCTGGTATTAACATCACTCTGGAAAGTGTTAACGAAGAGCTGGAAGATGACTGGTCATACACAGAGTTCACATCTGCTTCACCGTTGACAATAAGCCTGTAAACTGCCTTTTTATCATTGGCAGACACTGCATCCCACATTTGTTGTGCAACTGATTGTGGGAAATCGCAGTCTCTTGATCTTCGAACAAATAGCTTCTCAGCATACTGTGAAATGACACAAAGAATGTTCTAAATAAACTCTGATATAATGAATCAAACAAAGAGTAAGAAGCTTACAAACCTTAGCTTGTATATACTTCTCCTTGACAGATATCATATCAGCATAGCTTGGTTTTCCAGTGACCAGCACCCTCGATTTATCAGACCTGCACAAAATTGGCAAAACAATTTAATAGTTATTATGTTTTTGGATGAGAGGGTCACCAACATTTCAATTATAAACGAAGGTTTTACCCTGTTAAGCCTGGATCAACATGGAAGGCACTCCTTGAATGAAGTAGTTCCTCCCAAACTGTGTTTGCAAAATTGTTCCCAAGAGCTTGGAACAAAGTTATAACAGATGGTTCCCATACTTTCACGTCTAGAGTAAGTGACCTAACCTGTACCAACAGCCAAGTTCAGATTACTCTAAACTGATTTCAAACTAAAGGTCCATCCATGTTCAGAATTCTATCACATACCTTTGATATATGCACACCAAGATTTCGGTGAACACCAGAACACTCAATACAAACAAGAACACCTAGATTTAAAGAAGCCCAGTCTGGTTCTGGAGCTCCACAATCTGCACATTTGTCGTTTCCAAAGACTTTTCTCAGGACATCAATAGGCTTCTCACCCTTTCTAATGGACCGTTGAGGCTGGAAATTTCTAGATGGCCTTTCATTGTACCCCATAAAGCTCCTCTCACATACAAATTCATCAGTAGTAGGATGATCATATTCAGAGCTTTCATATGAGCTGCTTTCACTAGCAGACCGATGGTGACCACTTTCCATGGGACTACCAGGGACCTGAGAACTAAGTAGTGATGCAATAACCCCAGTGATCTTTTCTATCCAATCCATTTGATCGAGTGCACTCTCAGCCTGCACTGACAAAACATAAGTTAGCACTGAGTGAAAACTATTAAACGTCTTGCAAATATTGAAGGTCTAAGGCAGCAACAAACAAACAAATACTCTGAATCAAACCTGCAATGTGTAGTTTTTTGAAGGTGAAATGATCCTAAAGCAAAACCTCAGATCTGACTGATCCGCGTCGACTTTAATTGTTGAGGTAAGCAAGTTTACTGTATGACGAGCTACAGACTTCTCATCATGTACTCCACCATGATTATTAGATGAAAGCCACCTACTAAGAAGTCCAGACCCAAGCTCTGAGCTGTTTCTCTGTCCAGAAAGCTGGCTGCTAGACCCCTAAACATCAAATCAACTAAGTCAAAGAATGTGCAAAGGGTAGTTCAAGAAGATATTTCATTGCACTAAGCACAAACTCACAGATGGTTTGCTACATTGCTTTCGGTAATAATACAGCATTCCACGGCTGTCAAGAACAAAGAACCTTCTTTTCCAGTCTCCTCTCAAGTTTGAAGACCGTTTAGAGAGATAACCTTGTCGTATTGTTTGCACCTGAAGTACCATACAACGTTAATAGCATTCTTCTGAAGGTGTCTTATTCATATGTAAAGGGATATTATTAAAACCTTTCCCCTTGCGGCAGATTGCATAACGGCATCTATCATTTTATGAGAGCTTCTACCAATCGCTTGTATGCCATCTCCATTTGGGGATCCATTAGCACTATTTGAACCATACCTGCTCTCTCGATCAACCTGTCTTTTGTACTCCTGCATCTTCTCATTAAGTGCTGCTTGTTCATAATTTGATCTCTCCCTGGACTGTTGTGCATAGGTCAAGACCTGCACAAAAAGTATTGAGTTTATAAAGTGTAACTATCTATGCGTTATCAACACATTATTAACATGTGAAGACACATATAATACTGGAGAGAACTAAAGATTTTAACGGACCTGGTTGATATATGGTTCCATCTGATGTAGTAATTCGTAACCCTGAAAATAGCCACATTAAGATTTTACACAAACCTTCTCAGACTATTTTAATATTCTGAAAATTCTGAATAAGCTAACAAACTTACCTGTTTGAAGTAGCGAAGATGTGCATCCATAGTTCCGCTGACTGCTTCCAAAAATTCAAATCTTTTCTTAGCTTCAACGTTTGAGAGGGTAGTCACCTGAAACCAAAGAAAACAAAAGATTACACCAGCAGTAACGTGAATGTGACAGAATGTATCGATTTGGAATTAACCATCAAGATCAAACAAAAGAATATTACAAGGTTGAATCGAGCTTGCTCAAACATAGACCTCGAAGTGTGAAGTTCCTGACAGCCTCAAATATGTTAGTGACACGCAGAAAAAAAAACTCATATTCAAGTGTTAGGATCAGCTAAAGTTATGCACCATACCTGTTCTAAAGCAGCAGCAACGTCACTTCTAGTGCCTTTCCTTAAAGAAAGAAACTTCTCACGGGCCTAAAGCACAATAGGAAGGTAATCAGTTGATCTGACCAGGGAAGCGTGGACCCAATTGTTACAAAACAGATATTAGTTATCTTCTAAGATACCAATTTGATTCCTAGTAAGAGTTGGTGCTTAGAGAAGTAACATGAACCACTTCAACTGAGTCGAGAATACAAAAAAAAAAAAAAAAACGTTGACCAAAGGGATACCTGATCATAGGTAAGGCTAGCCTTGTCAAAGCGCTTCCGAGCTTCCTGTGGAGAAAAAAGGATCTCTCACGATTACATATCCAAATAGTAAAAAAGAAATATCTGGACTATCCACTAGGGAAAGCAGGAAGCTTGTACCTTAACCTCATGCAAGTCCATATTGGCGAACTGAAGTAATCTGTCATTCAGTATATGTTCCACCTGACAATGAGAACTCATCAAAACATATACCAGCAATTGATATAAAGACTATCTCCAGTGTAAGTAACACAAAACTATCCTACGTTGAGGCGTGGGGGCAACGGAGAGAATGTCAACAGTAAGAAAACTAGCATACCTGTGACCGAAGAACTTCCTTATACGTCCCAATTTCCCTCAACGCAATTGTAAATTTCGTCATTACAGGTCCTGTCACGGCAAGTTAGACTCTATTTAGCACCTTCGATAAAACTAGTTTTATTTCCCAACTTTCACCAGATAAATGCTACTGAGAGTTTTGATAGGCTCTGTGAAGTCAACCATACCTCCAAAAGCCACACTAATGGGATCATTATGGCCACCACCAAAAGTTTCAAGTGCACTTGCGAAAGCAATGTCTCCATCATATGCCTCGCCTAACCCTTCACTGAGAAATCAAGGACGACCTATATGTTAGAAGATATGTTCTCATGTCTATTTGGATATACTTCTACAATCATAAAATTTTGCGACAATTTAGAGCACTAACGTGTATTTCCGGCATCCTTTGTAAAACTTTAGACTTCTTTCCCGCAATACTTCTGCACTCTCCTCCATGCTTTGCAACTGTTTCAAAAATAAATATATATAAATATGGAGACCCATGTAAGAATAGGACACGACTAGAAGGTTTTGGACAGAACTTGAGGCTACACTAGGAACTTCCTTTACATTAAAGTTGTAATTTTTTTCTGCTCATCTCGTGCCCAGTAGTATATATATATATACAGCAGAATTCAGACTAAATCAGTGTAGACAGAGCAGCTTTATTAGAGTGAGAGAGTATTCATATGAACTGGATCATAAGTTCATTACACAATTTATCGACCAACACAACTCCTTGACAAAGTAGAGGGCGAATAGACCGACAAGGTAAACTTCCAGTGAAGTTTCTATAAGAGACCCAAAATTCCGGACATTACACACCCTACAAGCTCAAAGTTCGTGTCTTTTCACAACCTAAATGATAAATCTTGCCTGATATTCTAAACCTGAGACGCTAAAAGACTCGACACATGAAGACAAACGTGGAAAGAGACCAAGATAAGTAGAAACAAACCTGTTTGCGGAACATGGGAGAGTCATCAAGCTTGGTGAAATGCATTTTGAGTAAATGATTACTTCCCTTTCTTCTTCGACCCAAACACCAGTTAACATCACACAGAAAAAACCAAACAAAAAACAAAACTAAAAGCTAAAGACAATTATTTCTCCCAAGGAACATAACAAAAAGAAAAACCGAGATCCTGTTTCCCTCGAACCTAAACTTCCCGAAGTGACAAAGAAACCAAACCCCGATGATCTTTCTCAAGTCTCGAGCTGGTTTTGTCTCAACTAAACTCTTCGAGAGAGAAAAAACAGTTATGTGTTGTGTTTTTCTAGATGCAAGTGTCTCGGGAGTAGAGAAGAGAGACAAAAGCAGAAGAAGAAGAAATAAAACTTCACCGTCTTCGTGATATTTTTTAACCGAAAAGGCGGCGAAACTGTGCCGTATTATTACCGCCGGAGATCAAGAAAGTTGGTAAGAGACGACGTCGTTTCAGGGCAGTAAAATTAAAAGAAGAGGGAAAGGAGTAGAGAGAGGACTGACTGTGGTCGTCATCTGAGAAAACAAGAACTCCGTATCTCACGCGTTTTAAGACGCGTGTTATGTTATGTAGTGCGAGTAACAATGCGCGTGTAGTGAACGCAATCTTTTTCCGTGGAGTAATAATAATAGCTAAGCGGTGTGGGACCCGTGCTCTGGTTGCTTCTCCATTACCTTTTGTTCCGGAGAGACAGAGTGGTCCGTGGGGTATAAATAATTAAATTTCATTTTAAATTTCTATAAAATAATAAATAAAACTCTTATTATAGGGTGGAAAAAATTGGCAAAAGCAAAAAGAAAAGGGAGATAAATTGGAAAAAAATGGACACCAACACCTTTTACTTTTTTGTTGTTGGCAGACTTTACAGTCGAATATGAGATTCAAAATCCCATTGTTTTATTATAATCTATGATCTATTGTACAGCTGCTTGAAAAATTGTTTAATCATCACCGATCACATACACCTTTTAGCCAAAGATCGTGTTAAACATACATAGTTTTGCAATCTTATTCAAACCAATCGGTATTCGTTTATAGGTTCTTCTACATTCTAGTCATGTGTGAGTGAATGTGTAAATTTGGATCCTAGGAAACGTATGATAAAATAATATTATTATCGTTACGAAAGTAACCAACTTGTTAATATTTTTTCAACTTGACCCTAATCTATTCTAATCTGATTCTGGTCTTTCTAGTCAGATTCTCTCATCATATCCTATAAAATCGTATGTTTCTCTCTCTCATATCATTTCCCACCTACTAACCTTATAGTACTACTGTTATGTGTTGATTTAGATATATCTATTTTTCCTTTATAGCTGTCCCTTCTTTCATTTCCTTAGACTTAAAGGCCCACGGGTCGTAACCTCCTTTTGTTTTATCTTAGTTTATTCCCAAACCGATGTTCAAAAAGAAAGTTTATTCCAAACCCAAAAAAATATTCCTTCCGAGGATATCCAAGATGCAAGACCAAAAAAGAAAAAAAAACAGTGACCGACTCGAAAACTAAACTAGGCCGAAAATGGGCCGAAGAGTAAGATAAAAAGCCCATTTAGAAGTTCAAATTCGTCTCTTTCATCTTCTAAAATAAATATACTGTAATATACTTTCTTCCCCCAAATCGATTTCCCGATGGCCGACGAAGATTTCCAGTCACGCGTCGAGAGGATCTTCGGATCTCTCGCCTTCTCTCGCTCCTCCGCGTCTTCTACTACTACCTCCACGTCATCTGCGGCGGCGCCGCTACGGCAAACGCAATCGGGATCGGTGTGGTCGCTCTCCGGCGCGGAAGTGGAGAAGCGGGAGTGGAAGCGAGAGTCGTACGATAGGGAAGAGACGCCTTGTGCGTCATCGTTCGACGAGATTATGAGACAGCAGAGGATCTCGAGGACTGATGCTCGGAAGGAGGAGGGAGAGGAAGGTGGTAACGAGGATTTTGATGAGGATTGGAGTATCAGAGCATCAATCGGACTTGACCGTACTTTAGATGATGAGGTAGTTAAATCAATTCTTCTTTAAATTGTTTTGGTTAGGTAACTATTTGTGGAAATAAAGAAACGCCTTTAAGTAGGGGACAATTGGTATTCATATCTTAAGCTTGGAAGATACATTAGAGCATGTTTAATGGGGTTCTTAGGGTGGGATTCTTAGCAGAATATAAAAAAACAGTCTCTTAAAAGAACTTTTAACTAATAAAGTAAGTGAAGAACTGGCTCTTAAATCTCTTATTTAAGAACACTTTTTTACTTAAAAGTTAAGTATTATATTCCGCTAAGAAACCCACCCTAAGAACCTTCATTAAGCATTCTAAGCCAGCTTTTCACTCTTTGTTTTCGTATCATCTCATTGGACTTATTTCAAACAAACTCGTTACACTCGCACCTGATACACGCCCTGCGCCCTGCAGTATATGATTCAACAGGAATCACACAAGGGTAGCTCTTAGGTGTTGTAGTGTGTCAACTTTCAACAAAATGATCTTGATATGAACCACATTAAGGAATTAGAATATTTAGGCTAAGGTTCATATCAATTTGGATTTAACTTTTAAATCTCGAAGAGAGCTTAGGGTTAAAGGAACGTTAGACTAAATTTTCTATTTCTTTCGTTAATTTAAATGGTTCATATCAGTTTCTAGTTAGAAGATTCTTGAATTTTCTCTTTTACTTGTTTACAGTCTTAGGCTTGCTAGGAGACATATTGCTTTCTTTGATATTGAGCTTTTTTTTCTTTACCTTTTGTTTTTTGGTAATGGTAATGTGGTCGTAGGCATTTTCTTGTTTTTCATCATTAAACCCTGGAACAATTACTTACGACTTGTGTTTCTTGGTGCAGGAAGAAGAAGATGAGTATGACAAAGTAGCACTAGGGAAAGAGGATGGTGGTGAAGGCTTGTCTATGGAAGATGCTGTTTCCAAACCGTCTGGTGTCCGGATTCGGGACCCTCGTGCTAACCATGCTGCTGCAAAAATTAGACTCAAGGAAGATGAACTCGAGGCCAACAAGTTTAGCCCTTCTGGAGATCACTCCTCGAAAAGCAGAGAGAATCCTCACGCAGAAGAATCATCTGAAGCTGTGAAACCAAAACCTATACTCAAAAGGAAGGAAGGTAGTTCAGATTCTGAAGCAAGGACAGATAAGCGAGTCAGGTTTGATGTTGTGTCTGAAGAAACATCAAAGAAGCCTGAAGATACCTGCTCAGTTTCTGCCTCTTTGAAAAGCGCATTGCATCAGGGTAAAAGTGATGCTCAGGTACCGGATTACTTGATGAATCCTTCCAAGTACACCTGTTACAGCTTTGATCCATCTTCGGAATTGGATGAGAAGTCCCAAGCACAAGAGTACACGGACAGTCCCAAGGATTCCGAAGGATTAGAAAGTTCAGAGTCAGAATCCTTCAAGAAAGTCTCCTTTGTTCCGCAGAAGAAGACAAAGGACGTAAGAGAAGACGGTAGTAACTGTAGTGAGACGAAGCCTGTTGTGGCTGGTCAGGTGGGCGAAGATGAGAGACCAAGTGAAACAGAAGATGGTGATACTGTAGATGAAACTGATGTCTAATCTTTCTGTTTGGTTAGAGCGTCCTTTGCATGCAATAATGAGATAAAGCTACGTTTCTTACTAGTTTTCTGTAGATTCATCTCAACAAGTTTTAATCTTTGACTCCTCACAGACCAGATTTTCTTTTTTTTCCTTAACATCAAACCAAATCATGGGCTCCGTTTCATGTGCAAAGATTTTGCTTTTTAATACCCAACTAAAAAATAACTAACAAGCCTGTCTACATACGGTACTGAGTCTGTGACTTTGTTCAGGTTGTGTGTTATTAAACTAAATAATTGACTTGTAGAAGAAGATGGAGAAGACCTTACCTAACCCAAGTCACACCAGACTAAACTGAAAGTCATTAAGAAATGGTTATCTAAAATCTTGTTGCTAATTAAGTAATGATTTTCAATGCTGAAATTTACTTGGAACGTGGTTTTCTTTTTCCAGAGTGTTTCTGAAATATCCCTCAAGGTCCTTACTTGATAAAGTCCACTATTTAAAGGTTTTAGTTGGAAGGTCAAAATCATTTCTATTCAATATTTTAACTTCTAGCAAATCTATTATTGAGAAAATGACCAAACATCAGTTTATAAATCATTTATTAAATTAAAATTAAAAATATATGTGAAACCCTTTATTAGTATTGTATAATTATCTTATAAATCTTCACTGAAAGATGTATTAAAAGGGTAACTTCAACATGTAAAAGAACGTTTTCTTTCGTTAGAATAAGAAAAGGGGTAAAAATTTAGGTTTAAGAAAAATGGAATAGAGTTAGTGGAATGGAAAAATAAATATCATTAATTCATGAATTGGACAACAGAGATGAAAAGAAAGGTTGACAAAAAAAAGAGAGATGAAAAGAAAGTAATAGGAGAAAAAGACAATAATTAATTAATTGATTTTTCCTCTCTTAGGCTACATTAGTCCCAGTTTAAGACAATTTAACAATGTTCGTTTTATGATTAAAACAAAAAAAAACATAGTACTGTTATGTGGGATAAGACTACGATTGGAGCTATCGTGAGAGCCATAGAATACAACTGGATCGTACTGTGCTATTGTGTTCCTTGATATTTATTTTTTGCCTTTGTTTTGATTTAATACATGTTCACAATTTTCTGAGCCATAGTGTGTGAATCAACGTGGAGAAGAGAGAATAGTCTTGTCCAGGTGAGTTTAAAGTCCTGCCTGCGTAAATTTCGTTTTCTTTTCGTTGATAAAGAAGTTTCGTTTTCTTTTCTGCTTATCTTTACTTGTTTCAACAAAAGAAAGAAAAGGAAAAAGAAAAAGAAACTATATACTTATCAGTTATCACAGAAACAAAATGGTTTTCCAATTGAATATTCTTGTATTGAAACTTCGTTTGTAATTTCTAGACCTTCGTCACGACTCACACGAGTCTCAGCTAAATAGTTTTATATTGGTTGACCAACAAAAACATATATATATATATATACATTTATATTGACCTATCAATGGGGTCTTTGTGTAGAAATGTTATTTCTTCAACAGAATTTTCAACTTAATTTGGAAGAACAATGCATAAAGAAATTTCTGTCGAATCTCCTTATAATTTCTACATGTTTTCCCAACTATATTGATCCTTAGATTTTATTCCAATAGTCGCAGAGTGTTGACTGTTGAATACTGGGCAACATGATAAATGGTTAATAATACTAAAACTTCTCTTGAATTATTTTAACGAAAATAAATAAAAAATTCGAAATTTTATAAGCGTGGAAATAAGTCGAACCAAAACATATATATTGAAAAAAAAACAAATTGTATTGATTTTCTTTAAAACTATCAACTAAGCTTGTGAAACATATGTGAAACACCTTTTCATTAAGGGTGGAAATGTGGGATGGATCTGGAAATCCAAATACATCCGAAGTTAACAGATCCGTGCCTTTCGGATATCCTAGGTTTGGATATCCATCTTAATATATATTATGATATCAGTAGAATCATTTGGATTCGTAAAAATAATAAAATATTTTTAAAAATATTAAAATTCTAAAAATTATAAAAATAATATATTAATTAAATATTTATAGAAAATTTATATATATGACATATAATATATTAAAATTAAAATATAATATTATAAAACTAATTTATGTATAAATATTAATATATCAAATAAAATTATTAATAAAATTAAATTTTTAATGTATTTTGAAAACACATATCTAGATCCAGATATCTGAACCTAAAAATTAAGATATTCAAATTCAGTTTGGACGGATCCGAGATTTTACTATCTGAATTCAGACACTCTACATATTCTATTTTCAGAGAAGATCCGAAACGAATTTTGAATCGGATCGGGATCCAGGATAATAAATCTCAAGCCTACTTCTAACGTTGTTTTTAAGAATTGTTGCTGACCATTGGGAAACCCTGAAAGTTAAACTGCATTTTCCATGAATTAGTTAGTTAACCAACGTTGTACAATTCTCATATGCCTAAGATTCGTATCATTAACGTTCTCATTACACATTATTAAGTCTATACAATTGTCTTTAGTTAAACTGTATTTTCCATGTAACTTCAACTATATTTTCATATGTCTTTCACAAAATCAGTTTCTTGTCTTATTCCAAAAGTTTCTAGGGGAAGTTTCTATATCATTGCTCTTTTTCATATACTACACGTACGTATATATTATGCCATATGGCATCGTTCACACGGTAAGGTCTAAGTCTTATAATCAATTAAACATATCAAGTTGTGCTTCTCACTTAAGACTTTTCTATTGTTAAAGTAATCATCTAAACAATGACCCCAAACTTCCAAGTCGACTTGCTATAAATACATGACTTAAGTATTCACTTTCTATCATACCATCAACAAAAAAATCATACCTAAAAAGAAAAATACTCACTCCGTTTTCATATCAACTAGAGATAAGTTAACCAAACATGAAGCCAATCTCGAGCAACGACGAAACATGGGAGGCGAAGCTGAAGCATTTAACGTTCAACGTGAAGGAGATACAAAACAATTTGTTGGAGGAGATACTCACACCAAACCTTAAAACAGAGTACCTCCAACGTTTTAACATGGATAGGTTTGATAAAGAGCTCTTCAAGAAGAACGTACCGGTCGTGTCCTATGAAGATATTCAGCCTTATATTGATCGTGTCGTTAATGGAGAGTCATCAGATGTCATATCAGCTCGCCCTATTACCGGTTTCTTGCTAAGGTACACAAGAGACTCTGACTTCTACTAATTATTTTCTTTCTTGTAAGCAAAAAAAAACTAAATTCTTGAATTGTATTTGTAGTTCGGGAACTTCAGGAGGAGCACAAAAGATGATGCCATGGAACCACAAGTACTTGGATAATTTAACATTTGCTTATGATCTTCGTATGCATGTTATAACCAAGTAAGTCCAATACTCTTTCTATATTTAAAAAATTGGTATTTTTGAATTTTTCACATATTGAAAAAAAACAATAAATATTTGCATTCATTTCTTTTGTGTTTTCCAATCATTCTACCATCCAATTTTTTACATTTAGTTTTTGTTTAAACTTAAATTTTTTTTATCAATTTAAATATCAAAATTTTAAAAACTAAAGTAGTACTCCCTCCGTTTCAAATTAGATGTCATTCTAGAGGAAAATTTTTGTTTCAAAATAAGTGTCGTTTTAGAGTTTCGAGACAAATTTTATTAAGTTTATATGATAATCTATTTTTCTATTGGTTAAAAAATGGTTAGGTGTATTAGTAATTGTGTTTTTATATTGAAAATATTTAAAATTAAATGTTTTCTTAATTTGTGTGTAAAAACCTAGAATGACAATTAAACTGAAACGGAGGGAGTAGGTTTTTTAAAAATGGTTTTAACTTTTAACCATATCTATGATCAAACCCATAATGATTAAAAAAATATCTTTGTCGTTTGTTCTGTTTAGGCATGTGAAAGGTTTAGAGCAAGGAAAAGGAATGATGTTTCTCTTCACTAAACAAGAAACCATTACTCATTCTGGCTTACCCGCTCGAGTCGCAACCAGCAGCTACTTCAAGAGCGATTATTTCAAGAACCGTCCATCTAACTGGTACTACTCGTACACAAGCCCTGATGAAGTCATCTTATGTTCCAACAACACACAAAGTCTCTACTGCCATTTGCTTTGCGGCCTCCTCCAAAGAGACGACGTCGTAAGAATGGGTTCCATCTTCGCTTCAGTCATGGTCCGAGCCATCAAGTTTCTCGAAACTTACTGGGAAGAGTTGTGTTCAAACATCCGAACAGGCCATCTCAGCGAGTGGATCACCGACCTTGCTTGTCGTAGCTCTGTGTCTTTGGTTCTTGGTGGGCCACGTCCTGATTTGGCAGACACTATTGAGACTATATGTAACCAGAGTTCTTGGAAAGGTATAGTTACAAGAATCTGGCCGAACACTAAGTATATTGAGACCGTTGTTACGGGCTCAATGGGACAGTATGTTCCCACGTTGAACTACTATTGCAACGACTTGCCTCTTGTTTCGACGACTTATGGCTCTTCGGAGACAACGTTTGGGATCAATGTGGATCCTCTGTGCAAGCCTGAAGATGTTTCTTATGCGTTTATGCCTAACATGTCTTACTTTGAGTTCATAACGATGGATGGAGACAAGCGTGATGTGGTTGACCTTCATGATGTGAAAGTTGGGTGTACTTATGAACCTGTGGTTACAAACTTCGCTGGTGAGCTTAAAAAGAAACATAATGACTTTTAAAAATATTTAATCTTTTTTTTCTTAAATGGTTTTATTTAATTTTATGGTTTTTTGTTATATTCAGGATTGTATAGAATGAGAGTGGGAGATGTACTCTTGGTGACTGGTTTCTACAACAACGCACCAGAGTTTAAGTTTGTAAGAAGAGAGAACGTTGTCTTGAGCATCGATTCAGACAAAACCAACGAGGAAGATCTGTTTAAGGCAGTGAGTCAAGTGAAGCTTGTTCTTGACTCATCTGATCTGGTTCTTGAAGACTTCACCAGCTATGCAGACACATCAACGTTTCCAGGTCATTACGTGGTTTACTTGGAAGCAAAGGCCAAAAAGGAAGAGAAGAAGAAAGTGTCTTTGGAGGTCAATGAAGAAGTGTTTACCAAGTGTTGTTCGGTGATGGAGGATTCGCTTGACAATGTTTACAAGAGATGTAGGTTCAAAGATGGATCGGTCGGGCCATTGGAGATCAGAGTGGTGAGTGAAGGGACGTTTGATCTTCTCATGGACTTTTTTATCAGCCAAGGCGCTTCCACTGGTCAATACAAGACTCCTAGATGCATTAAATCAGGAAAGGCTTTAGAGGTTATGGAGGGCTGTGTAGTTGCCAAATTCTTTAGTACTTGAAATTGTTATTTCTTTGGATTGACTTGATAGCAGCCAATAAACGTACATGTGAATGTGCTGTGTAGTATTTTTTTTTTTCTTAATATGTTGATTATGGTCTTATTTGAAATTCGTCTGTAAAACGTGGAGCACAATAATGCAAACATTGACAATTTCAAGTCTACTTTACTTGAGAAACAGAGCATTTTATGAAATACAGTGGTTGGAAACGGTATTATATAGTAATGAGCTTATAAAGCCCAATAAAAAGCCTAAAGAGGTTTAAAATGAAAGGCAACCTAACTCTTTACTTCTACAGAAAAGCCCAACAAAATGACATGTGTCACTGGGCAACCTGGGCTATTTTTGTTTTCGTTTTTGCAAGTGTACTACTGTACTCTGTAGAGGGAAACGAAAACAAAACGTTTATAAGAAGATCGAAAATTTCACAAATATTATATTTAAGTGACGTCATTGGTACAGTTTTTTTTTTGTTTCTAACATTTGTAACTCGATGTTAATAAAATGAATAAATGAAATTAGAGGAATGATAATTAATGGAATCGAGTGGAATGAAATTGTTATTCCATTTATTTCAAACTATTCTGATTTGGAACAATTTTTTAAATAAGTGTTATTATTTTTCTAGAATGATAAAGAATAATATCGAATGAGATAGAATATTATTTCTATATTTTTCATTGCAACTGGTGAACATTTTGTGGAATGAGAAGAAATCAAAAATTCATAAAGTTATTATTCCAAAAAAAAACTAGTTGCATCTTAAAAATATGTTTATTACATATCCTTTAAATTAGTTCTCCTAGTGTACGGTCGTTTAGTTTTTAATTAAAAAAATTAAGGGTCGTTTTTAAATTTTTTTATTTAATAGACAGTCTCGTAACTTTTTTAGTTAAAAGGTAAGAAACCATATGTTAATATATCTAACTTAAGGGATTTGCAATAAACATGTTCTAAGTGATATCATTAACGAACACTACAAGAAATAGTTTAATTTCTAACCTCCAATTCTGTTAGAAAATGGTCAGAAACACTCTATTTTGACCACTTTTTGATCACATTAGACTGTCAAAAATCCTCCGTCAGAAAATGAATTTGATCAGAAAATGATCAGAATTTTTTGACCATATTAAGTCGTCAGAATTGTCGTCAAAAACAAGGCGTTAGAAAGTGGTCAAAATTACTTATCCATTTTCTGATAAATTTCTGACCACCTTTTATGTTAAATTTCAGAAATATTTTCGGATTAATATTTATTACTATTTGATTTTTATCAGATTATTAAATTAACAAAATTAAAATCACAATGTGAATATATTAAAAATTAATGAAACTGAATAAATTTGAATTATAGTTAACCGTTACATTTTTTTTGTTACAGTAACATAAGATTTGAAGTTAGCCGTAACATAAAAATTGAAGTTAGCAAGATAAGAATACATATTAAAAAAAAAACTAACTCCTCTCACAAAAAAATAACTACACTTTGAACTGGTTGTTCCCAAATGCTAAACTCACTTGTTCACAAGATAACAACAACTAACTTCTACCTGGAAACACAACTCTCACTTTCTATATCACTCTTTCTTTACTTGCACACATAGCCTTGTTTAACTTCTTTTGCAGCTGATGTGTTCTTCCCTTTGTACGATTGTTGAATACGGACTTTCTGAAAATAGAGGAAATAATTTGTATTTTAGAAAGTTGCATCTTGAATATTATTGTCGAATAACCAACAAAAAAATGGGCCATTAAATAAAACTTAGACTGGTCTCACTGATCTCTCGTTCTGAAGTCACAGCTGGATTCATGTCATCATCTACTATCCATTGACCATCAGGTAACCTGTTACAAAGAAGAATAAACTGAATTAGTAGAGAAGAAGAAAGTCAAAAAGGAGAGAAATAGAAACATGGATGAGAAGAGAATAAAAAGAGGTTTGATAGCGCCGTTTGAGGAGGAAGCTGAACTTAGGAGAATGAAGAAAGAATATCTGATATTTAGGTCAAAATGTTTTGACCACTTTTTGACTATATAATTTGGTTAAAAACTTTTGATCAATTTCTGACCATTTGTTTTATTCATCACAAATTGGATAAAATATGGTTACAATTATTTTTGACCGTTTTTGTTGGTTAGAAATTGATCAGAAAATTTTGACCACTTATTGACGATATGTTTTGGTTAAACATTTCTAACCAAAATTTGACCATTTTTGTTATTCATCACAAAATGGACAGAATATGATCATAATATTTCTAACCATCTATATTGGTCAGAAATATGGTCAAAATGTAATATGTTTTCTTGTAGTGGAAGCAAACGTGATATCGATGTTGAACTGTTGTTAGCCAATTTAAACAAATCTTGATAACAATTACCAAAAAGAATTTTAAAACCAATATCACATAACAAGTCATACATGTTCAGATTTACATATATGTCTGAATATCTGCTCCAATGTGAATATTTTTATATATGATGTTAATTGTAACATGTTAAATTTCAAATGTAAACTTTGCCTCCATATGTGAGGAGTAACTTTTATATTATAAATTTGCTGTTTGACCAGAATTTTTTTTGTAACATGTCAAAATTCATATTTTTAAAATATGTCAATCGTATAATTTTGTCTATAAAAATAAAAATAATAATACCAACTAGTATCCGCACTCATTCCTAATTTGTGCGTGACACTGCTGCCAAAACATGCGAAGTAAGATCACAAAATAAAGATCGCAAGAAAAGAGAAAAAAGTGAACTATGAACTCAATGAAAGGTCCCACTCCGCACCATTCCAAAGTTTTTACTTATCTATACTATTATTTGCGAAGTGATTTTTCGCAACGGAGCTCTCACGTTAAAAGTTGGAGTGGTTAATATCTATTATACCCTTAATGAATAAAATATATAAATTAGTCAAAAATAAAAAATGAATTTAATACTTATTTGATTAGATAAATGATTTAAATTAATAATAATGATAAGAATTATCCATAATATAAATCTATACTATTTAAAAGAAAAAAGATAATTCCTATATTTACAAGATAATTCCTATATTTACTGTGTTGTTATCCGGAAAATATATTTTTAATAAAAAAATTCAAAAAAAAAACACATAAATAAATATTCATGAATTAATCATATAAAATAAAAGATCATTAAAAAAGTAAAAAAATATGTGTTTGATAAAAATAAATTAAAATATATTGTATTATTATCCAAACTAATATTATTCTTTTTGTAAGATCCTTTTTTAAAAATTTATATTTATCGATTCAATTTTTCAAATGGAAAGATAGATTTCTATATTATTTTATCAATTAAGAAAAAATGAAATAGACTTTAGATTTTTCAAAGTTTTAAAATAAAAAATTTTTAATTTGTGAATAACTTTATTATGTAGAAAAGTTTAATGTTTTAGGTCAAATTTTGATAAGCATTTATTTTGAGGATTTTTTAAATTGATTTAGAGATAATTAAGTCCGCATGTGCGGGCAAAACACCTAGTTATTATCATATAGCCATAACATAACATCATATTTTCTTGTAAAATCCTTCTATATATAAACCCTTTTCTCAACTCTACTTTCCTCATAACATCAATAGCTTAGGGTAAAGAAAACCCTTATTTTTCCTCCCAACTTCCTCATCAACAAGGCAAGCTCCATGCTCTAATCATTCCTTAGACTCACATCATATCTAGGTCCTGTGTGCTGTTCTTTCCGGTTGTGTGTGTGTGTGAACACATACTTTGTTGTAAAACTGGATCGGAGGTATGGAAAGGAACCGGTTCCACCGGAAACGTCGGTGGCGGAGAGTCCGTCTTGGAACGAGTCTGATGTCACTGCCATGATCTCATCTCTTAGCCGTGCCATCGAGAATCCGGCAACCGACGGAGACCCACCAGTCAAACAAGAGCTTGATAAGTCGGATCAACAACAACAAGACCAAGGTAATTAATAATTACTTCCATATCTCATTAAAATACCATAAGTATCTGCAGCATAAGTCAATAACAGCTTAATGGTTTTAGGTAGCTGGTAAAATTAGTTTGTTATATAATAGTACGTTAACTAACTAAAGACTTGCTATTAATAACGCTTTCAATTGTCTAAATAAACTTAATTAGGAGCAAAAAAAGAAAGAAAATGTGTTGATATAGGTTAGGTTCAAGTTCAATTCATATGTCATGTAATTTACTTTCCGTAAAGAACTTTCCTTCTCAAGGATTGAAACCACCGATCAGTTTACTACTACGTGTCAATTCTTTAACACATCTAGATTTTGTTTCTTTTGAAAGTACAAGTTAGGTAATATTTTATTAATGCAGGTTCGTCAAACATATAGTCTACATATGGCTTCTTACCTAACTCTATACAAGTAATTTTGACCACGCACGTTCTTTTGTTTATTCCAAACTGGTTATCTTTGATCGTTCTTTATCAACTTTTATGCGTGTCATTTCATCAATATTTTGAAGTATTTCAACATCATTTAACTTGTTATTCAGGTGCGTTAAAAGCGAAATATGTCATATTCAGAAGTAGTAATCAAAAATTGAAGTCTTAGTTTTTACTTTTATTGAGTGGGTTGTCACAACATCACATTTTCTTCTTTGATTGTTGAGTTACGTTTACATGTGTCATCCTGTATGCACAAAAATACAACCGAAAGCACTCATACATAGAAACAAATAAACCCATGTTTTATTTCTAGAGCGAAATTCAGTTGATTGGCATTTTCTTTTATGTATAAATCTTTAGTTGGCTACTAATAAGTCCTTGCTCGATTTTATTAGTTCTCTGCGAATTTTTAATGTCAATATGCATGTAGAGGTCTGAATCTTTGAATATTTGTATTTCGCTTGTCTGTGTCAAGATATGAGAAGATTATTTTGCTGGTTTGTATAACTGAGAAAGTAATAATGAAATGGAATTTTGGGTATATCTAGCTGAATTGAATCTGTTGATAGAGTTCCATCTTGAAGATGGTTAAATATATAAGTAAACGATTCAAAATTTGATATCGGTCGACTCGAATATATCTAGCAAGTAAATAGTATATTGTACAAATTTCCATAGTCTACATGGTTGATGCATCTGATTATAGTATTTTATGCATCATCTTTCCTTAATTAGACCATACCACCATTTTTTGTTCCTTTCAGGTAATAAACATTTAAACTATTTTTAAATTTTTTTTCCTTGTCTTAAAGTAACAGATGAATTCATACGTAGTATCTTCTCATGCATATTTTTTTTGTTGTGACATATTCTTTGTCTTACATGCAATATTTTTTTTGTTGTGACATATTCATCAAGATCAACCAAGAAAAAAACACTATAGAGGTGTTAGGCAGAGACCATGGGGAAAATGGGCAGCCGAGATACGTGACCCGAAGAAAGCAGCCCGTGTCTGGCTCGGGACTTTTGAGACAGCAGAGGAAGCCGCTTTCGCCTATGACCGAGCCGCCCTCAAATTCAAAGGCACCAAGGCTAAGCTAAACTTCCCAGAACATCTACAAGGCCCCTCAACCACCTTAACCTATGTCACATCTCAATCAGGAATTGATCATGTCCCAAGAGAAGGTAGTGAATTAATGAGCTCACCTCCTCCTCCTACTACTACTACGTGGCCAACGAATTATAACCAGGACATACTTCAATACGCCCAGTTGCTTACGAGTAACAATGACGTTGATTTATCGTACTACACGTCAAGTCTTTTAAGTCCGCAGCAACAGCCTTTCTCAACGCCTTCGTCATCTTCTTCCTCGTTAAGTTCACAACAACAGCAGCAACAACAGCACCAGCAGCGTGAAGAGGAGAAGAACTATGGTTACCACTATTATAACTACCCAAGAGAATAATCTAATTATTGTTGTTGGTTGAATAAGTTTCATAAATTATAAACCATTACCTTATTTTCGTTTCGGTTTTTATTTTTGTTTACCTTCGTTGCTAATTGTGGCGAGAAGGTGGCACCGGAAATTCGAACGAACGGTAATATATATGTGTATCATCTTGTTTTTATCTGAATTTTTATATATTACTTTTGTCAACAGCTGGAATTTTATATCTATGTAAATATAGATGAAACTATCTTACGAAAAGCTAAATATGCATCTTCATAGATATGGCCAAACAAATTCTTTTTGGTTTAAGTGTGCTCAAACAATCACAGATGATAACTACGAATATCGCAATCACTAATCATTCAAAGAACAAAAAACGTGTTCAGCAGTTCAGCTGTAAATATGAGACCTATTCATGTGTCTTCTTCTGTACATGCATCTATCTATCAATATGTATATTATCTATTAATACGTACATGTGAGAGAGTAAGGACAAGCAAATTTTAGTGTTGAGAACTAGATCGAACTTGGCCCACCATAGATAGCACTTTAAACACCATATATCATTCGTTATTCTACCTCGTGTTTGATTGGCTTGATCCGTCTCAGAATTTTTTTCCGCATTACTTTACTAGTTACACCATTCGTTGCATGAAATAATGCTATTAAAAAACTAACATCTATATCACACATGTTTATCTGAAACGTATTGCATACTATCTATCTATACTATTATTTGCGAAGTGATTTTTCGCAACGGAGCTCTCACGTTAAAAGTTAAAGCGGTTAATATCTATTATACCCTTAATGAAAATTTTATATATAACTATTTTTATGATTAAAAACGCAATTTTAAAAATAAAATTAGATAAGTATGTTATTATCTTAGATAACTGAGAATAATTAATATAATAAGTTTAAAAAAAAAAGATAATTCTTATGTATGTTATTATTATCTGAATATAATATTGTAACAACAAAAAAATGCTTATATATCTTAATTTTATATATAATTTATTTTGGCTTTTGAAAATAATATCCTTCTATTATAAAATTTTTAAATTAAAATAAAAAACTGATTTTAATTCAATATTAATCAAAATAACATTTGTATAAAAAATTAAAAATCTATGCAATATAAAAGATTAATAAATTCGATTATAAATATTAAAAACGAAATTTAAAAAATAAAATTAGATAAGTATGTTATTATCTTAGATAACTGAGAATAATTAATATAATAAGTTTAAAAAAAAAGATAATTCTTATGTATGTTATTATTATCTGAATATAATATTGTAACAACAAGAAAATACTTATATATCTTAATTTTATATATAATTTATTTTGGCTTTTGAAAATAATATCCTTCTATTATAAAATTTTTAAATTAAAATAAAAAAACTGATTTTAATTCAATATTAATCAAAATAACATTTGTATAAAAAATTAAAAATCTATGCAATATAAAAGATTAATAAATTAAATTATAAATATTAGATTAATTAAAAATATTTAGACTTAAATGATACCTTAAATGAAATTTATATATTTATATATAAATTAGTTAAAACGAATTTTATGTTAGTGATTGAAATTTATATGTTATTATATTAGTTAATTTATTATAAATTAGTAAGATAATCATCCACAATCATGCATATTTAAAACATAAGATATCTTATAGAATATTATACAGTTATCTCAAAAATGTAAGTTATAAAACAATTTAAAATTAAATATTAAGAAAAAAATAAATATATTTTCAAAAATATTGTATTACTGTTTGATTTAGGTTTTTTAAAACTATAAAAAATAATTTATAATATTATTAGAATTAATAAATCAAAAAATAATAAATATTCGTAATAAAATTATGCCCGCATATGCGGGCACAACACCTAGTTCTGTGTAAATCCACAAACAGTGTTTACTAAATAAGTAGTATGTCCGCTTAGTCTATAGATTTCGAAAGCATTATAAATAATATATATTGGTCCAAATCACAAATCATGCTTATGGATTCAAAGTTACTCTTTTCAAAAATAATAATAAAAGTCAAGAAAGTCAATACAACTTATCGGTAACTTAATCGGCGTACTAGCTAACTATTAAAAAATCAAGTTCAAGTTTGAACATGAACGATGGGGAAATTAATAAGACTTTTATTAATCATGGCCTGGTTTATGATCAAAAGAGATATGCATGCCTAGACTTGTAACTTCTTTTTCATATATTTTTTTTTTCCAGGGTCTATTCTAAAATATTTGGGTGGGTTGATGATAATCGATACCATAGGAATGAGACTAGATGAGATGATGTAGCAAGACTACTAAAGGGCTTATTGAGAGTTACGCATGCGCAAAGCGCAAAGAAAAGATGGTCCCACCCAACTTGGTCACGTCAAGTGTATTATTTTGGTGGGCCATCTTCCAGATCCCATGACCCAGTCTAATCATCTGTCAATCCCAATATAACATCATTCACTAAACGACCCATTTTCACAACATTTCTTTGTGGGTGAAATGTTAAGATTACCATTTTCTGAAAGATGTTACACTATTGTTTTTGAACGACTTATTACAATTTACATCATAGGAAACAAACAACAACCAACTCACATTTATTAACTCGATTCCCATGGTTACACAACTATAGCTTCACTTTCACACACAAAAGGAACTTTGAAATATGTTAGTATCGTTTAAGACATTTCAAATATTATTTTAGTTTTAGATATTGAATTTGATAACATTACTTTGTCAGAAAGTGGTATACCATTTAGTAAATTCAACGAGAGAAGTTGAAAAAGATATATATGAAGTTTTTGTTTGCCAAAAAAGTACTATATATGAAGTTCCGAATCTTTCTTTCTTTACTCAATCTAGCTAGGTAATTTAAAGGGCTATCATTTTTTGTGATTTTGACTCGGACATACGTTATGTATATCTGTGACAAGATACTTTAAGCAGGCTTTCGGCTCCAGGAATTTCAAAATTTGCGGCTGCTTTGCGTTGATTCCGTCGAGAGTGGTTCCCCAGATGCAGTGATGATCTTCGCATGCATACATGAAGATTGCAGCTATTGTGTTGTTGATGGATGCATTAATATACACTCATCATTCATGCACACGTGAATCTTTTACTGTTATGTATATTTTATAACAATTAATATATTTACATATATTTATTATTTCTTTCTTGACACACTAGTCACTTAACCAAATCGGTTAGATTTAGTTTAGTAGTCTAGTTTTCCTTTGAGAAAAGAAGAAAATTCGATTTAGTGATACAAATAGTTCTCGATTTGAAAGTTTTGTAAAATCAGAAAACGAGTTTTAATGTCGTTTACCTAGTGTGTGGGGTCTGTTCGTAGCCTCGTAGGCTCTCATAGCAATCAAAACATTAAACACAAGATAAATGTTATGAGTGAGTATTATACTTTATAGAATGGTCCCAACTCCCAATTGCCCATTTTAAAGATTTACTATCTTTGGGACAGGGGACTTTAAATTATACCTTTATACATCTAGAGTTATTTTATATTCTCTCCATTTCATTTTAACTAGTTGCATACTCCCCGCGCAAGCACGGAGCCGGAATCATTATGTTTGCGTATATTTTTTTCGATTTAGTGGTTTAGTGGATTCTTCTAATGACACCAAATATTAATGAAATGGAAAGAATGTAGTAAGAGTGTAAAGTGAAAATATTGTATATCTAATGTGTTAAATGTTATTTATATACGAAGTAAGGTTTATAGGAACAGTTAGGTTATAATATAGTTTTTAGTGTGTAAAAATAGGTGTCTATTTTTTTTTTCTGTAAATAGTTTTTATATCGTATGTCAAAACTTGATATAATTCTATATTTATAGTATTTATATTTGTATTAAACGATTTATCAATTTAAAAATAACCTTAATTAAGTTAATAATCATTGTTTAGGTTTCATTAGATAGGTTTTTATATATGGTTTTTTGTAAGTTTGGGTTTTGTTTATAAATGATGGGGCATTTTATCTACGGCATCATCGAAGAATCCATTCGCCGAAGTCTAGAGTCGGTGGTGAGGAATGTTTTCAATGAAATTAGTTATTAAAATGTAAGAGAAATTACATATTCATTTAATAAATAAAGAAAAATACTTAAATTTTGTTGTTTATTTTATTTTATTTCACATACAAATTTTTTGAAAATATATTAGGAATGAGTTAAATGTTATTTATATGCGAAGTAAGTTTATAGGAATAGTTAGGATATAATATAGTTTTTAGTGTGTAAAAGTAGGTGTTTTGTTTTTGCTGTAAATAGTTTTATATCGTAGGTCAAAACTTGATATAATTATATATTTATAGTATTTATATTTGTATTAAACAATTTATCAATTTGAAAATAACCTAATTAAGTTAACATTCGTTGTTTAAGTTTCATTAGATAGGTTTTTATATATGTTTTTTTTTGTAAGTTTGAGTTTTGTTCATAAATGATGTGGCATTTTTATTTACGGCGTCATCGACTGTGGGAATCCATTCGCCGGAGTCTGAAATTGGTGGTGAGGAATGTTTTCAATGAAATTATAGTAGTTATTATAATGTAAGAGAAATTACATATTCATTAAATAAATAACGAAAATAATTAATTTTTGTTGTTTTTTTATTTTATCTCACATACAAATTTTTTGAAAATATATATTAGGAAATATGTGCAATGATTTCACTTTTTGAGCTCTTAATCTATATTATTCAAGCCTCATTAAGCTATCCACGTAGGTAGCCGCGTTGGATTCACTTTTTTTTTTGGTCGGTTCGTTTTTGGATTCATTTTTTATTATTTTTGGGTTGAACAATATTATAATAGGATAGTTTTAGGGCTCTTTAAGCCATCCGTGTAGGCAACCGCGTGAGACTTGCTTTTTTTTTTGTTTTTTTATTGTTCGTTTTTGCATCCATTTTAACTATTTTTAGTTTGAACTCGTTAAGCTTTAGGGTTTATCCAACTATTTTGATCTTTAAAACAATAAGTCATAAAAAAAAACATAAAAACCTTACAAAGAAGAAGCCCATATGATAATAACCCAAATAAAAAAAATCAAAAATAAATGATGGCTGTGTTGTTTGAACCTACGATCTTACATGCTTAATTAGACACCTTATACCACTTGGCTAAGTGTATTTCATTGTTTGTAATCATCTTACCAAGACTATAAGTTTTTAAAAAATACCTATGGGACCCACAAAACTGCTGACGTGGCGTGTTGTGGAGCCTAGAAAGTGTACTATTAAAATGTAAGAGAAATTATATATTCATTTAATAAATAACAAAAATACTTAAATTTTGTTGTTTATTTTATTTTATTTTACATACAATTTTTTTTTGAAAATATATTAGGAATGAGTTAAATGTTATTTATATGCGAAGTAAGTTTACAGGAATATTTAGGCTATAATATAGTTTTTAGTGTGTAAAAGTAGGTGTTTTGTTTTTGCTGTAAATAGTTTTTATATCGTAGGTCAAAACTTGATATAATTCTATATTTATAGTATTTATATTTGTATTAAACGATTTATCAATTTGAAAATAACCTTAATTATGTTAACATTCGTTGTTTAAGTTTCATTATATAGGTTTTTATATATGTTTTTTTTTGTAAGTTTGAGTTTTGTTCATAAATGATGTCGCATTTTTATTTACGGCGTCATCGACTGTGGGAATCCATTCGTCGGAGTGTGAAATCGGTGGTGAGGAATGTTTTCAATGAAATTATAATAGTTATTAAAATGTAAGAGAAATTACATATTCATTAAATAAATAACGAAAATAATTAATTTTTGTTGTTTTTTTATTTTATCTCACATACAAATTTTTGAAAATATATATTAGGAAATATGTGCAATGATTTCACTTTTTGAGCTCTTAATCTATATTATTCAAGCCTCATTAAGCCATCCACGTAGGTAGCCGCTTGGGATTCACTTTGTTTTTTCGGTTCATTTTTGGATTCATTTTTTATTATTTTTGGGTTGAACTATATTATAATAGGATAGTTTTAAGGCTCTTTAAGCCATCCGCGTAGGTAACCGCGTGAGACTTTTTTTTTTATTGTTCGTTTTTGCATCCATTTTAAATATTTTTAGTTTGAACTCGTTAAGCTTTAGGGTTTATCCAACTATTTTGATCTTTAAAACAATAAGTCATAAAAAAAAAGATTAAAACTTTACAAACAAAAAGCCCATATGATAATAACCCAAATAAAAAATCAAAATAAATGATGACTGCGTGGTTTGAACCCATGATCTTACATGCTTAATTAGACACCTTATACCACTTGGCTAAAGTGTATTTCATTGTTGGTAATCATCTTACCAAGACTATAAGGTTTTACAAAATACCTATAGGATCCACAAAACTGCTGACGTGGCGCGTTGTGGAGCCTAGAAAGTGTACCATTATAATATAGATTATCGTTTTAGATTTTGGTACATAAATTAAAAAACATTTTATTTTATATATTTGTAAAATAAAAATACAATTACCTATACACCTAACGGCATTTTAACCAATTAAAAATTAACAATAACTAAAATTAATAAATTATGCATATAAAACGATATTTATTTTGAAACGAAAAATTTACTCTACAACAATTTTTTTTTCTCTATAACCAATGACCAATCTACATACACCTTTAGGGTGTCATACCTTTAATTTATATAGATATTATTTTGTTCAATAAAACAACGAAAAACCAGTAATTTTTGTGGTATAGTTCCCCATCTGATCCCCCTAAACCATGGTTCAAATTTCATGGTGACACTTTTTACTTCTTTTTTTTATGTACATAGTTTGACCTAGGTTAATTTTAGTTATAGATCCGCCACTATCTATACCGACATGTAAACTGAAATGGAGGGATTACTAGTTAATAATAGTAAATGTAATATCTTGTATAATTGGTATACATACGTATCATATATTAAGGTTTGTACATGAGAAGTGATATTTTCTAAAATACATGCATACAAGCAGGGGAATTAGCTGATGCAAGCTCTGTCAAAGTACTTAACACAAAAAGCATTAAGCTACTTAAGCTACTTTACATAAAAGCCTTTTTTTTTTTTTTGAGCAAACATAAAAGCCTTTTATAGTTACGTAAGACAAGTTTATTTTAAGCCTTTATAGAAGCCCAACATAAACCCAGAACAGACGAAGCAGCTAACTAAAATGTGGAAACATTGCCAAGTTATCGCAGAAACACCACATTTCACCATACGAAACTGAAAGGGTGCTATACTTAAACCAAACCATATATTAAACTTGTCATAATTCACATAGTGAAACAAACAGAATCTAAGAAAGGGTCAGCTCGATAGTGTTGGTTACATACTTGCTTGGATGAATAAACCGTAACTTCATAATCTCTAATACAAAAGCAAAAAGCCTCATCCGACTTTGGCCTTCATCAATGTTTGCCGAAATGCAACTTAGATCGTGACCTGTTTCCATTAGATAACTTGCTTGAGTTTCTAATTTCTTCTTCTTCTTCCAGTTTTTTTCGCCTTGCAGCCTCTTCCTTCTGTCTCTGTATCAGCTCTAATTCTCTATACCTTTCCTCTTCTTTACGTTGAAGTTCCAATGCTTCCCTCCTCTGAGACTCTTCAACCCTCCGACTATTCTCTTCTAACATCTTATCCAGCTCTTCTCTTTCTCTCCTAGCTTGTTCCTTTAAAATTAATATCAATTTTCTTACTTCAGTACGCAGCAACTAGTTGCAAAACCCAAAAAAATAGAGTAGCAACATTGAAAAAACAATTAGACTTACTTCCTTTCTCCTTGCCTCGTTTAGAGCAGACTCCTTCTCATTCTTCAGCTGTATTTCCACATCAACAAGCATCTTTTCATAGGCTTCCTTTGTTCGCCTTTCTATTTCTTCTTTAACTTCCTCGGTGTTCATCTTTTCCTCCACATTTTTCCTCACAGCTTCCTCGATCCTCCGTGCTGTCTCTTCTTCTAGTCTTTTCAGCTCAGCTTCATGCTGCAACCTTAATTTACCATGAAAAATAAAGAGACTGTCAACAACACTGGTCTGAGCAAGCTTAACTTTTCAAAGTCATTTAATTTGCAACTTGCTCACTAGCAAATGAACTCTTAAAAAAAATGCATGTGCATTTATGATTACAAATCTTCCATAGTCTAAAGAAGCTATTGTAACCTTCATTCAATACTAATATATGGCTAGCTTGAGAAAAACAGGGAAAGTATACAAGAATCTGAAAGACAAAACAACAATTTATTAGTTACCTTGCCCTTGCTTCCTGTTCTTTTTTTGCAATCTTACGCTCGGTAGATGAAGGAGACAAGGAACTACTTCTATCCCTTTGGTGTTGTCTTGGCGTAGGAGATCTGCTTTTCCTGTGCCTGTAATATAAAGAAGAAAAAGATGTGTTTAAGCCACAGGAGCTTCTTCTACATCAACAGCAACCTAAAATATCCAACAGTGATGACTACAGAATGTTCCTTGCAAATACCAAAGTGAAACAAACTAACAAAATAACGCAATTTCTGAAACAGGTTCTATATATGACATAACAAGGATCCAACACGAGCTTTATTAACACTCTATAAAAGCCCTAAACCTAATTTCCCATACGTGAGTGAGATACGAGATTCGATTCTTATACATATTGAAAAGTTTTTTAAGGAAGAAAGATTGTGGCAGAGACCTTGATGAATAAGGATCACGGCTGCGGTCTCGCCTGGTACGACGGCTGCTACGGAGAGGAGAACGAGAGTAGCGTCGCCGGTGAGACGGCGACCTAGATCGCGAGTCGTTTCGAGCCATACCCAACCGGAAATTGATTTGACTGGTCAATTTAATGGATTTTTAGAGCTTTTGTCCTAAACCAATTAATCCGGTTCAATGTTTTTGATTTACTCGGACAAACAAACCGGTACATTAAAAAACCCCGACTTTATTTCCGGTTCAACTCTAACATTAAATTTTTGTTCTTTATGCTACAAAAATTTTTGTGACAAAAAAAAAATGCTACAAATTTTTTATCAAAATGTTTTAAATTTTCGACCAAAAAAATGTTTTAAATTGAGATTTATTTCCTTTTCTACTTCAGAGAGTTTTCATTGTTTGAAAAAAGTTAAAAAAACTATAAAAAAATGATTCCAACTTGTTCTACCTTTCAGTGAAATCTTCTAAAAATGGAGTAATTATTTGTACCACAAAAAAAATCGCATGGTCGCCCGTACCACATGGTTTTTAACCTATTTGTTTGTGTTACCACAAGAATGAGGTAAATGTATCGCTTAGAAAACTAAAGAATGTAACAAAAATCACATTCGAGGACGAGTACTTACAACGTATCACTGATTTTCCCTAACAGCTTATATCTCCGTTTGGTGCTTGACTATTTACGTATTAGGACCATCAATCATGCTACCAAAGTTCGATCCAGCAAACCATAACGCGTGCCTGTCTATTTTTGAGGACGTGACCACCAACACAAAGCAGATTCAAGATTCCGTTTTGGAGTCTATACTTTCGCGCAATGCTCAAACCGAGTATCTTAGTGGTTTCCTCAACGGTAAATTCGATAAGCAAAGCTTCAAGAAGAACGTACCAGTAATTACTTACGAAGATTTTCGGTCTTATATTGATCGTATCGCCAATGGTGAGCCCTCTGATATTATTTGTGATCGACCCATCACTGTTCTCTTGGTCAGGTACCTTTTTCAAAACTCCAAATATCTGCATATTCAAGAGAAAAAGTATAGAATATGTAAAGAGAGTCAAGAAAAAACAATTTTTTTTGTTGCAGCTCAGGTACTTCAGGAGGAGTTCCAAAGTTGATACCTTTGACAGCAGAGGATATGGACCAGAGGAATTTGTTTGTATCTCTCTATAGACCTCTACCCTTCAAGTAATTAGTTTCAAACTCCATGTTATTTTTTTGTTTTGTTATTTCCAAAAAAATGTTTTAAGAAAACTAAACCCGTTCTTGATACTGTTTGCAGGCACATCAAAGGGCTTAGTGAAGGAAAATCCCTATTGTTTTATTTCTTGACTAGAGAAAGTGAAACAGCCTCTGGATTACCTGTCAGGACTATGATCACTTGTGTTTTAAAAAGCGTGACCCCTGCCAACAAATTTATCTGGTAAACCTTTGCTCCCGGTGAACAGCTCCTTAGTGTCTTTTTATTGTGTTTTAAAAAAAAATATGATTTTACAGGGAGCGAATACAGATAAGCCCACATGAGATTGCGACTTGTCCAGACACTACACAGAGCATGTACTGTCAACTACTTTGTGGGCTTATACAACGAGGAAACGTATCTCGCCTTGGTGCACCATTTGCTTCTTCCTTCCTAAAAGTAATCAACTTCTTGGGAGATCACTGGACTGAGTTATGCTCCAACATAAGAACAGGCCGTGTCAGCGACTGGATTACGGACCATCAGTGTATTTCAGGGATTAGTAAGTTCCTCTCCGCTCCAAACCCAGAACTAGCGAGCATAATCGAGCAAGAATGTGGTAAAACATCATGGGAGGCAATAGTTAAGAGACTATGGCCAAATGCTAAATGCATTGAAGCCGTTGTTACTGGGTCCATGTCACAGTATATACCGATGTTAGAGTTCTATGGTGGTGGTCTTCCTGTTATTTCATTGTTTTATGGAAGCTCTGAATGTTTATTTGGTCTTAATATAAATCCTTTGAGTAAGCCTTGTGATGTGTCTTACACCACCGTTCCAAGTATGGCTTACTTCGAGTTCTTAGAGGTCAAGAAAGAAAATCAAGAAGATGGTAATGATGTGAACCCTGTGGTCATCGATCTTGTAGATGTTAAAATTGGCCATGATTATGAACCTGTTATCACAACATTTTCAGGTAAGTGTCTAAATGTCGTTTTTGAACATTATTAAAGAGAAAATAAACATTAAATTGTTATATTTTATCTACAGGTTTGTATAGGTACCGGTTAGGAGATGTTTTACGAGTAACGGGCTTCTACAACAACGCGCCACAGTTTCAGTTCGTGGCAAGAAATAAGGTTGTTTTAAGCATCGACATGGACAAGACCTACGAAGAAGATCTCCTCAACGCGGTTACAAACGCTAAGCTCCTCCTCGAGCCACATGACCTAGTACTCATCGATTTCACTAGCCGTGTGGACTTCTCTTCGTATCCAGGACACTACGTGCTCTACTGGGAACTTGGTAGCAAAGTCAAGGACAAGAAGATTGATCCCGACACGAAGGTTTTGGAGGAATGCTGCTTCACCGTTGAAGAGTCTCTAGACTCGGTGTATAGAAAAGGACGTAAGAATGATAAGAACATTGGACCGCTTGAGATTAAGGTTGCTAGGAGAGGCGCGTTTGATGAGCTTATGAACTTCTTCGTGGCTCGAGGAACTTCAGTGAGTCAGTACAAGACGCCGAGATCGGTGAAGAATGAAGAAGCTTTGAAGGTAATGGAGGCGACCGTTGTTTCCAAGTCTTTTAGCAGGAAGGTTCCGTCTTGGGAGTTGCATGAACTGCATTCCAGTCGATAAAACCGCAGTTGCTTCATGTGTCACACACATGTTGTGTGAGGAGGAATAGTAAATAAAGAAAAAAAAGCTATAAATAATTGTAGCAAACTGTAATCGAATATAATAGCACGAGTATCATTGAAAATTATAATAAAAAATGATATAAATTTAGTTTATTGAATTATTATTAGTTTAATGTTAGCGAAAATGGATAATCCCTAAAATGTTTAGAAAATTTACGAATAAAAAATATATAGAATTTCTTATATATTAAAAGAGAAATATTTGAAATTATGTGTTAACATCTTCATGTGGCAGCCTCTTAGCTATTTTACATTACAAACTATTTTATGATTTTTAAGATAAAATTCACATGCATGATTTCACAAGTTATACAGATGTTCTCCACAGAAAGATAATTTGGAAAAAAATTTATTAATTCTTTAGGTTTATTTTATTTTTATTTATTTTAATTTTAAGCTTTTATGTATTATTTTGAATAAAAATATCTTTTAAAGTTAATTAACCGTATTTTATATATATTTTACGTATATATGTACATATTGACGTAATCATCTATATAACTAAATATTTATTACAACTAAGGATTCTAATTCTTTTGAAAGTTGCAATATTTATTTTTTTTAATTTCTATTTTCACTATCGATAATATTTTTAATTTTTATTTTCAGGATTGAATATGTTTTCAGTTAAATAATATATTTTTTTGTGTTGTTTCATCTAATTTTTCATTTACAATGATAGTTATATTTTATTAAATTAAAGATTGAAAAAACCAATCTAAAATCGGATGAGTATCCAAATTAAATAGATCTAATATCTTTTTATCTTAACATCGAAAATAAACGACTCTTCGACGTGTTTCGTTGACTTCCCACTCCCACAAATGCCGAAACGACAGTGTTTACCTTAGCTTTAGACGCTATTCTGTGGATGCGGACCTACGAAAGCTACAACACTAAGAGGGCCCCACTTTTAAGATCCAACGGCTTCTACTCTTCCCAACACGTCACCGTTTCCGCGCAAAAAAAAAAAAATCAACGCACAGAGATCATTTCACCATCACTGAACACGGAGAGAGAGACTTCACCATCAAATCTCTACGAAGATGCTACCACCGGAGCTGCAGCCGCGGCTATTCCGTCCACACATCTCCCCCACCTCCTCAACTGATCCAACTTCGTCTTCCCCCAATTACTCCCCTCCCATGACCCCAGCCTCAACGAGAAACTTCACCGATCGTCGAACCAGCGCAGCCACTTCTCGATCCAACAACTCTCGCTTCTCCCCTTCCTCCTTCGCCTACAACGGACGCATCGCCCTCGCTCTCGTCCCCTGCGCCGCCTTCCTCCTCGACCTCGGCGGCGCTCCGGTGGTCGCAACCCTAACCGTCGGTCTCCTCATCTCATACATCGTCGATTCCCTCGACGTCAAGTTCGGAGCCTTCTTGGGGATATGGATGTCTCTCATCACAGCTCAGATCGCATTCTTCCTCTCCACCTCCTCCTCCCTCTTCTCCTCCTTCAACAATTCAATCCCTCTCGGATTCCTCGCGGCGTTTCTCTCCGCGGAGACGAATTTCTTAATCGGATGCTGGATTTCGATTCAGTTCAAGTGGCTACAGCTCGAGAATCCTTCGATCGTGATCGCTCTCGAGCGTCTCTTGTTCGCGTGCGTGCCTTTCACTGCTTCCTCGTTTTTCGCATGGGCTACGATCTCTGCCGTGGGAATGAACAATTCTTCTTATTACTTTTTAGTGTTTGTTTGCGTGTTTTATTGGCTTTTCGCTATTCCTAGGGTTTCGTCGTTTAAAACCAAGCAGGAGGCTAAGTATCACGGAGGAGAGATCCCTGATGATAGCTACATCCTTGGACCTCTCGAGAGTTGTTTCCTTTCGTTGAATTTAATGTTTATGCCGCTTTTGTTCCACGTGGCGTCGCATTACTCTGTGATGTTCTCATCAGCTGCTTCAGTCTCCGACTTGCTGCTTTTGTTTTTCGTCCCGTTCTTGTTTCAGCTCTACGCGTCGACGAGGGGTGGTCTTTGGTGGGTTACTAAGGATTCTCATCAGCTGCAGAGTATTAGGATTGTGAATGGGGCGATTGCTGTGGTTGTGATTGTGATTTGTTTGGAGATTAGAGTTGTTTTCCGTTCGTTTGGGAAGTATATTCAAGTGCCGCCTCCGTTGAATTACCTTTTGGTGACGATAACGATGCTTGGAGGTGCTGCTGGTGCTGGTGCTTCGGTTCTTGGGATGGTCTCGAGTGGTCTTAGCTCAGCGTTTTTCACTGCGTTGGCTGTGATTGTGAGTTCTGCGGGAGCCATCGTTGTAGGATTTCCACTTCTGGTAAGTATTTTACTTCCAGTTTTTACCCTTTTAATTAAAGCATATGTCTTGTGTTAGTTGTCTCATTTGTAATGCCCTGTGTTTGATTTATGACCACCTCTTTATAGTAACAATTGAATTTCACTCTGTTTATCTTGCAGTTTACTCCTCTTCCTGCAGTAGCTGGGCTTTATTTTGCTCGTTTTTTCACAAAGAAAAGTGTGCCGTCTTACTTTGCATTTGTTGCGCTTGGAAGCTTAATGGTTATATGGTTCGTAATGCATAACTACTGGGATTTAAACATATGGTTAGCCGGCATGTTTCTCAAATCATTCTGTAAGCTTATAGTGGCTAACGTTATCATAGCCATGGTCATCCCTGGTCTTGTTCTTCTCCCATCAAAATTTCACTTCCTGACTGAAGCTGGTATGGTGGCCCACGCGTTATTGCTGTGCTACATTGAGGACCGCTTTTTTAATTACTCAACCGTATACCATTATGGAATGGAAGACGATGTGATGTACCCTAGTTACATGGTTATCTTGACGACGCTAGTTGGATTGGCTGTGGTGAGGAGACTATTTGCTGATCACCGAATTGGGTCAAAGGCAGTCTGGATCTTGACTTGTCTGTATTCAGCAAAGTTGGCTATGCTCTTCCTTTCATCAAAATCAATTGTATGGGTGTCTGCAGCTCTACTGCTAGCTGTTTCCCCTCCGTTGCTGCTATACAAGTATGTAATAGGCATTTTTACTTTTACAGACATTTTCTCACCTTGAATTTTCACATTGTTTCAATTTGACTCTGTTTGTGCAATGTGCAGGGAGAAGTCGAAATCTGCCTCTAAAATGAAACAATGGCAAGGTTATGCTCATGCCGTAGTGGTTGCTATCTCTGTTTGGTTTTGCCGAGAAACGATATTTGATACTCTACAGTGGTGGAATGGAAGATCACCATCTGATAGCTTGCTTCTTGGTTTCTGCATCGTTTTAATTGGTTTGGCCTGTATACCAATTGTTGCCCTCCATTTTTCGCATGTCCTGGTATGTCTGTTTACTATTTGCATATTTCGTTTGTTGTATCTTCTGTCTGATTATCTAAAAAGGAACCATTATTCTTTTGTGAATCAAGCCAGTTATCATTGCTACCTAGGAAAGTGTTCTATAAGATTCTTATGTGACCTAAAGTTAGCAGCATTTCTTTAACAAGCCTCTAGTTCTCGCGTCCTATGGGGTCATTTAACATGTTATGAGTTTGTCTATTACGGTCAGAGTTTACGTCATGGAGTCAAATAAAGCATGAGAAGAAGACTATATAAAATTGACTTATTTTACATCTATTCTTGAAAGCACTCGTGTTATAAACCTCCAATAAAAGTTCAAGGAGAGTGTATGTACGTGTAGTCTTGCTGGAACTAAGGCCTTGATTTTAAGAGTTTAAATGCTAATAAGAGATGGTTATTTTATTGCTTTTACTGATAGGACAATTTTCGGTTTTTTTTTTGCAGTCAGCTAAGAGAAGCTTGGTATTGGTAGTAGCAACTGGATGCATGTTTATTCTGATGCAGCCACCGATGCCTATGACGTTGAGTTACCATTCAGAAATGATCGATGCCGCTCGTCAGTCAGCTGATGACATCTCTATCTACGGATTCATGGCATCCAAACCGACTTGGCCATCTTGGTTGTTAATTGTGGCACTCCTGTTGATTCTTGCTGCTGCCACATCTCTGATACCAATCAAATACGTGGTAGAACTGAGAACGTTTTACTCCGTTGCCATGGGTCTAGCTCTGGGTGTTTACATATCTGCAGAGTTCTTTCTACAAGCTGCTGTTCTACACGCTCTGATTGTTGTAACAATGGTGTGTGCCTCAGTTTTTGTCATCTTCACCCATTTTCCATCTGCCTCAAGCACAAAGCTGCTTCCCTGGGTGTTTGCTCTTCTCGTGGCTCTGTTTCCAGTGACATATTTGTTAGAAGGGCAGGTCAGAATTAAAAATGAACTCGGGGATAATGTTGCCTGGGGTTGGGATGCAAGGGAGGAGGACAAGAAAGTCACAGCGATGTTAGCCATTGAAGGTGCGAGAACATCTCTTCTAGGTCTCTATGCAGCGATCTTTATGCTCATAGCTCTCTTGATCAAGTTTGAGCTCACTTCGCTTTTGCGTGAGAAAGTCTCTGAGAGCGGTCCGTCAAAAACTCAAGGCGGCGCAAGGGGAATGATGTTCCCAACACGAACGAGGTTGATGCAGCAACGCCGCGCCACCTCGATCCAAAGCTTTGCAATAGAGAAAATGTCAGAAGAAGGAGCTGCCTGGATGCCTGCGGTTGGTAACGTTGCCACCATCGTGTGCTTTGCTATATGCTTAATTCTCAACATCCACCTCTCCGGCGGCTCAAGCCAAGCAATCTTCTTCTTGGCTCCTATCTTACTTCTCCTGAACCAAGACTCTGATCTCTTATCCGGGTTCGGCGACAAGCAGAGATACTTCCCCGTTACACTAGCTATATCAACATACTTGGCTTTATCCTCTCTGTACGTTGTATGGGAAGAAGTATGGTTCGGTGGAAACACAGGGTGGGGAGTAGAAATCGGAGGGCGTGAATGGTTCTTTGCGGTGAAGAACCTCGCTCTCTTGATACTCACAGCGCCAGGTCACATTATATTCAACAGATATGTGTGGAGTTACAGCACTAAAAACTCAGGCCCGTCGCCGATGCTGACTGTGCCACTTAGCTTTGCGGCCGTGGTAATAACGGACGTGTTTCAGGTTCGGCTTTTGGGAGTTTTAGGCATTGTTTACTCAGTGGCCCAGTATGTGATATCTAGGCAGCAACATATGAAAGGGTTGAGGTATATTTAGTATATGTTTCAGCCCTTTCTTGACCTCTTTTTTTGTTTCTCAGTTGATGCATTCGAAATTGCAAAGATAGACTTACTCTGTGGTCTTCTTACAAACAAACAAATCTTGGTTCAAGTTTAACAAAACGTGAATCATACCAAACCAAACCCTTAAACTGCATCTTGTTTTGATTTTTGGTTTCCTCGTCTCTATTATTGACGACTGTGACATTGAACAAGCATATACTACAAAGTCTAGCGACTGAATCTAACACTCATTAAAACATCATAACAAATCCTATTAAAAGGTTCAACCATAAAATCTTATCATCATTCTTCACATCGAGAGTAGTTTTTTTAATATTTGAAAATTAAACATCATAAACGAACAAGACAAGAATCCATATTGTGAACATGAAACAGAAGCCATTATAACATCTCTAGAAAGCATAGTGGGAAGCATAGTGTTAAAGAACAAAAGCACAAAGGTTCATTTATTTTATTACCACCGAAAACAAAATGAAGACCCAAACTCAAACCGTGAGGACAAGCTTTTTCTCCATTCAATGGCTGGCTAACTTGAGAGTGTTGGCCTTCTCTTGTAGTGTACCAAGCAGACTCTCGAAACTCTTTTTGAACGAGTCTACACCTTCTTCTTCCAACTGTTCTCCCACTTTGTTCCAGTCTATTCCCAGCTTCTCTAGTGCACTGTAAATCCCTTCCGCTTCAGACACATTCGCATCTATCGTCCTCTTCACGGTTCCATGGTCTATGAATGCTTCCAGGGCTTGATCCGGCATGGTTGACACCTAAATCCCAATGAAAACAAAACACTTGTTTACAAAAACCTAGAGCCTATGAATACTTTCAATACAACAGCCTTTTTATCTCCATCATAGACTAAATATTAAACAAAAGAAGAAGATGACTCACAGTGTCAGGTCCAATGAGAGGAGCGACATATAAGGTGTCAGAGTAAGCTGGGTTCTTAACACTTGTTGATGCCCAGAGAAGCCTCTGCTTCTTGGCACCTTTCTTCACCAGAGCCTCCCATCTTGGTCCTGAGAATTTCTTCTGGTACAGCTTGTATGCTAATGCAGCTTGAGCCACAGCTGCCTGCAAGAGTAATACATTATCCCTGTGTCATACTTAAAATGACAAGTAACTGTGTGTAAGATTGTCATTCATGTGCTTTACCTTTCCACGGAGTTCTAGGGCTTCTGGGGTACCAATTTTCTCAAGCATCTTGTCCATAAGAGTATCCACTCTACTAACAAAGAAAGAAGCAACACTTGTAACTCTTGAGAGGTCATCAAGTCCAGAAGCCTCAAGCCCATCCAAATAAGCATCAATCACTGCCTCATATCTAGCTATTGAGAATATAAGCTGAAACACAACAGACCAAAATATATATTATCATACAAGACCACATGAGAAAGAACATTTTAGAATAACCCCATCAAAATATGCATTTACCGTGACATTGACACTAATTCCAGAAGCAATGACATCCCGGATGGAAGGAATGCATGGAGCAGTAGCAGGGATCTTAATGTAAACATTGCGACGGTCCACAACCTTGTGAAGATATTTAGCAGCTTCAACAGTGCCATTGGTATCATCAGCAAGCCTAGGTGAGACTTCAACAGAGACATATCCATCCTCAGCTTCTGTCTGGTCATAGATTGGCTCAAAAAGCTTGCAGGCATCTTGAATATCCTTCACCACAAGTTCCCAGTATGCGCTCTCAATGTCCTTTCCTGATTCCACAAGTGTCCTAATAAAATTTCCATCCAAAAGCGAATCAGAAATAAACTCTAAAGAAACATAAGAAGCAAAAAATAAAAAAGATAGTCAAAGATATGCATCGATATTATGTGAAGGAGTACCTGAACTGATCATTATAAGCATTTGAGGTGGAGATGGCTTTCTGGAAGATCTGCAAAAGGTTTTACACAGTGAAGGAGTTTAAGACAAATCAACAACCAACCACATAGTAAAGCAAAAGCCAAAACACAGAGAAAGATGGTAATTAAAGTTACCGCAGGGTTGCTAGTAACGCCACGAACACCACGAGCAATAAAGGGAAGAAGATCAGTTACGGGACGGCAAAGATTGTCATACCAAGGACTCTGGCCTTCCTTCTCATATAGATCATGAAGAGTCGTTCTCTTTGCAGCACTTCCGTTTCCACCAGAGGCTGAACACCTCACACTGCAAATATTAAACCAAAAGGAAAACAGGACACACACTCATCAACAAGACAAGATCAAAAAAGTTATTTACTTTCAATTAAACAAGTCTACAGAATGAACCAACATGAGATTCCAGAAACAGAGTACACAGAGACAAGGAACATATAGACAAAAAGTTAATAACTTTCTATTTCCGACAAGGAACCAACCTTGAGACACGAGGTACGTTTCCAGTTAAAACAAAAGAGAGAGAAGGAACACAAGAACAACCCTATAGCGAGAAACAGAGTATACAGAGATAGACTTACAAGAGGGAAGGTCTGATCTGTTGGTTGTGACGAAGGGAAAGATGAGAAGAAGAGGAAAGCTTAGCGTTCAAACTACGGAGGTTGACGAAGGATCTTGGTAAGACAGAGGAGGAGGAAGAAGATCTGGAGTTGGTGGAAGCGGCGGGTGTAAGGTTTGCGAGATTTGAAATGGAAGCCATCTTTTTGAGTCAGGGGAAAGTGATGTTCTTCTTTGGTTTGATCGGAGTGATAAAAACAAGAAAAAGAGAGAGGTGTGGGGTTGGTGAAATCGTGAGTTAGGTGGAGAACGCAAACGATGAATTAATCATTTTATCGACAGATGCTAAATAGTTGACCATTTACACGTCCTAATGATGTCACATTTTCATAAAAAGCATGTAATAGTAATAGACTAATAATACTAATCCATAGAGTTAATGCCTAATTGTGTCTTATGATAAACATGAGAGGTTGCGTCTTGTAATTTGCATAAATGGCTGTTGTTAGTTTGCAAGGGGCACGGCACTCTCGGACTTTGGCTTTTGTTTGTGTCATCAGGACACCTGATTAGGGTTAAGCTAGGGGGTGTTACAGTGTCCGGACCCAAACATTAAAAAAGGTCAAACTCTTTTTTTATTATATTTTTATCTGTAACCTTCAGATATCTAACTTGTAAATACAGCTTTTAAATTTGTGATGCTGAAGCCTAGAAACTTTGAGATACCAACGGATCTCTCACATACATAGGACAAAAAGGAGTTGATAAATGAATAAACACACAGAAGACTATGAACAGTCTTTCATCATCATCAAAAAAGAAACAGAGCTGCTCGAGTACACGTTCAATAAATATCACAAGTTTTTTATTGTTCGGCAAAAACAAGACACAATCTTTGCTCTAAAATTGCTGGAATATAGAAAAAGGAAAGATGAAGCTTGACTGTTGTGTTTCTTTTATTCATCAACCAATGAGTAACTTATTCTCTTCCAAGAAGCTGTATGTCGGTACTTCCAGGTTATACGGTGCTGGACCTTTCCTGATTCTTCCCGAGATATCGTAATGTGATCCGTGACAGGGACAAAACCAACCCCCATAGTCACCAGCATTAGGTAAAGGGATGCATCCCAGGTGAGTGCAGACTCCAACCACCACCAACCATTCCGGATTCTTGACCCTGACAGCATCTTCTTGTGGGTCTCTAAGAGTTCCAAGATCCACGCTATTAGCCAGCTTGATGTCATCTTCTGTTCTTCTCCTGATGAACACCGGCTTTCCACGCCACTTCACTGTGACGGTAGTTCCTGGTTCGATGCTACCGAGGTCAACCTCGAGGGATGCAAGTGCAAGGACATCTTTACTTGCGGACATGCTGACAATAAGCTTCAGAACAAGAAGGCGGAGAACTGAGGCGTAGACAAACCTCCCACCGGACAAAACAAAGTAGGCGAAGGCACGCTTGCTAGGGTCACCAGGTGGGTAACGCTCATGGTTGTGGTTATCATAGACAATCTTTGAGTTTGGTGTCTTGACAGCCTCGACGGTGGCTGATTCCGAACCAAAACCTACCTCATTACCTTGAGTAAGGACTTGAGAAGAGAAACCTGGAAATAGCAAGAAACATTTATACATTAACATCAAAGTAAACTTTTTTAGTTGGGTCAAGTAGAGCTACCACCAATATCAAGATGTGATCATTAATTAATAAATAAGCAAAAGCAAATAAAAATGGAGTCCGGGCAGTAAGAGTAGTAATGCAGGAGTATATGAGATTCATCCAAACAATATTTTACCACAATATCAGATCCAGTGAAAACTAAAACTATTCTAATCAACAATTAAAACAAACAAACTTATATGATCAGATGCTGTATATTTCAACAATGCTTATAAACAAACAATGAGAAGCTACCAAGCAAAGATTGCAAACATAACTCATTGGCTAACAAAATTTCAAATTTCAGAATGAAAGTTCATCAGCATAGCTTTAACCGGCTACAACTAATACTCCACAAACCAAGTACTTCATCAAAACATCATCAAATAACAAAGATCAAAACTTTAGAACTTGTGTGTTTATATTGGGAATGGGAAGCAGAACTGGTGTGTTTATATACGATCAAATAACACAAATGTTCATTTTTTTTTTCTACACCCGAAGAAGTAAAGGAGAAGAATGAGAGGAAATGAGGCAAATCAAAACCTATGACATGTTTGTTCCCTAGAGATCATCACGTAGATACGATAACATGAAATTCAGAGTCTCAAAAATTGATTGTTTTGAGATCATTTAATTAACACTTGAACTGAAATTGAAATGAATCCAGAGAAGGTGAAAGGGTTGGAGATGGGGGCAGACCTCTTAGAAGAAGGCTACGGTGGTAAGAAGCGAAACGTGAAAGATCTGCAGAGGGGACAGATCTGGTGGCGGAAGATGAGTCGCTGCCTACATCAGAGAGTGTCTGGTCTCGGGAGAGAGCGAAGGAGGTCGCAGTTGAAGATCTCTGCGAAACAGAAAATAACCTTCTCCCTGCTACTCGCAACATCTTCGCTAGAAGTAAACCCTAGGGTTGCGTTGCTCTAGCAAGAACAGACTCCAAAAAGGTTAGGGACAGCCCGATGCAACACAGAATCCCTTTCAAATTTGGTCGGAGAGGTAAAGAAAAGGTCTGTTTGGTTTTACGAATTTATATTTTTGTTTTAATTATTTTTCTGGATACAGTTAAAAGATAAAATTCTATTGGAAAACATGATAGACTAGTATATTCCAAGCAGGTATAATTAGATTCCGATGGATATACTTTGCTGTGAATGGGCGAAGATTAAACCTTGAATCAGCTATCAACGTTACCATCAGGAAACCTTTGGATTCCTTCAGTGGCACTTGCCTTCATCCAAAAAAGCTTGCCATAATCTTGAACAACAACATATGATACATTTACAGATATGTGGAACATACTAAAAACGAGGGGAAGACTCAAAAACTGGGAGCTGATACTATTCAAAATCCATAATTCTTTTTGAAAAAATAAACACATACTTATGAACATTGTATGCTCAGTCATACAATGACAATAGGTTTTGTATTATTCAGCCAAACAAGACAATCTTACTTGCTGAGAGAAAGGACCAGAGTGTGAAGGAAGTGAGCACTCTTGCGAGCTAACATTTTAGCCGAAGTATATTAAAACAAAAACAAAAAAACAAAATCATGTGACGATCTTTAAGACACAGACAGTGTGTGGACTTGTTGTGCTTAACCAATGAGTAACTTGTTCTCTTCCAAGAAGCTGTAGGTTGGTACTTCCAGGTTGTACGGTGCTGGACCTTTCCTGATCCTTCCTGAGATATCGTAATGTGATCCGTGGCAGGGGCAGAACCAACCTCCATAATCACCAGCGTTAGGCAAAGGGATGCATCCCAAGTGGGTGCACACTCCAACCACCACTAACCATTCCGGATTCTTCACCCTGACGGCATCTTCTTGCGGGTCCCTCAAAGATGCAAGATCCACGCTATTGGCCAGCTTGATGTCATCCTCTGTTCTTCTCCTGATGAACACGGGCTTTCCACGCCACTTCACTGTCACAGTAGTTCCCGGTTCAATGCTACCGAGGTCAACCTCGAGGGATGCAAGTGCAAGGACATCTTTACTTGCGGACATGCTGACAATGAGCTTCAGAACAAGAAGGCGGAGAACAGAGGCATACACAAACCTCCCACCAGAAAGAACAAAGTAGGCGAATGCACGCTTGCTAGGGTCACCAGGTGGGTAACGCTCATGGTTGTGGTTATCATACACAATCTTTGAGTTAGGTGTTTTGACAGCCTCGACCGTGGCTGGGACTTCCGAACCAAAACCTACCTCATTCCCTTGGGCAAGGACTTGAGATGCGAAACCTAAAAATAAAAGCAAGAAACATAAAAATATATCATACCAAGACTATCTTTTTTTTCAAGTATTCCATAAAATTAAGAAACAAAATGTTACAATATAACAGTAATGTGTACCCTTCTAAAGAGAACACAAAAGTTCGTGAAAAACGGAATCCAAGTGCTACAGGGAAATGATGCAGGATTATAACAGAAACATCCAAACAATTTCTACCGTGACACTAAACTATTCTAACAAACACAAAATCAAGAAAAACAAATTCAACGATCAGATGCTGTGCATTAGAGAAATGATTAGAGCGCAACAAAAAGCTAAGATTGCAAAACATAACTCTTTTAGTTAGCAAAGTTAAATTACTAAAAGCTGTTGCAAATCCTCCACATAAAGAGGCGTGTGCCCACAGAAGAAAAACACGCACCTCCGTAATGATAACATAGAAATACATTGATACACAAGACACGAAAGGAATAACAATATAGATAACGTAACACCCTCCAAGTATTTTACAAGCAAAGCATTATTGGGAAACTTCTGGCATCAAACAAAAGGATTATCTCAGAAAAAAGGTCAATTCATATCCGATGATGAACTCAAACGTCTATTTTCCACAATCACAGAAGGCAAAGCTATTGAGAAGAATTATAACGAAATGATACATCAAGCCAGCTCTAATTGATCGTCTACCACTCTAAAACATATATCAATTTTTCCAGCGGATCATTGCGTAGGTAAGATTATTAGAATCTCAATTATTCCCGTCGCAAACAAAAAGTAAAAAATTGATCTTTAAAACAAATTATTTCAATTAACACCTGAAATGAAAATTGAAAGGTTGTAGATTATTTAGCAAACCTCTGATAAGGCTTCTGTGGTAAGAATTGAAAGCTGAAATATCAGCAGATGGAACAGATCTGGGGGCGGTGGAAGAGGAGGAGGAGGAGTCGATGGTATGATCTCGTGAAAGGACGAAAGTACTCGCAGTCGAAGATCTCTGCGGAATGGACAAAAGCCTCCTCCCTGCAACTCGCAGCATCTTCGATTCAATGAAACGAATCCTCTAGGGTTAGGGATGATGATGAATAGTGGCCGACGGAAAACAAAAAAGCTGACTCCTTTGATAAATTAGTGTTGGAGATCAATTTGGTTTTTGTTTTATTATTTCTTTGTTTTTTTAACCGAATTAGTTTTACTATTTTACGTACTTACTGAGGGTAAAACAGTAAAATAAATTATTACCAAACAAATGGCGTTGTCATGTTTTACCAAATTGACTTCTTTATTCTCTCAAATAGTCAAATGTAAAATAATCTCTCCAAAAGCTTATTTCGAAGCAAAAACAACAAATTCGAAACAAATGCAATGACAAATTTTCAAAAAAGACAATGTATTGTTTCCCCAGGTGGAGGGTTTCATATGTTTATTTTTGTCAACTGGGTTGCAGCATCACAAACATGTTTTTAAGGAAAAACTCTCGAGATTTTTTTTAAAGGTTGGTGAAGTCAACAGGTTCACGGAGGAGCCTCTCCATCTGCTGTGCTCTTGTCCTGATTGACATGTCCAACACCTTTTGTTGAAACTCTACTATTAATCCTCCATAGATACTCGGATCAATCTGCCCACCATAGACATTACAATGTTTAGATTCCGGATTAATAATAACAAGCATGAAAATGAGCCATCACATTTACATACCTTCTGTTCCACAGTTACTTTCTTCCCTTCTCCAATGATCTCTTGAAGTGTTTCCCTAAGTTCCTTCTCCTCAGCAGGGGGAAGTGGCTGTTTGTCACAAAATATTTATGGTATCAATACACACCATAGGTTTATGGTTTCTTATAAAGACAAAAGTATTAAAACTATAGCTTACCATGACGGTGGTAACCAAGACTTTGACGTCTCCTCTATGTGCTGTTGTCAGCTGCATGAACTTTTTCACAATCACGTCTAGGTTCTTCAGCTTCCCATTCTCAGCTAACAAAGCTGTTTATTAAAAAGGCAAATAACTTCTGATCAGTCATAACAAATAACATGGTTAACCAAAAACCATTCAAAAACTCAATTGACATACAGAGGAAGTTCTTGGTGGGTTCAGCAAACTTTGCTTTATCACAAACATCCACAATAGCAGCCAGTCTTGTCTCTCTAGGAACAGAAGGATCCTTAGTAAACTGTGAGAAAGTAGGGCTTGTCTTCATAGCCTCAACAAGCTCAGAAAGATCAGACTCAATCTTTTCCAATGAATTCATTTTCACAGCTGCAATGTATAGCCATGAAGCAAAGTTCCCAGATTCACCAACTAAAGCCACAGGCACCTGAAAACAAACATTACACAATGTAATTAAAAACCACAAGAAATCCAAAAACAATCCAAGCCATTTCACGATTCTCGCATATATGAAAGACTTTGATGTATATAAGAGTGTACCTTAACATTTTTCTGAGCTGAAGCTGTTGCATAATCTCTTAACTGCAACAAAAAAAAAATCAAAAGTAAAAATTTAATTGATAACATTATCTCGACCGTAACATATACATTTAGGAACTTCAAAAACATAGAAAGCCTAACAATGTAAATGTCGAATATACGATAAATCACATCCTCTCGTGCTATCAAGCTAATCAGTGAATCGGATCCGATTGTTAAAAATCGACTCCTAACAAGAAAGATTAAAAAAAGTAAATTGGATTTGAGATTTTGTTACCGCTGGGATAAGCGGGCGTCCACTGGGAAAAGATCTGGCAGAGGAGACGGACTCTGAGACGGCGATGGTCTTGAAGAAGGAGATCCCGGATCTGATACGACCAGCGAAAGCCATTTTTGTTTGTTGCAGATTATCTGATTCGAACCCTAGCAAAATGATTAAAAGCCGATCAGCTGTTCTGTCCGAGTGTCAACTGGTCAGAGGAGTTAGTTGGGCTTTAGTGGGCTTATGCACGCTTTTTAATTGGGCTTGTTACAACCATCGTAACAAGAAACCTTTATATTTGGAGAGCGAGTTGGATAATTAGTAGTTTCTTTGCCATCTGAACAAACATGCAGTGCGCTGTCACTGTCATTTTGATCAATTCAGTTTTTATAAAAAAAGTTTCACAATCATATACTACCTAATAATTACGTGTGCCAATATAGTCTTACAGTTTGACTTACATTACATAGCTGTATTGAAAGACACAGATGCACATGATTAGTTTAGTTTGTTAAGAGACATGATGGCCTTTATTTTGTTAATACAATAGCAAAACTTAGCTAAAGTGGGTTTAAACTGATACAACATTGGATTGTCGCTATCTCATCTTGACATAGCAGATCTATAACATTTAATATAACTGTTTTTTCTTTTAAAATGGGAACAAAGATTAGAGAAGAAGTGGGAGGAAGGGGTAAACTAATAAATTTATGGGAGTGGAAAATGAAGTGGCACGTTAACTTGTCGACACAGTTATGTTAACATAATTTGATGATGAACAGTCATATTCTTCGCTGTTGAACAATGCATGCTTCCTGTCTGAATCTACACCTTACATAGCTAATGTTTTTGACAACACCATTCACCTAGTAAGTTTGTGTTTTTCCTCTCTTTCTTAAATGTTTTGTTTCAAATCATGGAGACAAAGACTTCAATTTTATGCTAGTGCCTTGTTTTCTGTTCATCATTTAATTACCTTTGTTTATGTTTTGGGGGGGCTTCTGTGATCCACTTTTCTAGGGAGATCTTTATCAGTTTTTTTGCAGGAAAGTTTGCAGCTTCTTTTTCTATATATATATATATATTCTTCCTAGAATCAAACTATTCTAGAGTATCAGGAAAATTGTTCTCAGAGATTTGCAACTCAACATGTATTTGTAGTGATTCATTGTTTGAATAATAATTACTTAGAATCTCGTTTAGATTTGGTTGGCTGAATTTTTCAGAGCAATATATCAAAAGGTGATAGTTGTGCAACAATGGCCAAGAAGAAGGGATTGTTCACTATTCTGACAAGGATTTTTATTTCAGAAGCTCACTCAGAAAAGGTAAAGGATGAAATCTCATTCTTTCTGTTGGTGAAAGTTTCCATGTTCTTGTTTCATTATATTTTTATGCGTTTCTGCAGAAAGAGAAGAGAAGAAGATGGACATTTTGGAAGCTTAAGGTTAAAAAAAGACTACCTTCCATTACAGCACCTCCAGAGAACAAGACAAGAAACGAATCTCACAGGGAACAGAAGGAAGAATGTGTGTCAGATGTAGGTGAAGCCAGCCAAGCATCCTGTAGTGTACAGTTAGATTCCATAGAGAAGTTACAAGGTTCCACATCCCTACAAACTCCTCATCTGGTAGCTCAGTATCAAATGTTTCTAAATAGAGAAGAGGAAATCCTTGCTGCTGCTACTCGGATCCAAACAGCTTTTCGAGGTCATCTAGTAAGATTCTTTACCCTTATGTGATTCCTGAAGACAATGACTCATTTTCATGAAAACGTTGTGTTAGTAGCCTATGTAATGGTTTCTGGTTTAGTTTTTTCAGGTGACATATGCTGATAAATGTTTTTGGACTTCATTGGTAGGCAAGAAAAGCTCTACGTGCGTTGAAAGGAATAGTGAAACTCCAAGCATACATCAGAGGTCGTGCAGTGAGACGCCAAGCAATGACTACACTAAAACGCTTGCAATCTGTTTTGAATATCCAGTCACAAGTCTGCGGTAAGAGAACTCAGATTCACAGAGGTGCTCACAGAGATTATGAAGAGAGCAATAAATTTCAGATGTTCAACGAGAACACACTCAAGGTACGTACATAACCTTATATCAAAAGATTTAAACTCCTTAACAACTGTGCAGCACTGTACTAGTATGTAATTATCTTTTCAGGTGGACACAAAAGGTCAGAAGAGATGGGATAATAGTCTTTTAACAAAGGAAGAGGCAAAAGCTGTGGTTATGAGCAAGAAAGAAGCTTCGTTAAGAAGAGAAAGGATCAAAGAATATTCAGTCACTCACCGGGTAATTTCTATACGCTTGTTGTTGCTTTAACATTTTTTGCAATTTTGATAATGACATGAGAAATGTTTGGTTTTGTGAAACGAACATCAGAAATCCGCAGAGTCATACAAGAAACGGAGTAACTGGTTAGACGAATGGGTAGATATTCAACGAACCAAGAGCAAGGAGCTAGAAGATCTCGACTTGTCTTTAAAACCAAAACCAAAAAATGAAACACTGAGCAGAACTTCAAAGAACTCACCACCAAGAAGATTAGCGAGTAATAATAACCATAGAAGACAACATTCAATAAGTGAAGAGGAACAACAGAACCCTGGTGGTGGGGTCACTACTAGACCAACATACATGGTTCCAACAGAGTCAGCAAAGGCAAAGTCAAGATCACTGAGCACCCCAAGGATAAGACCAAGAAGTTTCGACACGTAGTCAGAGAGCTACTCACCGTATAAGAACAAGTTAAGCCTGACGAGTTCGGTAATGAGTGAAGCACTAAGTAAAGTGAGGGTTGGTAATAAGAGTAGGGGAAGTGCATACCAACAAAGGTCTCCAGGGTTAAGGGGGTTTAACAGAGAGTCTTTGAAGTCATGTAATAGTACTCTTTTGAACGATCTTAGCATAGATTCTGAACGATCTTTACCTAGCTGGACCAAGCAGAGGAGCTTGAGATGATGATCAGTGGGATTTTAAGTCATATATACAGTTACATAAGTTTGCAATTGTGAGGGTCACACTCACATCATGATTCATGTGTTGTATAGTAGTAGTATTATCAAATCTTTTTTCTGTTTACACTTGTTTGTTTTACTCAATTTCATCTGATTAAAAATGCACAAGGGCCAATGTACAACCTGATATAGGTTAACAATAATAGTTTAATTGTTTTATATTATTGATTTAGTAGCATATAGTTGTTGAGAAAAAAATCCGTTTCAAAAATGTGTCATTTTATAATGTATTAATTTTATACATTTTCTATTTTTATTAGTTGAAATGTGGTTATATGTATAAATAATAGTATTTTATTATGTGTACAAAAACTTAAAACGAAAACTAAAATGAAACGTAGGGAGTATATATTATGCTCTAAAATCTTATAAACATTTAAAGTATTTTTTGTTATCTTTATACTCCTCTATTTCAAAATTGTCATTTTATACTTTTTTGTCTGTTACACAAAAAATATCATTTTAAAATTTTAATACAATTTCTACTTATTTAAACTTAATATTAATTACAAAACGTATAAATCTATAAATAAACTTATTTATCTCACATATTAAATAGATTTAGTTGATAAAAATATAAATACATTTTAATCGTGTGAAAGGGATACTTATAGGATTTGTTATCCCGCAATGTTGCGGGCCTCGCGGGAAAGGGACTGTGTGGGATGGACTTTCAGTGGGACGGCCCAAAAGAGACCACAGTTAACCCCAAAGTCCCACACCTTCTTCTCTTCTCATTTCTTTGGCCATCTGTAAAACAAAAGAGAGAGAGTGAGAGAGAAAGACGAGCCGCCGCCACAAGAAATGGAGCTATGGCGATGGTGATGAGCTCCGCTACTTCCATTTCGGCTTCTAAACTTCAGAGTCTGTCCGGAGATAAATTATTTTATCATCTTCCATAAAGAAAGACGAGACGCCGCCATAAGAAATGGAGCCCCGGCGACGGGGATAAGCTCTGCTACTTCCATCTCGGCTTCTACTTCTAAGATCCACAACCGGAGCTTCTCCTTCCTGCATGCAAGTTCGTTTTCTTCTCCATTTCTCACCTTTATTTACTTGTTCTGTCTCAGATATAATTGTCTTTCTTGTGATGTTTGTTGTTTAGCTTAGATTGATTTCTTTCGAGTGTGTTATGTATCTATCTCGATTAGTTGGTTTAATTTTTTTTTTTTAAATTGTGCATGTATCCGTTGAACTCGCTTCAATATGTAGACAAGATTAAATCGTTTTAGTTTATGCAAAAGATTATTTCGTTTGATATGTTTCTGATATGTATTCAATATATTGTTTGACATGTTTCTTTTTTTATTAAGTATCTGATGTTTTTGATTTTATATTTCTCTGTTTCGAGGTGATAGTGTAGAGGAGCAGTCTACAGCATCAGGAAGTGTTCTGGAGCGTCAGGAAGTGTTCTGAAGGGGCATGTAGAGTCAAGCATGATTGGATACATTACATTGACGTATGTCCCACGGGACAGCCCGCAAAAGAGTGTGCATTTAGCGGTATGGGCTTGGGATGACTTTTTGGAGATCGCAGTCTGCACGGGCCTGATCCGCAGTGACCCGCAAGGAGATAAGCCCGCTGCGGTACGGAACAGAACGGGATGGATTAACCCGTTTGACATCTCTAGTTTTCTTCTTCATGGCAAAGCCAAACCCCTCAAGCCTTAATGAAATTATCGATCGGTTCACTGGTTTGACCAAGCACGGTTCTTGATTGGGTTAGTCCTAATTAGTATAATTCCTACAAATGTCGGGGGTTTGATGTTTGAAGTTATAAATATAAGTTTTTACTTGAGAAAGGTTATAAGTATAATTTTTTTTATTAATCTGGTCGATTTCAAAAAAACACACTTAATATTATAAAGTGGACTAGTCTTGAAAATGTACCACACTACTTGAAATGAATTTAAAATATCTTTGGACTAATGCCAGATTTTTTGGACAGAGTATAACTGTATAAGTTGTTGTAAAGCATATTGTTTTCGAGTATTTTTGTTCTATCAAGTAAGTTTCCTACAAACAATTAAGAATGTCGGAGAGACAATTGTAAAATAGACCCAACAAATAAAAAAAATAAAGAAAGAAAATCATCGAGGCACGTTGATAAATTGGGAAAATTTCGGATTTCAATGTTTGTATCATGCATATATGCTTACCATTTATTTCTTTTCTTATTTTTAATATAGATTTATTTGACTATAAATTACAATAAATAGTATTGTACATACAACAATCTACTTACGGTGTGTTATTCAATTAGTAATTTCAAATCAATTTTATATATTTTACAATCCATCAAATTTTTATATTTTAAGATTGTTAAAATTGATGGATTCTAAAATCTTTACAATAACCTTTAGATTTTAAGTTTAATCATTTATTCATTAGAATCCGTTAATGATAATTTGAAATCCATTTTTATTGCACAGAATTTTAAAATATTTAAAATTGAATAACACCAAATTTTAAAACCTAATTTTTAATAATAAATTGAATAACACTGAATTTTAAAATAGAATTTAGAATCATTAATTGAATAACAGTGAATTGTGTTTAGATTTAAACTTTTTAAAAATAAATCACAGAATAACACCACCATAGAAAATTCATGTTTTATGATTTATTTATATTTTACTGACTCTAATATGAAAATCCATTGTTATTTGCATGATGTTAAATTATATAATTGATTATAAATTTTATATTTTTAGAATCCATTTTAGTTTGAATTTTATAATAGTCAAACTACAGAACTAAAAAGTTTTTGAACATATTGTTCAGTTTTCACAATTTTTTTTTTTTTTTTTGAAACTCCAGTTTTCACAAAATATATTAAACTTATTGTTCAAACTACAGCGGTTGGTGGACAAAACTTTTCTATTTCTTTTTATTATTGTACGTTCTTTTTTGAAAAGATCAAAAGAAAATATTCTAGAAATGCTGAGACGTCACCGTGTAGACAGTTGACTGACGAATCCGGCAATTTGCATCACATTCCACGTTTTCAGCGAAATAAAGTAAGGCAATATCTAGGGCCAGTAATGGAGTCATATATTTCCAAATAAAATATATCATTCCCTTAAGTAACCAAAATCAACGGCCTAAAATCCATCACCATTAAACTCAACAATCTAACGGACATACAGCTTCCGACCACGTAGAGGAAGCGTCACACCAGATTAATCCCACCACTACTTGCGGCCCTATTTCTCGAGCCAATAAAAGGCCAACAAAAAAATCTTCGCAGCACATCAACCACAAAGACGATTCCTCTCGTTCTTCGCTCTCATTGAGTTTCGCTTTGCCATCGCTTCCTCTCGGTAACTTTATCTTCCCCTCTTTAGATCTCTGAATCCTCTTTAAATCTCGTCGCGTCTTCCCGTTTCGTTAATCTAACTTTTTATCGATCTGTTTCATTAAATATCAACAAAGGTGAAAATGACTTAGTCTCTTGCGTTACAGATCTGATAGTTTCCCTGCGATGTAGATCCAAGGCTAGATTGATAAACGTTTAAGTAGCGTAGATCTGTTTGAATTTTCTCCGATCCGGTTTTGTAGATCTAGAAATGATTAGTCTCTGTTGCTTATGTAACGGATCTGTTGCGTAAACCTAACAAACGAGAGTTTCCTGATTGTGAATTTGATATTGTTTTCGCATCATTTGCTAGGTTTAATACTTGATTTTTATATTACTAGATCTCATATACATATCATATAGCTTATTGTATAATGTTTTGGTACAGATTAAATTATGATGGAGTTATTTTTTGTTTTAACTTTTTTTACAGAGGTCAAAATGGTTGAACAAACTCAGCAGCCTACCATTTTCCAGAAGGCATCTGGCCAGCTCATGCGTACCGGTGTTTCTCATGACATTGGTTACACTTCCTCTTTCCAGAGGCGTGCGACATACGGAAACTACTCAAACGCTGCGTTTCAGTACCCTCTTGCCGCTACATCCAGGATTGTGGCGACTACCACCTCTCCAGTGTTTGTTCAGGCTCCAGGGGAGAAAGGATTCTCTAGCTTTGCTATTGATTTCCTTATGGGTGGTGTTTCCGCCGCTGTGTCTAAGACCGCTGCTGCTCCTATTGAGCGTGTTAAGCTTTTGATTCAGAACCAGGATGAGATGCTTAAGGCTGGTAGGCTCTCTGAGCCTTACAAGGGTATTGGTGATTGTTTTGGGAGGACTATTAAGGATGAGGGTTTTGGGTCTTTGTGGAGAGGAAACACTGCTAATGTTATCCGTTACTTCCCCACTCAGGTTGCTTAAAGTTTCATTCTTTTGCTCCTTAAAATGTTTTTTTGTAACTGTATGATTCGTTGGTTGCTGATGTATCTCTCACTCTTGTAGGCCTTGAACTTTGCGTTCAAAGATTACTTCAAGAGGCTATTCAACTTCAAGAAGGATAGGGATGGTTACTGGAAGTGGTTTGCTGGTAACTTGGGATCTGGAGGTGCTGCTGGTGCTTCTTCCCTTCTCTTTGTGTACTCTCTTGACTACGCACGTACCCGTCTTGCTAATGACTCCAAGGCAGCTAAGAAGGGAGGTGAAAGGCAGTTCAATGGTCTTGTTGATGTCTACAAGAAGACACTCAAGTCTGATGGTATTGCTGGACTTTACCGTGGATTCAACATCTCGTGTGTTGGTATCATTGTCTACCGTGGTCTCTACTTTGGTCTGTACGACTCTTTGAAGCCTCTTCTCCCTAGTGACCTCCAGGTTTGTACATTTGATCCATCTTTAGACACCCAATCATGTCTTCACCTTGTTTGTTTCTAATGTTGTTGTTGTTGTCTGTGTGTTTCTGTTTGGGTAATTTCAGGACAGTTTCTTCGCTAGTTTTGCTCTTGGATGGCTCATCACCAACGGTGCTGGTCTTGCATCATACCCCATCGACACGGTCCGTAGAAGAATGATGATGACGTCAGGTGAAGCCGTGAAGTACAAGAGCTCCATGGATGCATTCCAACAGATCTTGAAGAAGGAAGGACCCAAGTCTCTGTTCAAGGGTGCTGGTGCCAACATCCTCCGTGCCATTGCAGGTGCTGGTGTGCTCTCTGGTTACGACAAGCTGCAGTTACTTCTTCTCGGAAAGAAGTACGGATCTGGATCCGGTTAAGTTCGCTAGCCTACCAATCGCCACCATCATAAAGCTTCGGCTTTATTTTTTTTTCTCGATTTATTTGCAGTTTCAAACTTTTTTCTTAAAAAGGATCAAGATGTTGATGAAATCTTTTACCATAAAACTAGAGATGAGCATGAGAAAAGCTTATCGTTTCGACGTTAAGTTTTTTCTTATGGAATAAATTTTTGTATGGGAGTTTTACTCCTTTGAACCAATTTTATGATTACCAATTTTTGCTATATTAAGTTCAACTGATTTAAAATATTTCGAGGATTTTATGTTGCTATGGCATAGTTTCTATTGTCTGTTGAAGGCTGCAAAATCAAACCAAACTAGAATCTATATTATGATTTAGATTCAAGTGTTTAATTTGTGTTTTGTCAAAAGACGTGCCTTCATGATGAACACACTGCAGTTTCCTCAAAATTGTTTTTTCTTTTTCATTGGCACGTTGCTAACACACCATATTGTCAAAACGGCGTAGTCAGTGACAGTCGTGTAGGATAAACCGTTAATGATGGCGCCGTTAGTCAACTCCGCTTTGCATTAAAAAATTACTCCTCCGATCTCTTTTATTTTTCTCTTCTCCGGCGACTTCCTTCACTCTCCTCCGAATCTGTAAGCTCTCAAATTCTCTTATGTCAATACTTTTTATAGATGGTTGGATCTTACTATAGATTCTCAATTTTACAAAACTTGTATTAGCTTCTTTGGCTTCTAACGATTCACATTTCATTTCCTTAAAATTATATTAACAGGAATGAGTTTGTGAGCCGTGGAGAGGGAGGGAAGGTGTCCACTTCCATACAATGGGAAAAGCATCAGCTCTGCTTCTGTTTCTATTGTCTTTCGGTTTCTTCGTTGTGACATATAATCTTCTCACACTCATACTCCACAACAGATCTGGTCTGAATAATAACTCAGATGGAACTCGTCCAATCCTAGATCCTATTGTCCAAATGCCTCACAGAAACTCCCAACAAACCTCTTCAGCACCATTTCATGTTGCCTTAACAGCTACAGATGCTCCTTACAACAAGTGGCAGTGTCGTATTATGTATTATTGGTATAAGCAGAAGAAAGCTCTTCCTGGTTCTGACATGGGTGGGTTTACACGTATTTTGCATTCCGGTAATACTGATAACTTGATGGATGAGATACCAACTTTTGTGGTTGATCCTCTTCCTCCAGGTGTTGATCAGGTAGATAAGAACTTTGCTTTTTTTTTTTACTCTCTTCACTTGTGTATGGATTTGTTTGATGAATTTGAGTTTACTTTTTAATAGGGGTATGTTGTGTTGAATAGACCGTGGGCGTTTGTGCAATGGCTTGAAAGAGCTACCATCATCGAAGAGTATGTTCTGTCTTTTTTGTTTTTTGCAATAAATGTTTGACTGTTTGCTGAATCTCATGGTTTGTTTTAAATTTTGGTGTAGCTATGTGCTGATGGCAGAGCCTGATCATGTTTTTGTTAACCCTATTCCTAATTTGGCTGTTGGAGGAGACCCAGCTGCTTTTCCGTTTTTCTATATTACACCTGAGAAGTTTGAAAACATTGTTAGAAAGTATTATCCTGTGGAGATGGGTCCAGTTTCAAATATTGATCCCATTGGCAATTCTCCTGTTATCATTAGCAAGGTGAGTTTTTTATCACTGTCTCACACAATTCACTCTGAGCTCCAATGATAATATGTTTCTTTGTGTTGTTTATGTTTTAAGACTTGATGTTGACATTCATGTACTTTGTTATGCAGGAATCACTTGAAAAGATTGCTCCTACATGGATGAATGTGTCGTTGACTATGAAAAACGATCCAGATACTGACAAGGCATTTGGATGGGTTCTGGAAATGTTAGCACTCCCAAACAATAATCTCTATTCATATATTAGTTCCTTGCCTTTTGAATCCTCATCATTGCTTTCTGACACACGTCTGTTCTCTGTTTTGTAAGGTACGGATACGCAGTTGCCTCGGCTCTGCATGGGGTGCGGCACATACTTCATAAGGATTTCATGCTCCAGGTAGGAATCGACCCTTTGCTGATTGCTGTGATATTAAGAAAAATCTTTGCTCTGTGTTCATAAGTGCTCTGACCATATCTTTCAGCCTCCATGGGATCTGTCTACCAAGGGCAAGTATATCATCCATTACACTTATGGATGCGACTACAACATGAAGGTGATTTCTGTTTAATACGGTTGTTTAGTTTTGTTTCTGGTAAAATAAATTACAGGAGAAACACCATAGTTTTGAAACTACTAAGTTTTGTTACAACCTTATGTTATTTTAGTGATTCACCATGAGAGAGCTTCATGTCAGTTTTACTTAAAAAATAAGTTTCATAAATACAGGGTGAGTTGACTTATGGGAAAATAGGAGAGTGGCGATTTGATAAGAGATCGCATCTACAAGGTCCTCCTCCAAGGAACATCTCCATGCCTCCTCCAGGTGTTCCAGAAAGTGTGGTATGTTATATACTTATATCACTTTTATCTAAGTCTAGATACAATAGAAGGAGATGTTGCTTTGAGGTCCATTCATAGCTCATAACGGAACTTATTCGAATCATGTTCATTGAGACTATATAGCAACTTCATGCACGAATATTTATCCTAAGTCTCTGCTTTTAGTCTGTTTGTCAACTTCCAAGACTTACATGCACAAGTTTGGTTAAGATAGTTTTCAATATGCTGTTTCTCAGACATGGTACTTTGTCAGAAGAAGTGTGATAATGACTTGTCTAAATACATTTGTTGTTTTGTGTGTTTGTGGTTATGCAGGTGACTCTAGTGAAGATGGTGAATGAAGCTACAGAAAATATTCCTAATTGGGACACTCTCTAACTCACATCCACAAGCACACAAACCATAGAAAGGACAAGGAATCCATACACAGCTTATTTTTTCTTATGAAAAGTTGACTTCTTTTTTTTACTTTTACGTTCTTTTAGTTAATTGATGAACTAGAGAGTAAATGATGCAATCTGGTTTTGAGACAATGGTTAAGAGACATCGTTAGGTGATAGTTAGCTGGTGACGTCATAACCAGACGGTCTAGTCTAAATGACAATAGTTAGCTGGTGACGTCATAACCAGACGATCTAGTCTGAAAGAGTGTTAAAACTAGACGGAGTTAATAGTTCCGTCAGTCACCTCTATTTATCCGTGAATTAAAATAAATTAAAAAAAAAAGATTAAAACTTATCTATCTCCTTCCTTCCTCAACCCCCAAGCAGACAACAGTTCTCCTCCTCTTATCCTTATTCCCGCAAAAATGGAACTGTCTCTTCTCTCATTCTCTTCTTCCTTGTCTCCTCTCTGCCACAACCGAACCTTATCCCTAACCCCCAAACTCTCCAAATCCCAAAACCACCCTCGTCTCCTCACCATCAGATCCGCCGTGTCTCGTTCCAAAAAGGAAGAAACCGTGGAGACAGTCAAGTCCCACCTCGAGAATTGCCACCTCCTCGCCGCCATCAACTACAAAGGCCTCACCGTCAAGCAGTTCCAAGACCTAAGAAGAACTCTCCCGGACACAACGAAGCTCGTCGTCGCCAAGAACACTTTGGTCATCAAAGCCATCGAAGGAACCAAATGGGAAGCTCTGAAGCCTTGTATGAAAGGCATGAACGCTTGGCTCTTTGTTCAGACAGATGAAATCCCTTCCGCTATCAGACCTTACCGGAGTTTCCAAAAGGAACGTAAGCTTGATGATAATGACTTTGCAGGTGCGGTTTTTGAAGGTAAGTTCTACGCTCCTGATAACTTCAAAGCTCTTGAGACCATGCCGACTCGTGCTGAGGTCTACGCTAAGATGCTTGGAGCTCTGCAAAGTCCGGCCATTAACCTTGTCTCTACGTTGCAAGCACCAGCTATTGAGGTTATCATGGTTCTCAAGGCTTATGTCAAGAAGCTAGAAGATGAGAGTAATGCTGCATAATCTCAGAGAATGTAATGTACTAAGCAAAAACCAACTCAATTTTTTTGTTTTTGTTTCATGACTCAGAGCAGCAATGTTATTATTATTACAGTCATTTGAGTTTTATTGAAATGTTGCTAGCTGCTATGCATAAGATGGGTCTTGTTTTAGATGTATTTAGAGAGGATAGACTCAACCACTCCCTGAGCTATAGGGTGGTATGTTTCTCTAGCTTCTGCAAAGATTTGTTTCGCCATTTGCTTCTCTTCGGTTCCACCGGCTTGTGCGAGAGCAGTGAAGAGTGCACGCAGGTACAACATCCTTCCCACCGATTTTAAAGTTTTCTCCACTTCTCCATGGTACTCTTTGCACTTGGATGAGATTGCAAGCTTTAGAAACGACACCTTCACTTCGTAGCTCTTTGATTCTGCTAGTCTGTACCGCTTGTCCAAAGCCACGACCTGTTTCACCCACCAATGATGTACCAACTGGGTGTTAGTTATAGGTTTGAAACCTGACTCCTGAACTAGCCTACGTCGATTACAAACAAGAATACAATACAATTTCTAAGCAAGAGAACTACTAACTTTTTCCAAAGATCCACACACATTCAATCTCCCAGTACCAACGCATTTTGTTTCTCCTCTACTTGTGCGCTATGCCAAGACTAACTAGCTAACTGACTGCTGAATCTCTTTCTCTCCTCAAATACAACAAAGAGCTTCCCATTATTCTAGAGGAAGTAAAAAGAGTACCTGAGAAGGTTCACATGACTTAGGAAGATTCTCCAAGTACAGCTCCCATTCCTGTCCTTTCCACTCAGCAACCTCATCCTCACTAGGCATCTTTCCTTGCTTAAACTCTTCTGCCAGGGATATGATCTTTGTGTAAATTGCTGAGACTGGTTCATATGCATCTTCCGGTATACCAACACCCTCAGTCCACATCTGCAGGTTGATCTCTTTCTCAATGCCAGGAATGTTTGCTTTCAGGAAGTCAAGGAACGTATCTGTATCAATCGACTTGAATTTGAAAGTAGCAATGTATTTCTTGAGAAATTCATCAAAAGCAGTCCTTCCAACCTAAACATTTTCCAGCAAATTGATATTAGATCGTATCAGTCTCATTACATAAGAGAACACCTAAGTGGATTCTACTCAAACAAACCTGGCGTTCAATTCTCAACACAAACTGGAAACCTTTCTCATACGGAACTTGAGAATAAACATCATCAGGATCAACACCATCTTGTTTGTTCTTCAGTTTAGTACACTCCAAGTTATCTTTGAACCGTTCCATCTCATCGTTTAAACCCCTCCAACCAATCCCCATGTTCAAAGTAGCTATATCCTCCCCTTGAACAACCTCCACAATCCTCCTCTCCGCGTACGTCGTAAATCCCTATTAAACCACAAACATACGAGATCTCATCAACAAATCCAAAACAAATACACATAAGAGCATGATTAATGGGGGAGGTTCTTAGCGAAATTAAGAAACTCTCTCTTAACTTTTAAGAAAAAAAGCTAAGAACCGGCTCTTAAATAATACATTAAGACCATGATTAACCCGGGTTTCTTAAGTCAGGGTTCTTAGCGGAAACTAAGAAACAGTTTCTTAGTTTCCGTTAAGAATCCCGTCTTAAGAATCCGGGTTAATCATGCTCTAAGAACAGCTTCTTAGTTTTTTTTTAAGTTAAAAGTTAAGAAAATGTTTCTTAATTCTACTAAGAACCCTACCATTAATCATGATTTTCCTATTCAAAAACTAAACACATTTGAAAATCAACCTCATTCAACCAGAAATGCTCATTGTTGATATTAGTAATCAAGTTCCCAGTCCAGCTATGAGCAAGCTCATGAGCAACAACTTGAGCACCACTAGCGTCCCCTTTGATCACAGTAGGAGTCAAAAACACCATCCTCGGATTCTCCATCCCACCATAAGGAAAACTCGGAGGCAACACAAGCAAATCAAACCTCTCCCACTCATAACCACCAAACAGCTTCTCCCCTTGCTTAATCATCTCCTCCGTCCCCGCAAACTCCAACTCAGCAGCGTCCAGCACCTCAACAGCTGCTGACTCAGCATACACCCTCGTCCTGGGCCCCACTTCCCTAAACCCCAACTCCCCAACCGCAAACGCGAAAAGATAAGGCGGGATTGGCTGTTCCATAACAAACTCCTCAACAACCCTATCCTCCCCACGCCACAACGACGCCGTAACATCGTCGAGGTGTTTAGCTTCCTCGAGACTCGGAAGCCTGCGACGCACGTGACGCGCGGACATAACGGCCGAGAGAGAGGAAGGGATGTTCATAACGACGTCGTAACGGATCCTCGCGGCGGGAGTGTCTTGGCAAGGGAAGATGGATCTGGCGTGGATCGCTTGGCACTGCGTGTAGACGTAAGGGTGAGATTTGGAGAAGGTTTGGATCGGGGAGAGCCATTGGAGAGCGGAGGCGGAAGGGGAAGTGGAGTAGAGGATGAGGAGTTGAGATTGGCCGGTGAGGGAGATCACGATCTCGCTGCCTTTGATTGGATCGGGGTTTGAGGAGAGGGAGTGAGGGAGGAGGGTGTGAGTTTTGGGGTCGAGGATGGTGGTGATGGAGATGGAGCGGGTGTCGAGAGAGAGGTCGCCGGAGAAGGGGGAGGAGAGGGTGAGGAGAGCGGAGGAGTGGATGACGGAGGTGGAGAAGTCGAGGTAGAGGGAGAGGGAGATGTGTGTGGTGAGAGGGTGGGAGGAGTCGGTGAAGGAGTGTGGATCTATGGGTGCCATTTTTTTGGTTGCTGAGTTTTGGATTTTAGGTTTTAGGGATTTGAGAAGTGGTGAAGCGATGAAGTGTATATGAAGCGGGAGAGGATAGAAATTATGTAATGTTTCTTTTGCACTGTTGATAACGAATATTTTTTAAGAACCAAGGAAATTATATTAGGTAGTTATTTGATTAATGGGGAATCATATATAGGAGAGCATAAAGTTGGTGAGTGTTTAAAGAAACCTCTTTTTCTTCTTGATCAATTAAAGAAACCTTTTTGATATCATTAGGAATCACTTTTTGTCATTTTTTGTTATTCTTAGAAGTTCTCATAATAATTTGATGATTACTAAAGGCAGCTTTCAGAAGAAGCAGAAACCATAAAACAAGGACATTTGCTGTATATAGTAATAGTATGTTTGATGGTGACTCCAAGTGTTTCACAACAAAAAAAAAAAATTTTTGATGGTGACTACAAACAAAGCATTCAGAAGAAGATGTTAACATAAGCCCACTTTTTCTCCTAAGGCCCATTTCCCTACTTAAAAGTAACATTGAAACAAAACAAAAATTTCATTTTAGCCACTTTTTGAACTACAATAGATATTTCAGTTTTGTTACAAATCGTTTTCACCAACACTGTTTATGTTTGATATGAAGTTTCCTAAAAAACGAAATAATTGAGAACAAAAAACTCCTAAATGTTGAGAAAAATGAATGGGTAGAACGAAAAAGAGAAGTGTGGCTTATTATTGGATAAGTTGATGTCCTTTATCCTGGAGCCATTTACAGAAGCCTTCCTCCAAGGCACATTTCATCCATGCATGCCGACAATTCTCAACTGCTTCAGGAATCGTGAGCCATGTCCTACTTCTCGTCTCCTGTTCCGGCCACGAGTCAAGCTCCTCCTTCACAAGCAGAGCGTACATTGCAGCTTTGCATAATCCTTCAGGGCAAAACTCGTCTTGGTGAGTCTTGCTCTTGAACTCGTATTCTCCCACCAAATCCTACAAGTTCGAAATCTACAGGCTCAGTCTAGATTCCTAATTAAAAATTACAAAGATTTGAAAAAAGGTTGTGATAGAGGATTCACCAGTAAAATCCCACGAACTCCTGCTTCTTCGACAGCTTCTCTAGCTGCAGCCTCCCTGACTGTCTCATCATTCTCCCACCCTCCCTATTATCAAAATCCAAACAATTGGATATTGAAACTTATTCAAGAAAGAAAAGAAACAAAGCTAAAGATTTGTTGTTACCTTTGGAAACAAAAGTCCAGGTCCACTAGAGGAACTGATCATCAACACTTCAACCACTTTCTCACAACTAGAATCACTGACTTCTTCAGAGATTCTATATCTAAACGGTATGCACCTGAACAATGTAAACCGTTACCATTAATCAATCGTTAATACATTTATAAACAGTTAAGCAATCATACTATTGGAACTAGAAAACATAATAATTCAGGAAAAAACAAGGAAACAGAGAGATCAATTCAAAGATCAATCGTTTCAATCCCAATCCAAGAGTACACATTATATGCAGCGAGAGATCATATACAGTACCCGGCAACGAGACGGCAGCCATTCTCGTACCGTTGCTGGAGCCGACCCGTACGAGCGATCAAATCACACATCAGTGAATTAAAAGAAAGAGAGTAAAAACTGTTTTCGGCTTCTAGATTCCGAACAAACTTCGAGTTTCAAAACAAAGTGCTACAACAAGCTCAAGAGAATGCTGAAACTTCCTTCTGCTCTGGATGAATACAAATGCGATTCTATCTCAACCATTGCTGTGTCCTTTGATTGGGAAGAGTCGAGAGGAAGATACCTGATTGATCTGATCCAATGGCTATGGGGAGATGAGATCTAGGGTTTCTTCCCGTGGATCAAAGATTTTGTTGATGTGTGTTTTCGGGGAATGAGGAACTCAATAATAACAGTTCCTAGTAATCCTCCTTTATCTTAAACCGCTTGGTGATAACCGGGCTAAACCGGTTTATAATTCTCATAAAATAAATTAACCCGCTTCAAACCGAACAGTCTTTTCTTTTTGTGTACCAAACGTAGGGGTGGGAGTTTATTTTATCGGTTTGGTTTATTTGGTTTTAAAATCTGTATAACCAAAGTAAACTATAATTAGTTTGGATCGATTTTGGTTCGGTTCGTATTTGGTCTTTTGATTCGGTTTAATTAGAATATTTTAGTTTAGTTTTTAAAAATAAATCATGTTTTAAAACATAAAGATGGATCATGTGGTGAATATGAAAAAATAAACTATGTAAATTAAATCCAATATAAAGTTGAAATAAAAATTAAAAAATCAAAAAAATTTATAAGAACATAATCAAATCAAAATTAACTAAAATAAATAAAAATTAAAAATAAAATATATAAATTAAATTTAATCTAAAACTGAAACACAAATTTTTAAAAAACACAAAAATTTATAAAAACACAATCAAATCAAAGTTAACTATAGTAAATAAATTATAAAAACTCAACATGTTAATAAAATTGATAGTATCTTTAGTGCTAGGATTTTAATATATTGTTAATGTTTAATATAAATAATAACAAAAACATATTAGTTTTTCGGTTCAGGGTTAATTCGGTTTAGTTTCAGGTCGATTCTGGTTCAGTTTGTTCAGATTAAGACAAACTATTTGATAGTAAATTTTGGTTTGGTTTGGTTCGGTTTTCTTGCGCTTGCGCACCCCTCTAAGTAAACGGTTTCCTCTTGTCTCAATTTTCACCAATAATGTCTGTTTTTATTATCAGTAAAAAAGTAAAGAGTAAGCATGTCTTTCTCTAGGTGAGCAAATCAAATCGTGTGATGTTTACAAAATCGCAACCCACTGTTCACACTGAAGCTACTTTTACACTACATGATTCTTTATTTTTCCCCTGACAACAGTGCCTCCTTCAACAAAGTGTTGCCGGATTGAATATCACTGTGTGGTGATGAATTGTTGTTGTTGCTGTTGCTCCCGAACCTCCTCAAGAACCTTGGTTCCTTCTTGTCTTCAGAGTTAGAGCTCTGTACGTAAGACAGACAAACCTGTACAGCGTCATGTACTCTCACAAAGTACCATTCTTTTCCAACAAGCTCCACCATTCCTGATCTTGCTATTGTCATGTGCACATCTTTGTTCGGATTTGATATCGCTAGCTGAATCTCCCTTGCTTTGTACTCCTGATACAACTCTTTCAAAGCCTCCACTGCGCTGGAGTCTATGTGAGTTACAGCTGCCATTTGTTTGTATTTATTTTTATTTAGAACATTTTGATGAATAGTAGTTCAGACAACAGAAAATATATATAGGGTCTTACGAGACATTTCGAGGATAACAAAGGAGATTCTATCCACCTCTGGTCCCCGGGTTGTGTATTTGTCAACTACAAATTCATATTCTCGTAGTCTGCGTTTTGATGAAACGGCTTGTGATTCTTTCTATAGATTCATACCACACGAAATAAGCATGTCACTCTCACCTGTCCTTGATGTAGCTTATGTTGGCAAAATAAATAGGAGAGTCGATTCGGACTATAACTATCCCGTTGTATGTGTAAGCCTCTGGATACTGCTTTACGTTTCTGTACACTGTGGTGCCTGGAAGACGCCCCAAGACAGCTACCAGGAGAACATTCATGATAAGAAATGAAACTAAGTTAGAAAACAGACACTATTAGAACGCATGTGACAGAAAGGCAATTGAATATATACCAATATGAGGGTTTGCAGACTCGTGGATAACGAATGCTAGTGAAAAACCAACCTATATTTGAACGTATTGCAACTGCTCAGAACTCATATATATACGCTAATACGCATTAGTCAGGTGAATCCAAACATACAAAGAGTCCTTAAATACTCACACCAACAAGGACACCGATCTCTATTCCGAAGAACAAAGTCGTGGTACTAGTGATGGCCCAAAGTGTGAAATCCCTCTTGTCCACACGCCACAGGAATATAGCTTCATCATAGTCCACCTATAGGTAACATCCAGAAAGTAAGAAAAATCATCTTTGCTCCTTGGCAGGTGGGTTTATTTGAACTTACCAAGCCACTAACAGCAGAGATCACTATTGCTGCCAAAGCACACTGTGGATTCAAGAGAGATAAGCAACAGAGTGAGAGTTAGAAGCAAGAATATACTTTCGCAACTCTCCAAAGATTCAAAAAGAGCAGCAAGTAATGTAAACTGAAATATTTCACCAAATGTAGGCAGACCTGTGGTATGTATTTGAACACTGGTGTCAAGAACAGTAAAGAACATCCAATGATGATTCCTGTTATGAGTCCTGATAAGCCAGTCTTAGCTTCACTTTCATTATTCACAGCAGACCTAGAAAAGGATCCTAATTTTGCATTCAGGACATCCACAGATTCATCAAATTAAGGTTATTAACTCCAAAAAAAGCTGTATACAATAATATGGAAAAGGAGTATACTTATGTGGCAATTGTTGATGACTTTCATCATCTCAAGATAACGTACCTGTAGTTGGGTATGCTGAAAATAATGACCCCAATATATTTGCAACACCAAGACCAAACAACTGCAAGTTAGGGGAGAAACAGTTGAGCTTTCAATGAAAAAAACAAAAATGAGCAGCTATACTGTCTACCACAATTGGGATACTACTCAATTTTCTCTGGTCAAGCAGAATACCTCTGAATTTGAATCCAACTCATATCTATTTTTTGCTGCAAGTGCTTTGGCAATTCCCACAGATTCCTGGATAAGAAAATGTTGAACTACTTCATTATGGAATAACAAAACATAGTATCAACTCACATAGGCTACATGCGTTACTGCATCCGAGTCTAAAGAGGAAGTTATCTTCTCCTTTATTTCCTTAGGAAGTTAGATAGCTATCTGCATTTTCCATATGCCGACTTGGATAAAAGTAAGGATATTGATATCTTACCAAGATGGCAACACCTGTAATGAGAGCTGATGTTGGAAGCAGTGTTTTTGCATGATCAAAACTTCCTGGGAAAGAAAATGTTGGAAGGCCCTGAGGTATTTCTCCGACCTTGAACATACTAGATTTTGTTATTACTAATATACTTAACCAGTATGCAGCTCTACAAGGAAACTACGGTAGATATAGTTCGTCCTTCAGTGATCTAACCAGAGAGATGGAAGGTGGATGGAACACTTTTGCAATGGTCGTGCCAAGCACAATCCCTGTGAGTGGCGCTGCTGCACGTAAGAACTGAAGTTCCTTCTTAGCTTTCCCCTGCCAAGAAACACCATGACCTTATTATCATCATATACTAATAAAGGAAAATGTTGTTTACCTGTTAACACTAAAAAGAACAAGGCTCATACCACATGCTTCATCACTTGAAGGATAACTAGAATGAGAGATCCCATCAAGAAAGGTGGCCACTGAAACTACAAAATACGAAAAAGATCCATCTAAACAAGTAAAAACAAAAGGCTTTCGGAACCAAACTGATTTGCCAAAAAAAACTATGATATACAATAATACATACAAAATCATCATATAGCATGAAGATCCAAAATACAGTCCAAGCTAAATGAGGATTCAGGGAGAGTTATAACCACGTATTAACAGTCTTTAAGTACATAAAGTTATCGGATGAAGTGTGCAGAAACTTTTTTAAGCAGATCAAAATATAAAGAGGTGAAAAAAACAAATTTCTCAATCAAAGACCTTAGCTAAAGAGGAAAGCTTTACTTTTGTTCTCACATTTCAAATCTGAAAATGAAAATTTCACCTTATCAGCTCCAGCTATAATGCTCTCAACTAGTGGCACAATCTTGCTGCTCCTAGCAATGCTATACCCGAGGAAATATTTAATTTGAGATAATCCAATCACAATAGCCGAAGCACTTGTAAATCCAGAAATAACCGAGTGACTAATGAAACGAATAAGCCATCCAAGCCTGGATTCAAACACACACAAACAAAGCAGATCACACTCAATCAGTAAATCAAAAAGAGCCTTTGAATAAACGTATAAAGAAAGATAACAAATGATTACCTTAATAGCCCCATAATACACTCCAAGATACCAACC